CACAATTTTTGCCATAGAATGATGGCCAAAGAGTAATAAGAAATCTGGCCGAAATGGAAATGGCTCATTGACGAATTATTCAGAGTAAGAGAAAAAGAAAAAGAGAAAAAAAAGGTCAATCGCAATCGACCATGATCATCATCATCATCATCATTCAAAAGTTTAGTCTATCGATCGATCTATTCCTATCTATCTATTCATTCATTCATATTCAAGTCAGTAAGTCATTGGTGATGATGATGATGATGATGACCGATCACTAATAGCCTGTTAGTTTATATATTCAGTTAAACCAATCGATATTTATTCAAAAATAACCGATTTTTTTCTTTTTCTCCCAAAAAATCATTTCTGTTCTGGACCATCTGGATTGTCTGGACTGGACTGGTATATGTTGTGTGTTGGCCAGGAGAAAAATAAAGGCCAAGGGCCAATCTAAAATAACCAGACATTGACTTATACATGTTGATTTATACATGTGTCACATATGAATGTATTGGGCATCGATTTTTGATGGGTTTTTTTTTCGTCAGTCCAAAACGATGGTAATCGATATGTTGGATATAGACCAGAAAAAAAAGATAGATTTTTTTTTTGTCAAACGACAATCACCAACAAAAAAATCTAAAATTTACTACATTCATTTGACCGCGAAACAAAATTTGAATGAAATACAAATCTGGAAATGATCGAATTTTGACCGTTATCCAATTGCAATTGACTTTTTTTTTTTGGTTTGTTTATTTGTGTGGCACATAAATTTCAATTGACATGTGTTAATGTCACCGTTTTGGTTTTTTTTAGTGATCAGAAAGTTAAAAAAAAATCTTTTTTTTGGTCATCCTTCATTTCCTTCTTTTTTTTCCAAAAATTTTTTTAGCCATTTTTCAATTTCTGTTCCGTTTTTTTATGTTGTAGTTGTTCACATCTTGAATGAATTTCATTGAGTCAACAACCTGTAATTGGCTAGACGTTTTCTGAATTTGGATCAATTTTGTTCCATAGGATTTTGTTGTTTTGTCATGTGAATTTAGATGCGGATGGATACTATTTATCATCCATTCAGTTTAAAGACATTTTATCATCAATTCTTTTTTTAGACGATGACCTTTACAAATGTTTTTTTTTTTGAAGTTTGATTTGTAAAATTACATTACTCAAACAATTGGAACAACAACAACAAAAAAAAACAGTTAAATAGCGGTATTTCATTTTCTCTGGTTTCTTCATTTCAGTTTTGGATAATAACATAACAGTAGCAGCAGCTGGTTTCTGGTTTTGGTTTTTACACTTCTTCAGTTCACTTTAACGACATAGAACAATTGGAACAAAGTTTTTTGTTTCTGTTGTTTTTGTATTTAGGAGGATTCACATGATGTGAATGATTGATTTTGATTGACTCGAGTGGTGGTGGGCACACATACAAACATACACACACACACACCGAATTTTAGCCCAAAAATCGTGAATAGAATGATGTATTGGTTGACCAGATTTACTTCTGGTGATGTTCGATTGTGTAATGACACCTTGTCACCAAGAATAGAGTCTGTATACAGAGAGGCTGTTATCACAAAATGGACCGACAATTGGTGTGTTCTTTTTTTTTGCTTTGGTTTTTCCTGATTGACAATGAACAAAACCGAAAAAAATGGGAAAAATAAACCAGAAACAACCAAAAACAACAACAACAACAACAATCAGATCCTCCCACTCATTTGTCAATGACAATGAATCACTCAATCATTGAACATTATTTATATTCAAATGACAATGAATTTGGAAAGGAAAAATAAAAGACAATCCCAAAAATGTTCATATTGATGACAATTGTCCATTGATGACAATAATCGTGGACAATGATCAGCTATAATAAATGTTTCCTCTTTCTCTCTCTCTTTTTATCAACACCGGTATATATAATACCAGTGTCAAAAACAACAACAACAACAACAAAAATAACAAGATCTTTTTTTTGTGTGTGTAAAAATCGGCATTGATTAATTGACCAAAAATACTTCAAAAGTCGATGCTACTTGTTGTTGTTAATGTTGATGTTCATATCGTTTTCTTCAATTCAACATTATTGACCAGAAAGCAATGTTGATTTGCACCTTTCATGTACAATCATTTTTCAGTGGAGGACCTGCTGCTTCTGTTTGATGGAACAATTGGTTTTTGATCCAGAAACTTGATTTTTTTCTCTCTTATTGTTGTTGTTTTTTTTTCTGTTTCTGGTCAAATCAGCTTCTATTTTTTTTTCTCAATTGTCTCAGATTTTCTATTATTCAGAAAAATGTTTCCTTTGATTTTTTTCATTCACTTAACACATTTTTCATTGTCATTGTCGTCAATGTTGTTTAAAAAAAGCAAAAGAAAAAAAATAAAATCAATCAATGATCTCTGTGTGTGTGTGTGTGATGTTGAGATGTATCATGCCCTTTTCGAAATAGGTTCGTTCATTTTCATCAACCATCGATTTTGGTGTTGATCCCACACATATTTTTTTCGGGTTGAAAATAAAAAATTGTCCATTACAATTTTACTAAATTCAATTTTCAATCCATATGTGTGGTAAGCAGACTGAAAAATAACACCGATCAAAGAGAAAAAAAAAGTCATAAAGATATTCAAAGGGCTAAAAAAAATGTGTTCGAAATAAAATTCAAGTATTGAACACCACATGAAGAGAAATAATGGATATATTTTAAAGTTTTTTTTTGTCGAACTGGATTTATCTGATGATAATCTAAATGATGATGATGATGATGATGATGGTATTGATGGCGATGATGATCTTTGGGCAAACCTGTCTTTCGAAGAAGAAACAAAAAAATGATCGAATCGATCAGAAGAAAAAAATGGTCGTAGTGGTATAACACATACGCAGACACATGATTTGATGGACACAATTATACCAGGATACTAATGATGATGATGATTATCATTAAACACACAACAACAAAAAAAAATCAAAATTGATGAACTTTTGATTATGTTTTCAACTTACAAAATTCTTACAAACGGCTGGATGTCAATGAAATTTTCAATGAAAAAAAAAATCAATTTTTTCGAAAAAATAAAAGAATCGAATGTTTTAAAGAATTTCGAACCAAATAAAAAACTAATGACCAACGCCATCTAACGATATTGAATCAATTTATTCATAAAAAAATAAAGAATTTATTGAATTTTTCTCTCATCATCATCATCATCATCATTGTTTTTCGATGTGAGAGGTTGATAGAGAGGAGGATGACATTGGTGATGATGATCGAGACGTGCGTAGCAATGAATGAATTGAAAAAATGACGAATTGGATCAAAAAAATTCTCATTCACAATTGTGTTTTATTCAAAAAAAAAAAATCAATTGCGCCATCTCCTCTTTGATGCTGGTGATGAGGAGGATGATGATATAATGATGATGATGATGATGATGATCGGAACACATTATTAGAATAATAATCAAACAAACAAACAAACGCATAGAGGGAGAGCAAACCGATCATCATCGGTTCTGTTTTTTTTGTCGATTGGCGGCCGCCTACAGAAGCCAATATACCATCATCATCATCATCCATAACAACATTTTTTGAAACATTATCGAAAATTGAATTGAACTGCGCATTGAAAAGCAGCCGCTTTTTTTACCTTTTTAATTCTTTTTTTTTTGTTTTTTTTTTGTTTCTTCTGTTTGTTTGCCTTTTCCCGCCTTTCAATATATGACGTTTAAATTGTGTGACAACCCACAAATCGAATGAATGAATGAATGAATGAGAGAGAGAGAGAAAGAAACGATCAAATAAATGAATGGAATGAAAGAGAGCCAAAAAAAAATGAGGAGATCAGTGAAAGAGAGAGAAGTGATCGGTTTCAAATCATCAATATATGTGTGTATGTGTGAGAAAGAGAAGAATATGTATGTATACCATTTTGGCAAAGACCGCCAGCCATCGTTAAGTGTTTTTTTTTTGTTGTATTCGGTAATATTCGATTCAGTTCATTTCTGCCATTCGGACAGATTGGATCTCTTTATTGAAAATTCGTTCAATTTTTTTTGGTTTTCAATTCATTCGTTTTCGAACATCGGGGTTTTTTTCATTCATTCATTCATTCATCTGGTTTCAACATTGTTCATTTTTTTTTCTTTCAATCGATTCATATTCGCAGTGTTCAATCTAATCAACTAAATTCAACTCTTTGTTGCCCCCGAAAAGAAAACCCGAATTTACTTACTGATCCACGGATCTCAATCAATGCTACAAAGTAGCCGAAATAAATTCATTCAATCAATGTGTTTTTGTGTGTGTTTTTCCAATGATGATGATTTTGAAATAATTTTTTTTTCGCTAATGAAAAAAAAACAAACACATAGAAATACCGGATACATTTTAAAATCTTTCAATTTTTTTCTTTCTTCACACACCTTGTGTGTGTGAATGGTGAATGATGTGAATGATGTGAATGTTTGTGTCATTTGATTTTAATTTAATTTCAATTTTATTCAAATTTTTATCATTCAATTTTCATCAATTTTCTGATGGTGGTCAATGTTTTTTTCAAAATTCATCAATCATGTGATTTTTTTTTTTTTAGTTTTAAAAATTTCATTTCCCCATCATTATCCACCACCACCACCACCGCCACCCACAATATTACTTACAATTTTCTTGATTGATTGATTGATTGATCTGAATGACATGTAATCAATTTTTTTGATCATCATCCCTGTGCTATAAAATCAATATCTATCTAATAGTTTTCTGTGATCTTTTTTTTTCGTTTTGAAAAATTTTCTCGTTATTACATCACCTTTCTGTAATCAATTAATTGATTTTTTGAAAACCACACATACAAAAAGATCATCATTTTGTTGCATCATAGCTATCCTTTTTTTTCATAAAAAAAAATGATCAACGTGATCGATGAATAAATTTTGATATCAACAACAACAAACAAAAAAAAAAAACAAAACAACAAAATTTCCATACAAAAAATTTTTCATAATGATTCTCGATTCATACAACAACAATAATCATAATAATAAGAATTCAACAATTAAAACAAAATTATTATCAACAACAACAACAACAATTGATGCTACCACCACTGTTGATTCTGTATGTATTTTTTTCATTAACACATCCACATAACATTTTTTGTTTAAGAAAAATTCTTTTTATTCGTTTGATTTGTTTGGTTCGTATATTTGGCCAATTCAATCATTTTTCTCGCCTGATTGATGATTTAATTGTCCATTTTCTTTATGGAAAGTGGAAAACAACAACAAAAAAAATCGATAATTATAATTATTAATGAATATGAATAAATTCATTTCTCTCTTTCTCTCTCTTGGTCGTTTTCTTGCTGCCCACAAAATGTAAATTTTCTTCATTTTGTTTTTTCAATGTTTTCAATTGTGTAATGCAATATTGTACACGATTGTGTTTGATTTTCTTCAATGTTGTCACACACACACACAATATGGCTAACTTTTTTTTTCTATCGATCGATGCGGCCAATTATGGATGATGATGATGATCAGTTTCTTCTGTAATCGACTATGATATTTTTCATTCAAATCAATCAAATGCACTTATAACAAATATACATCGTATATTGTCTTTTATTTTGACTCTATATAAATAATAAAAAAAATTGGTTGAAAATAAATATTGATGGTTTATTATCATCATCATTATCAACATCAGCATTTTGTTTATTCACCCAATCATAAAAAAAAATAGAAAACATAAAGTGATCAAAGACAACATAAACCTATCACTTACCACGCACTCACACACACCTTATTTTCTTTACCACCTTCTTTGATGATGATGATCGATTCATCAATATTTTGATTGCTACAGACATTTTTTATTGGATTTTTTTTTCGATGATGCTGTCTGAGTCTAAATAATGTGTGATGTATTGATGGAAAGTTTTTTTGTTTGACTCGTTTTTCACTCAAACATTTTCTTATTACCTGTGTGATTTTCTATTCGTTTTGATGAATCACTAATGTAAACATTTTCATTTTCTGGTATCGATATTTAATATTCTCGATATCGATTATTTGAGGAATGTAATATGTGTGAGAAACTTTGTCATAATTAATCTCTATTTTTTGGTGGTCTTTATTTCGTTATTCTTTACGGATCCAAAATGATTCTGATCAATTGAATTACCATTATATTGCTGTTATTGTCCATCTTTTTGTTATTGTTATCGTTTCTATTTGTTTTCTATTGAATTCACTTTGCGTGTCGAATAGAATGAAAATATTTTTTTTTTTGTTTTTTCCATTATAATATATTGATCGATGATTATCATTGTTGACGAAAGAAAAGCAAAAAAAAAAAAAAAAAAAAAACAATATTGCAAATTTAAGTTGATTATAAAACTTGATCAAATTGAAAATCTTTTTTATTTCTTTTTTCTCTTATCGAGATGGATCTATTATATGATCAAAAAAAAAAAATTACAATTACATGCAATCTGGTTGAAAGAGAAAGAGAAAAAGAAGATTATTTGAGAATCGCATCAGAATTGTGTTTGTGTTTGTGTCCAACTCCTCCACACAAAACAACAACAAAATTCAGTAGTTTCAGATTCGATTTTCTTTTTCAATCAATTTAGTTTATTTTCGGTTTTCGAAAAAAAAATATTGGTAAATTTTTTTTTTCTACCTATGACGATAACATGATGGTAACTAATAACTATATCACGCACACACACACACTCACATATTCGTTACAGTAGTTTTTTTTTCTACTTAAATTTTAAATTTCAATCAATTGATTATTATTACACACACACACAGACAATGTATACGTAACGATTTTTAATTTTTGTTGGATCAAAGTGATTTTTTTTGTTTTGTTTATGTATGCGGAGGAAGTAGATTTTATTCTCGATCTATCTTATTTATCTATCTATTGACATTTTCATAATATCAAAACAGAATTCTTTTTAAAGAATTTCTATTTACACACACACACAAATGAAATATTTATAAGGAAAAAAAGGAAATAAATTTATATTTATTGATTTTATTTTAAATGTGAATGTGAAATATATATGTGTTAAAATTATCAGAACCTTTTTTATTTTGGAATAAAAAACCTTATCTTTACCTGTCTCTCTGGTAAATAGGTAAATTTCTGGAAGAAAATAAAATATTTGAAATATGTGTCAATAACGGAAAAAAAGCGGAAAAAACAAACGCCAAAAACAAAATTGATTAATTTTGTTCATTCGATTTTATCATTGTTTTCGAATATTCGAAAATTCGTTTTCTATTTCTCTATTTTCAGATCTTTGAATCGATGAACATCATTCGATCAATGTTTGATCGATCATTTTTCGATTTTGTTTTATCAATTTTTTTTTCCAAATTGAAAATTTTCTCAAAATTTTTTTCTCATTTTTCTTTTATTAAATAAAAACAAAACCAAAATTCAATCATCAAAATTATCCCGAAAATGGCATTTAAAAACATTTAGTTGAAAAAAACCAAATAATTGTTTGTGTCTCTATATCATCATCTTATCTTATCTATTTTGTCAAAAAACAAACAAACAAACATTGTCAAGTTGTCAACAGCAACAACAAAGAATGACCTATTCTTATATGAAATGATGATGATGATCATCATCATTATCATCATGATATTGATTGAAGGTTTTGAACATCCCATCATCATTCATTCATTTATTGAATTTCATTCAAAAAAAATTGTTTTCTGAATTGAATTGTATTTTTCCTATACAAAATTTTCTTATTTTCGTACAATACGATTTCTATTTTATCATAATCATCATCGTTATTTTTTTTTTAAATTTCAAATTCATCATTGACAACCGAAGGTCAAAGCCATCCCAAATACAAAAAAAAAAAACAATCTAGATTGATAGAATTGAGAATAGATGAAAATATGAAGCAGGCAGGAGGTCGATAACTGGACATCACTGATCTGAAGAAAAAAAAATGAATAATCAGACCAATGTCCATAGACATCAATAATGGTCATCACAATAATAATAATCATTTTGTGTTTGACATGGAAAACAAAAAAAAACGTAATCAATGTAAACAATACACATCATCATCATCATCAATATATACAAGGGTTTCAATCTGAATTTCATCATCATCATCATCATTTCAGATTGATTTCTTTCTATCATTTTCATTTTTTTTGATTTTCGTTAAGATGTAATCACACAGCTTGTGATCAACTAGTTGCTTCTTTTTTAGATTTTTTTTTTCATTCAATGTTCCATCATTGATTTGGTGTGTGTGTGTAGGATGATTATATAGGATGGCCATTGTTTTTGTTTTCTAGTTTATATCGGTCGATAAAATTTGATTTTTTGACTTCAAATTTTAATTGATTGATTATATAATAAATAATGATGATTATTTGATCAATGATTATTGATTTATATAACCATTTGTGTTTGTTTTTGTTGAACAAATCAAACATATTACCCCCAACCATTTTGTTAATGTTCTGACATTTTTTTTTCTTTTTTCAATTTGTAATCAACTTGTTCGATTCGATTCATTCATTTATTTTTCTTTTCCGATTCAAGATTCAGTATGTTCGATGTCTGTGTGTGTGTGTGTGTGGATGAATGGATGGATAGATGTTAATCATCCATGGTCATTTCCATGTTTACATTGTTCATCTTTCAATCAATTTTTTTTTTTGTTTTCTTTTGAAGAAAAATCTGATTTTGTATGAGAAACCAAATTGTGGAAAGATGAGAGAAAACTATTGTGTTCCTTGATTTGATTTGATTCGAATCGATTGTTTTTTGTTTTTGTTTTGAATGCAATTTCTTTATCATTATTATGATCATTATTGATGATGATCAGCGATGATCATTTATCATTGTCATCTTTTTCTTTTTTGGTTTTGGTTTTGATTTTTTTTTCTTTTTGAATGGAAATTTTTTAACAATGCCATAGCGCCCTCTATTGACATTGATTGACATTATCGGAATTATTCAAATTTCAAAATTTTTGTTGAACAAATTATTCTAATCAATTTTTTTTGTTTGTTTGAAAATTTTTCTTTAGACAAATTTACGCAATCATCGATTAGTGAAAAAAGATTTGAAAAATTTAATTAATACAAATAAATTTCAATCATTATCATCAAATATTTTCAATTCGAAATTGATTACGACAAATAATAAATCAATTATTAACGAAGACGACGTTGACGTTGATGAAAATATGATGGATAAAACAACAACATCATCATCATCATCATCTTCAGCTACATCGTCCGATGGTGAAGAAATGGTATCCGGAGATAATACGGTTTCAAACACGTTAAAGAATTCACCAGATTCTCATGATGTGCAAACACCACCAACACCGCAACAACAATCACAACAACAACAACAACAAAAACAAACAAAACCACCAATAGAATCGGGCAAAATGTCCAGTGATCATCATCAAAATAATCATCATCATCATCATAAAAATGATGTATGTTTTTTTTTAATCGGATTCATTTTTGATCATTTAATTTAATTTCATTTTATTGAATTTTATTTCATTAATATAGTCAAATTTAGCTGATCTAATCAAACGATTAAAATGTCAAATAACGCAGCTACAGGATCTGGTAACACAGAAAGATAAAAAAATAATTGATCTCAATGAAAAACTTGATCAACAAAGTGATTATGATGATATAAAACGTGAATTATCAATGGTTCGTAATGAACTAAGTCATTTTGGACCAATGGTTACATTGGATCCAATCACCTCAATTACGACTGCTGATGATGACGATGATGATATTGATAATAATGATAATCAGAATGATATCGATGATAATGATAGACCATTATCACCAACCACAATTATCACGACAGATTCAGATATAAAAAATCTGAATAATTCAAATAACAATCATAATCAACGAAATTCTCATCATCAACATCATCATCATCATAATCAACATCAAACATCTCCTCCAACAACCACATCATCAATGTTTAATCCATTTAATTTTCCACCATTACAAAGTCTTGGTAATGTTGAATCATTTGGTTCATTATTAGGTGAAGAGATTGCCAATTCATATGCAAAAGTAATGGCAGCCGCTGCTATTGCATCATCAAATTCTTCATCAAGCAATAATAATCATCATAGTAATAATAATAATAACAATAAAACGAATCATTCATCATCAAGTCATTGTAGCAATCATTCTAATAATAATAATAATAATAATAATAATAATGGCAATAATAATAATAACCCTGTTGGTAAGTTGAATTTTTTTCCCCTTTTGAATATTTTTTTTAAAATTATGGAATCATTTTCTTTATTTTTTTTTTCATTCATTTAAGATTCACCATCACAATTATTAAATGGTGATATTGGAAGTAGTGGTGGTGGTGGTAACGAAACATTAGAATTGGATAAATCAAATGTCGAAAGTGCATCAACAACACCGACAGCTAGTGCAATGATATGTTCAATGGATGGGGCCGAACCATTGACACATAGCCCATTAGGAGCGACTACCGTAACCGAATTGGGCCTTATACCAAATAATTATTCACATAATATATTCTATGATAAATTACAACATCAATTACGATGTAATGTAGAAAAATATATGAATGAAACATTGAATACGTTGCAAATATCTCGTTATGTACGAGAATTATTATCCGTACATAATATTGGACAACGATTATTTGCCAAATATGTTCTTGGCCTTTCACAAGGTACCGTTAGTGAACTTTTATCCAAACCAAAACCATGGGATAAATTAACAGAAAAAGGACGTGATTCATATCGAAAAATGCATGCATGGTCAACTGATGATCGTTGTATTAATCTGCTCAAAATGATGGTACCACGTAAAGGTATTTATTTCAAAATTTCTAAGAAAAAGTTCAACAATTTTCAAATTATTGTCTTATTTTCAATTTTTTTCTAAAATTAAGAATATGGTTCTTATCTAGGAAAAGATTCGAATAGCTATAATAAACAGGACGAAACAAGTGGCGCTGAAGAACGTATTGCACAGATTCTTAGCGAAGCTCAACGATCAATGAAAGGCGTAACACCATTAAATCGTCAGGAACTTTTAGCGCAATCATTCATCAATGGCGATAGTATTGCTGCATCGATGGCCGCAACAGCTAAATCTATGGCCGATCTAAAAGATCTAAAAAATACGGTCAATGATACTATTAGCGATAATGGTAGTGATCGTGATGAGAATAAATCAGAAACGCAATCGCTTTGTGATCGTAAATCACCATCATCATTAATGAATCCAACAGCAATGGCAACAATAAGCAATTTTTATAAAAATATCAATGATCCTATTCTCAATGAGCGTTCAATCAATAATCATACCCCGGTTCGACATACACCATCAAAATTAATCGATAATACGGAAGAAGCGTCTGAATTGATACGTCTGTACCAAGCTATGATTGGACAACAAATCGAAGAAGGATTACGTAATCCACAAAATTATGACGATATTCGTAATGTGATTGCATTACATCAGGAACTATCACGGCTCAACCCATTCATTGTTCAACAATCAAATCCAGAAATGATTGCACGTCTTTTCTCGTCTGGTATATTAAACGGAGCAAATTATCTGAATGGTCTTCCATTAGCACTGGATCCGACATTACAATCAAGTGGCAATCAGTTTTCCGACAATCCAATTCGTAAATTATCACCAATCGATTCACCACAACAGCAACGTGAATCTAGTGCCCATCAGGAATCACCACGCATCAAAATCGACAATCTTTTGGGTCAAATGAAAACAGATTCTGCATCACCATCACATAATGGCAATAGTTCATCAACTGGCCATCCTTGTCCGCTCAATTCAGCATCAACAAATGCTGTTTTCAACAATGCAAATGATTCGCCAGACGATTTGGCTGCATCTCCATTGCAACGGATTCAATCAATAACAAATTCATTACTCTCCCAATCATCATTACCATCATTGCCCAGTCAACCTCCACGGCCAGCCAAAGCCGTATTACCACCGATAACTCAACAACAATTTGATCAATATAATAATCTCAACACGGAAGATATTGTTAAACGTGTCAAAGAACAATTGAGCCAATATTCAATTAGCCAACGATTATTTGGTGAAAGTGTTTTAGGTCTTTCACAAGGTTCAGTGTCGGATTTACTAGCTCGACCGAAACCATGGCATATGTTGACACAAAAAGGACGGGAACCATTTATACGAATGAAAATGTTCTTGGAAGATGATAATGCCATACATAAATTGGTGGCTAGCCAATATAAAATTGCTCCAGAAAAACTCATGAGAACTGGCAATTTTGTTAGTGGACCGGGAATTCCACCTACCGCAATACCGGGTATGAATCAAACTGCAGTCATTGCGCCACCCACACCACAATTACCTGATTCACCACAATCATTGCCGCAATTGAATGTTTTGCCAACATCAACTGTTTCGACAACTAAAAATTCATCGAATTCAATCAAAGGTTCAAATGCTCCAGATTTACCTATAAAATATGAACAATCATTGAGTCCAAGCAGTGTAGATAATAGCATACGATCAAATACATCAAGTCCGGATCTTGCTTCATCCATTACGACTGTTCCATCACCAACACCAGTTACATCATCACCATCGTTATCAATGCGATCTCGATTATCTGCAGCCTATAACATGAGCAATAATCTGTTAAGACCTGTAATGAATCAACCACCGAATAATTATATGCAGCCATCAGTCTATGAATTAGCAGCATTAACATCTGATTTAGATACACAAAACATTACAACACGAATCAAGGAAACTTTAATGGCTCATAACATCGGGCAAAAGGTAAAATGTTTTTGATTTTTTATGATATAAATTTTTACAATTTTTTCTAAATTTTCTCTAGATTTTTGGTGAAGTCGTTCTTGGATTATCACAAGGTTCAGTCAGTGAATTATTGTCCAAACCGAAACCATGGCATATGTTAAGCATCAAAGGTCGTGAACCATTCATTCGAATGCAATTATGGCTGAATGATACGAATAATATTGATAAATTACAAACGTTAAAAAATGAACGACGAGAAGCGAATAAAAGACGCCGTACTCACCTGGATGAAAGCCTTCCGAATTTTAAACCATTCGACAATCAATTATTAAATCAATTTCCCAATTTTGGTCAGCTTAATTCTTTGAGTAAAAATATGATGGCTTCGCCTGGTGCTACCGGCACAGGATTCGGTCTTTCTCCGTTGACCACTGGACAACCAGTTGTGAAAAAAGCTCGAATTCTATTCACTGAAGAGCAAAAAGAAGCACTTCGTGTAGCCTTTTCGATGGATCCATATCCCAGTTCAGCGACTGCAGAATTTCTTGCCAAAGAATTGAATTTATCTATTCGTACAATAACCAATTGGTTTCATAATCATCGTATGCGGCTAAAACAGATAAATAGTTCGGCCAGCAGTAGTAACGATCAAGATTCAAGTAATCCAGCTACAGCGGCCGGTTATAATATTGGTCGTGATAACGTACTTTTCGATCAAAATAAATTTCGTCAGTTATTATCGCATAGGTTGTCCGATATAAAACAACGTTCAAACAATCTTAGTAACAATAGCAATCATGGTAACAATATAAACGATAATTCCAATCAATTTGGTTCTTCTGCCATATTCCCTTCATCGCAGAATTCACCACCATCAAATCATCGAATGAAATATTCACCATCAATGTTTCAGACACAGTCAATCTATTCGAATAATACGAACAGTTGTTCATCGCCTGGATCAAGTTCATCGTTCCATGAAGAAGAAGATCTTGGAACATTAGATCTAAGTATGTCTAGTCATCACGGTCATGTTAATCCGAATCAATTTCGTTCTCATCAATCACCAGATAAATTAGATAGTACTGGTCGCAGTTCGATGCATGATGATTCAGATGATGGTTGTCGTGATACAGGAGATGATGATGATAACGATGATGTCCCATTGGCCGGCAATACCGATGCAATTTCTACCGCAAACAATCAACAACAATCGAAACAACAACGATCAACATCCAAACATCATCATCGTTCAGGTAGTAGTAGACGAAAACCACAGAATGTAATGAGTTCAAGTTCACGACGAAAAGCGGCACAGCCACAACAATGGGTCGCACCGGTAAATCCATCCACATTGATTGCCGATGATGATTATATTGATGATGAATTTGTCGATGATGATGATTTTACAACCGGTGACAAGCAACTTTCATCAAACAATAATAATAATAATCAAGATCTTAATAATGGTGCTACTTATGACAATCAAGATGATGATGATGGTTATATGGTCGATAAACCAAATGATGATCAACAAATCGATGATGATGATGATGATGAAGATCTACAAAAAACTGATAACGAAGAATATGAAGACGACGAAGATGACGATAGCCCAAGTTTTAAAAAACATAAATCTTCCCATTCATCTAATCAATTATCATCACAATCATCATCAACGGCCATATCAAAATCAAATATTATACAACAAGAATGTGTTCAGTAATCTATCATCATCATCCATCATTATCATCATAATAATAAAATTTGTATCGATATCGATTTCACAAACCTATTGCCTCATAAATTTGTTCACAATCTCTTTATATAGTGACAAGCACTTTATCAAATGCTTTATTCTGTTGATAATAAATGATGACCATAAGTCAATTTAAGTATTATAAAAATTCTGTATACTAAAGTAGACACTCACTCATACACACAATTCATTCATTTTTTCTATTTATTCAAATTTTATTTATTTGACATTTTCATCTTTTTTTCATCAACATTTTCATACCAAAAAAAACAAAACAAAAATAAAACGAAAAACATTGCTTTGATTTATTTTAAATAATGATTTTAGATTCTGTACACTCTCATTTTTTTACACACACTTTTTTGGTTATCTCAGCAAAACTTTGATTTTTTTTTTGGTCCCAACCTTTGTATGCAAAATGCAAATTTTTTTTTCTGTATTGCATTCTATCATTTAATAATTAAAATCATTTGATTGTCGATATCTCATCATTTTTTTTCTGTTTGTTCAAAAAATATTGTGTGATTTGTGAATTTTTTTTTTCGTTTTTATTTTATTGAGAATAACGTACAGACCATCAACATCATTATCATCCGACAATAATGCCGAACAAAACTGAACACTTATCATCATCATCATCATTGTACATCATCAATTCGTCTCACCATTCTGCAACAAATCATTGACCATTTTAAATGTCCTTACCATCAAGAAATATAGACATTACTTCTGCCTCATCACTCACATACACACACACATCTTATTATCTCATCAATGAAAACCTGGTTCTCATTTTAAATTTAATTGTTTTTTTAGATCTCTTTGAATTTGAATCTGTTTTTTTTCATGCCATTCATTTTCACATCACACAAACACACACACACAGAAAGATACAATTCTTTGATTTATTCTCATTCTCAAATTTTTCGATTTGATCTAAATATGACTGTCATTATTATTTCAATTCATACCCGGTGTGTACGTTTTTCTCTTTCTCTCGCTATATCTCGTTCTTATCATTGTGTAATAATTTTTTTTTTGAAATATCTAATTTTATGACCTATTATTATAATTGATTTGATCGATGAACATTCATTATTAATCATTGGTTTTCCATTTCAATTTGTCACAATTCTAATCAATTTGTATTTATCTAATTCATTCATTCATTCATTATTATGGCCAATAAATATATTACATCATGATTTTTATTTTGTTTTTCTCTTTGATTTTTTGTTTTTCGCAATCTTCGTTTGGCGGTACAATTCAAAAAAAAAAAAAATGAATTTATCCGCGCCATCTAGTATATTTCGAAGGAAAGAAATTCTTGTTAGACTATTTAGATAATGTTGAACTATCCGTGTCCAAATAGAAACCACAAAGCTTCACGCATTTTGCTTGGCTCATATTTGTTTTCATTGTGTCATCGAAGTTTTCAACAACATTTGTATTCCGTGAAAAATCAATTTATTTTACAAATATTTTCAAGTTTTGATTTCATTACATCATTTAATCACCGAAAATGGCTATGGCTATGCAAAATAAACGTGCTAATCTACGTCTTCCACCAGAAGTAAATCGGATACTTTATGTTCGTAATCTGCCTTACAAAATTACATCTGATGAAATGTATGATATATTCGGTAAATATGGTGCAATTCGACAGATTCGTGTCGGTAATACACCCGAAACAAAAGGAACAGCATTTGTTGTATATGAAGATATATTTGATGCAAAAAATGCCTGCGATCATCTATCCGGATTTAATGTTTGTAATCGATATTTAGTCGTACTTTATTATCAGCCGAATAAAGCATTCAAGAAAGTAGATGTCGACAAAAAAGAGGCCGAATTGGATCAGCTTAAGAAACGATACAATATCTAGACATTAACAAGATATATTATAGTATTCCTTTAAAATGGAATCTTTTTTTATTCATTTGTAAATAATATCAACAAAATTCATTTTTTTATATGAAAAAATAATAAAGAATTTCATTTCCAAAAGGAAAATTTGAGAACAAGAGAAAAAATTATTTACAAAAAAAATCGTAATCAAAGAATTATTGGTTGGCGGATTTATAACAAAAGCGATGATTATTCGATGAGGTAAACATTGTTGGAATGAATGCTACGATGTGATGATGATGATCCAATGGCGGAATTTGCGGCTACTGCGGCAGCAGCAGCCGTTGTAAATTCAGAATTCATAAATTCAATTTCACTTTTACGTTTATCTTCACGTGAAAAATATAGGCCAATAGATGAAACACCCATGACAAACAATAGACCACCAATCAATAGGAATACAATACCCGTTATCCATATCGCTTCTGGTATCGATGGTGATGAACCAAAAACCATTAAAATGATACCGATAAAAAAGATAAAACCGGCAATACAACAACATAGAATACCAAGTGAAAAATATCTTCGCGGTGTTTCCACATAATTATCATTATAGACATAACTACCGGTTATTGTGCTCATTATGATTAATGGATCTATAATAATCGTTGATATGGGTTTTTTTTTTAATTCACAATCAACTATAAATTATCAAAAATTATTAACAATAAAAAAGAACGAATTTAAATGATGAAATCATTTCATTCGATCAAAGAAAAAAAACAAACAAATTCTTGAATGAGATCTTTGCCAATTATTAAATCAGATACAAATATACCGAATATTATTGTTGTATGATTATCGTATAAACATTATAAGGATGATGACGGTGGTAGTAAACATCTTGAGCTCATTCAAGACAAACATACTCATAAATCGTTAGAAATCAAAACACACAATTTCAAAAGAGATTTCGAAACAAAATGATGAAAGGTGAGCATCATTTGAAGAAAACCTGTTTCATGTTGCATGTGTGTGTGTGTATCTTGAAACTAATGAATGAATGAATGAATGAAATGAAAGCCGACAAATTGATTGTCTCTCGACATCGTTGAAATTTCATTTTTCGTAAAAAAAAATATTTTGAATGAATAAATCACTTGGTTTCGATTTCAATTTCTTCCTCATCCCATTGTCATTTTCGTTTACAGTTAGTATCGAGTATTTGATGATGGTGATGATGATGATTTTGGTGATGATGGCACTGATAGTAATGATTGTGGTGCCTTAGTTGCCGATGGTGATGTTGTTGGAGTTGTATTATCACTTTGTTTACGTTGTTCCATAAAGGTATGATAGGCTGATTTAAAAAATAAAATTGTGGCAATAAAAAATACGATCAAACCGATGGCCGTGACCGTTATTGTTGCTATTAATTTAGCCTCAACTGCTTCCGGTCGTACCATAAACCAAAGACCAAGACCTAAACATATAATCAATGATCCAATCAAACCCAAATATTTTGCAAAATGATATGAACGATAATGTGCAATATGACGACGATCTTTTTTCCGTTTCCTATTCATCACCGATATACATGTGCACAGATTTAAAGACATTTGAAGACGTAATTTAAGGTAAACAAAATATTTTAAGAATTAAAAAGAGAAAAAAAAATATCAAAATTTAACTTCTATATAGAATTTTTTTTGGATAAGAAATCACAGACAAAAGTGTTTTTAACAACAAACGTTTTAACAACAAAAAATGAAATGCGAATCTCGAGATTCCATGCATAAGAAACGGATCGAGCAACAATTATGATTAAACTTTGCTTTTGGTTTGTTTGATTATTTTGTTGTTGTTGTTGTTGTTGTTGTTATGACAATTGAAAAAAAAACATTGAAATTTGATGTTGATGTTATGATCATGAGAATGATGATACAATGAATACGACCACCACCCCAAAAAAAACATCAATATAAACACGCACATAGTCTTCTGTTATCATATCAGAAAAAAAAGTTAAATTTATTTTTGCATCTCTAATAATTATATTGCATTATTGCGATTTTTTTTAATGCGAAAAAGTCATTCATTATTTCCATATAAAAATGATTGATATCATAATTTATTTATTTTTTTATTTAATCAATTGATTTGTTTATTATCCTTCTTGACTAGGGGATGGTTGAGTTAAAATAAATATCGGATAAATTTTTTTTATATATATAGAATAAACATCTCCATTTACAACAATTGTTGATTAGAACATTCCATCTTTGATACCGACCGGTAATAATATTAGGCAAATAATGCAAAGATTACGCAATGTATAACGCCAATCATTTGTAATCAAACAATGAACAATACAATCTGTTATCATGTGAATATCATGTGCAATTGATATAAATATGAATGATGTGATTACTACATTCAATACCGGATAGCCTGGTATTAGTACCAAAATTCCATGAGTATCAGCAGCCAACCATATATGATATTGACAAAGGAATAGCTTAAGAGAGGAACAATCAATTGAAATAAATAAACAAACAATTAATGAGTTCAATTTACCTCAAGAGAAATTCGACCAAACCAAGAGAATAACAAACTGAAACGAGAACGAAACCATTTTGATGTATTACGTAATATTATGAACGATATTATTGGTATAAATGAAACGTATGGATGTAATTCATTACATTCGGATTTGTTATTGCAGAGAAATGTCAACGCTATATAAAACTATTTTTTATACATAAAAATAAAAAAGGTGGTCAACTTGTTTTTTTAAAACTTGCAATAAATTAACATTGATAAAAAAAACTTACAATCAAACCAATAAGGGCGGAAAATATGGCAAAAATACTGATACGAAATGGAAACAAATATGGATAAGTATCATTCTCCCAGATAAGTTGATGTTTACGTAACATCTGTAAGCCAAACGCGGTGATCATTCCAAACAGGACGCTCTATATAAATTGATTTTAATTTTAAAAAAAAATTATTTTTCCACAAATTAAAATATCATTTGACTTACATAGCGATCAATTTTCCAACGAAACCACCATTCTTTAATGGAATCATCTGCATTAACAAACAATGCTTTCCATGGTCTAATGAGAAAAATATTCTCAAAAAATACTTCCGAAGTATATAATAACGAAACAATGGCAAATAAAGTGACAAGCTTCAAAACAAGATAAAAATAATGTGATGAATTTGATTCAGCCGATTGAGCCGAAACATGTGGTATAATTTTGAATGTAGTGAACATTATGATAAACCAAAATGTTACAAGTGGAACAAAATAATAAAATTGATAAGGACGATTCATACAAAGACAAAGGCAAACGGCAAGAAAATTTAAACGAAAAATAACTTTCCAAAATCTTGTAAAACTAACATCACCGGTTGTGTAGAAATAGGTAAAATGTCCATATCCGCTTAGAAATAAATACAATGATACCAATAATCGAACGGACATATAAATTGGTAAAACTTGTGATGCACCCGTATAATGATAGGCTAAAATGACCAATTGCATCCAACCTTTTATTTCGTTTGTTTGATCCGTATGCAATACATTCGTATGTGATGATTCATCAGTAAAGAATAAGCCTAATGCAAAAACATAGGCAATCGGAAGTAGAAAATTTGGACGAGTAAAATATTTGTTTTCTTTCATGAAGAAATTTGTACGATCACAGAGATAAAAATATAACATTATAATTCCTAAACGGGTTAAAAGAAAGAATAAATCTCGTTTTATTATCGGCTCATTTTTTTCATCTGATGATTGTTCGGGGTTAGTGATTATCGGTACTTCGTTCGAATTATTATTATGATCTTGATCATTATCGTCGTGATCAACGTCACTGTTGATCTCTGAGTTATTGTTATCGAATACACCATTCACTTTAATCAATTCGAATTCACAATCATCATTTTTTAATCTTGTCCATTTATATTTTCGTCTACGTAGCCTGAAATGATTTTGTTTACTAAAATATCCATTATAGATATAAATCGTTGTACTGATTGCAATGATCATTGTGAATACCATTAAAACAATAAATTGAATGGCAGTGATTTTCTCTGGATCACTGCAACATGTACCATCATTATAATTCATATGATCATTGCAATAGAGATTCAATAGAATTTGTATGGAAAATTTCAATGAATGTGAATCGATACGAAGTTCATCATTCGAACCATTTATTGAATCTTCACCAATAAAACCTTGCGCCACTAAACGAGCTGAACTCCATACATGGACCGTATTTGCTCTGGCAAAACGAAGCGCTTCCATTGCTGCCTTATTATACAGATCAATTTGTTCATTCGTGATTATCGTTGTCTTTGGTTTTTCTGTTTGTAAAAAACCGTAATGCTGTTGTTTGATTGGATCTTGCAGTACCCATAGAAATCTAGTGGTTCGATTCAATGATTCCATACATGGCAACATTATAGTAAGATTTTTGTGATAAAATTCCAACGCTTCAGCACTACCATTACTCGATCGAATGGAATCGGTAGCACTACCCATTATTACAATATTCGGTTTAAGATGATCTCTTAATGAAGACCAATGTTTACATTGATCAATCATTGATCGATTAACAACTGGCCTCCATAAAAATCTAATGTTTAGATCGAGATCTTTATCTTGATATTGTGAATCTTCATAATGATGATCGATTGTAGTTGATGTTGGGGGCGGATTCACATCAATAGATTGTACAAATTGTTCATATAATTGATGAATACGGGCATCACCCATGAATACAATATGATTACGACCACCCCAATAGGCAATATATTTGAGGCACATTCGTGTATCACTTTATCATAATAAAATAAAACGAAGAAACAATTCAAAAAACCAAATCAATCAATTTTTCCGACTTACATTTTGGTATATGTATGTAACATGCAACCGTATGGTTGCCAAACACGATAGCTACCAAATCCATGAAAACTTCCATCACTAAGCAGCCATTTACATGATTTGACTCCTAACAATAATTAAAAAATACCCAAATCATAAATAGATCAATCGATTTGATTCGAACCTGAAGTCAAATGAAGAACGCCATGATAACCAATCAATACGAATGTAAGTAGAAAGGCAACTTTTTTAATATTATTAGATGATAATAGATTTCTTATCATCCAATGATCACTAAATCCATAGGTAAATATTTCAGATTTCATTATCCAAAAAACAAAGATTCCTAATTATTATTACAATTCCATAAAATTCTAAGCCATTTTTCTCATGCTTTTTTATGTATTCACAAAAAAATGGGAAAATAAACAATGTCCATAGATTCGAAATGCGCATGGCAAATAACTGAATGCATCAGCTGCAAATTTTCTTGGATCAAAAATGTTCCATTATTAAATCTCAAGAATTAGTAAAAGAAAAATTTAAAATAGACACCAATTTTTAATGAATAATCAAAATTTTATTCAGAAATTCAAATAAACAAATATTTTAAGTGATGAACTACATGTTATAATTGAATGAATTATATTTTTCTTAATTTGAAATTATTTTTCCTCATATAGATGTTTAATATCTTTCCATTGTTTCTGAAATCAATAAAAGTAGTTAGTTAGTTTCGATTTAAAATGAAGATTAATAAATTACTTACGCCTTTATTTATCGTATCGAATGTATAATCTGAAAAGGCCGAAACGCCACGTTCTAAAAAGAATGCCATACCGATGACGGCCAATGCTGCTGTTGATGTTCGTGCAAACACGGCCCTATAGATTGTTCGTCCTAAACTCATTTCTGTTTTTATTTTGGATGCGAATTGATTGAAAAATTTACGATTTAATTAATTAGTTATTGGAAAAAACGATGAGATGTGTCAACACACAAAAACATCAATGTGTATGAAAGTCGAAAGGACGCTTCTGGGAATATTACCGCATTTGGGCAAAGAATTTTTGCCAGGAAACTTTCTTTAACAAGAAAAATTGACACTGTTTCTATTGAAAAATTTATAAATTATAATAAATTTAATTAGAAAAAATTCAACAAATAAAACAATTTGAAAAAAATGAATATTTAACAACTAATCAGCATTTGATTGATTATCATTTTCGGTGGATTCCAAATCTGTGGCCGTATCCACATCCATATTCGAATCATTTTCATCATCATTTTTGTATATTCTAATGCCAATTTTATCAAGAACGGCATCAATTTTATGACAATAATCCATATGGCCTTTAATCTAGAGATAAAAACTTTATTATTGTTAAGAAATTTATAAAAACATTCATTTACCATATCTGTGAGGTCATGATTTTCTAGTTTTTTATTTTTTAAATTCACTTCCTGTAGGCCAGCAATTCTCATTGTAGCAGTCGATGTTCGATATAAAAATTTCAATAGCCAATCATCACGACAAAAACCATTGATAATTTTACCGCTTATGATCGACATGAATCGTTCCCAACGTTCAGGTACGGCTGACACTGGTGCACCAAGCAGTACAACATCTTCAATTATTCCTTCTGAATTTTGACGTTGTGCTAGTTCTTCGAGACAAAAAAATATAACCCTTGCGCCTAGACTGAATCCGATCAATGAAACAGGTCGTTGACCTTGTTGCCTCGATAATAAAACATCAGCTAAAAATTTACCAACTTCAGCTGATCTACTAATGCATACACCCCATGGATTATCGATCACACTTGAAATGGTTAATAATGTTGTTGGCCAAGCTATAGCTGCCATGATACCACTGAGAAGAGTATATTTTAGGGCTTCTTGAGCTGCCATCGAAATGGCAAATCCAATAAAATAATTCAATGCTTTGCCCAATTCCAACAGATAAGAAGATTCATATCTTAAAGAATATTGTTCCTGACTATTTGCTAATGATTTCCAATGTTTACTATATGCATCATCCGATTCCTCAGTAATCCAACCCGATATGGCAATAGTTAACGTTAAGCTTCGATTATCGGAAAGATTTTCGAATGCAAACTCCTCAATATTTCCCACACGTTTATTCATTTTATAACCAGCAAGTCCAGCACCGGCTACACCGAACAACGATCCAATGACAGCAACACCTGCAGGTGTTCCAAGAATAGCTGCGCCACTTGTCAATGCTGTTGCTCCAGCTGCAATTAACGGAGCAGATAAACCACCAGTTAGACCTAGAATGGCTCCACCACCAATACTGGCCAGTGCTATTAGTGCATATCGTTTGATTTTTTTAGTTTGATTTCTTCGCCGCTGTCTTTGATCATCATCATCATTATTCTTCACTTCGGCGGTCGACAACATTTCGACTAATGATAATTCACTCAATTCCAAATATTCTAATGAACTACCAAGAAAATTGGCTAATTTAATTAATATTACACGCATTCGAGCATCATAATTGCCATCTTTAACAGCGAATACGACCAAATCTTCAACAATCTGTGTTGATTTCATTGCTTTTTTATCCATTTCTTTGTATATTAATTTGATAAATGAATTTAAGTCGGCACCGCCTTCACCATCGATCATAGCTATCATTGATGCGCTAACTTTTGCTGGCAGATTAAGATATGCGACCAGATCTTTAATGGATTTTTCTATAAATGGCCTTTGAACATTCAAATGGAATTTGACGCATAAACCGAATTAAATAAACATTACTTACCTATGATGAGATTCGGGAAAATATTTATGAAACAATAATGTACAAAGACCACATAATGAATATGAGCCAGCATCACCAAGACAATCTATCAAAGTACTTTTATATCGAGTCATACGTGTTGATATCATAGAATCCGATGTAGATGATCCAAGTAATGGTATTGATGCTGTTGTTGATATCAAAGATGTTCCTATTAATTGACTAGAACGATTATATTGATGATGATCTTCATTGCCATTTTCATCACCTATAACTTTCATCATCTCATCATCTAAATTTTGATTATTCATTTCATGAATCTAAAAATGACGAAATAAAATTGTTGATATAGATTGGCGGCCCAATTTTATCTAGATGTTTAAAGTTTATCAAACGACGAAAACAACAATAACAATAGAAATGATGTTGATCCATATGTGTGAGTCATATGAAATAATAATAAAGATTTCGTCAAATGGTTACCATTGTTATAATAATAAAAATATCAACAGGTAATATCTTGTGTATGTGCACGAGCTCTTTTTTTTGGCCAATATCGAAAAAAAAGGGAAAATTACATGAATCCAAAGTGGCGCCATCCATCAACAGATGATATTATATAAAAAATCATTTTTGTAATTATGAACTAACCTGTTTTTTTCGAATTCGAACTGTCCAAAGAAATATCTTCAACAAACTGACACGAGTCGCGCGTGACCATTAATGTTGATCAATTTCTTGGACAAGAAGAAGAAGAAAAAAATTTCGAGCTCCACCTTTGTAATGAGCAAGTTTTTTTTTTGCTATCGATGATGACCCAAACATATCAGGAATCAGGTAACACAGGTTAACTTTATCGACATGGTGATTAGTAATACCTTAACCTAATATTGATGATCAGGTCGTTGTCATCAATGATGATGTTGATGCTTTTTTTAAGTGGTCAATGAATAATACGTTGCCCTTTTGAGAACAGTGCTAAGAAAATCCAACAAAACAAACATAATATAATCATATTTTTTCACAAATGCCCGAATCAATTCATAACGACAAAATGGATAAACGTGATGAAGAAATTCTTGAATTAAAACAAAAATTAATCGATCTAATGAAAGAAAATAATGAAATGAAAGAATTGATCCTATTTCTTGATGATGAACGTAATTATGCTCGACAATTTGTACGACAAATCAATAGTAAACAATCAATGAATTGGAATTCATTAAAACAGAAACTTAACTATTTGGAACAGAAACAATTCGAATTGGTCAAAGAGAATCTTTCACTCAAACAGGTAATTATTATCAATTCTTTTTATTCTTTATCTTGAATTTGATTTTTTTTTTCATAATTAGCTTTGTGTTTTGCTTGATGAAAATTCAAATCTAACGGGTTCTGATCAGAATCAAATATCATCAAATGGTAGACAAATTGATTCAAATAAATCTTCGAATTCTTCCAATTCGTCATCAACAAATGGCCTATCTTCATCCGTTGTTTGTCAATACATTTTACAATTAGAAAATGAACTAAAATCTCGTGGTATATCAATGCAACGTCCAAAACATATACATGACATTATTAAATTAAATTCATTACGTAATTGTGAATCAAATAATGGTCGATCATCATCACCATCATCTTTAAATAATAATAATTCATTTACAACCAGTGAAGAAAAATCAATTATTTATTCATTAAGTGAAACGGCAATCAAATCAATTGTGTTCAATGGCAATGGTAATCATCGAATTCAATGAATCTTACAAAATAGAAAATTCTCTGTAAATACAATGCCTGAATTTTTATTTATTTATTCGAATAATAAATGACAATAAAATACTTTTTAATTTAAAAAAAAATCTTATGAAATTATATATTTTTTTTTCGAAAAAAATGATGATATTATGCAAAGAATAATGTGAAAAAAAGGAAATGTTGTTGTTGTTGTTCATTAATCGCTATTATATATCCAATTAATCGGTACCCATTGATGTTCGATTGATAAACTATCTACTGATTCTCTTAACAATTCAAATGTTTTTTCATAATTATTATTGATAATAGTTAAATCGAAATATTTTTCATATAATCTTTGAATTCTTGCCGATTCTTCAATTGTCACCTGTAGATCTTCATCTTCATAGAATTCAGCTAAACTTTGCATTGTACGACCACGTCTAGATCGTCCAACTGCTCGATCAAACTGGAAAAAAAATGTAATAATAGTTAGTTAGTTGAAAATCAAAGGAAGGAAACAATTAGTTGTTTTTTTCAAATTTAAACTTACCGTATAGTACGTACGAGACCCGTATGTATTACTACGATTCATTTCATTTATATAACGAAGTTGATCTAATGATGGTGCAGCTATGAATACAACATAAGGCATAAATTCTGCATTTTTTAACAATTTCAAACATTGTGGATTCGGATCAATAACACACATTTTACCCGATCTGATAACATTTCTTATTGTATCTAATTTTGTTCCATATAGATGGCCTTGATATTCACCATATTCAAGATATTTACCTTCGGAAATTTCTTTTTCCATTTGTTCACGTGATACAAAATAATATTGACGACCATCATTTTCACCAACACGAATTGGTCTTGATGTATGTGGTAATGGAATTTCAAATCGTTCATTATCATATTCAACAATACGATTTTTTAATTGTCCACGGCCAACACCTTGTGCACCGATTAGTATAAGTGTTTTACGTTCGAATGGTGGCGTACGACACACCTCTTCATATAGACATAATTCTGCTTTATCGAATTCAAAATTCGATTGCAAATGATACATTTCTTTTTTCTTCTTTTTCGTTATTTTTGTACCGCATATACTTGTTTTAGTTGCATAATCAAATTCTGGTCGTACAAATGCTCGTCGTCGTTCTTCCAGTTCTTGTGAAGGAATTAGACCGGCACGACTATTTGGTGAATCAACACGACGTGCTTGCCACCAATTTGGATCTTCTTGATTTAATACTTCCAATATGTCACATTGTTTAAATGCGATACCAACTTCTTTGCAAGGAAGTAAACGATCCTGACTTGGATCATATGAAAATAGTGCTCGCATAAAACATGCTGATGCTGGAACAGAATCTTTTGCCGATGGTGAAATTTTAAATAATACCGATTCATCAGATTTTCGAAGTTCTTCTTGTAATTGTTCGGGTGAATCAATTTCCTGTCCATTCACTTCTAATATAATATCACCAACATGTAGTAATCCTTGTTTTTCAATAAGACCTCCGGCTAATATCCTAGCAATGACAACCAAACCATCTTCAACTTTTACGGTCATTCCTAATGGTTCATTTTTTGATTTACGTATGCCAACCATTCGTATGGCACTGGTAGCCATATCTCCATGTGCAGATCCTACCATGGCCATATCACCATCAATTTCATTATTTCCATTCATTACATCCATTTCGTATTCCTCTTCAGTAGCTAATTTTGTTTCACGATAATCTTTTTGAGCAATACGATCATGTGCTTCAATCAATGCATCAACATGTGGATCATTCAATAAACGTGTTAATTCTTTTGCTTCTCTAGGATTATGTCGTAACATTTGTGGCTGACGGCAAATAGATTTAACTTCTTCTACAATCGATCGTGCATCATCAAACCATTGATCGTTTTGTTGTTGATTTTGTCGTATACGTTCAGCTGTTTCTTCTAAACGTTCTTGTACTCTTAATAAATTTTTTACCACAGGAGATTCGATAAGATCTTTAAGAAAATCGATATCAGTTGTACTAATACAATCGGCTTTATTATCTTCGGTTATTTGTGGATTATCGGATTGATCATTCAATACTTCGAAACTTGCCCGTAAAGTATCGTAGGCGGCTATGGAACAAACAAAAAAAAAAATAAACAAACAAGAATAAGTTATGAATGAAAACAAAAATTTTCGAATTGAGTATTGTCAAGGTAACCACAAATGAATAGGATGTGACAATAAATATTATATGAAACGCTTGAATAACTTTGTTGTTAATATCAAAACAACTAATATAACGAATTGTGACACTCAATCGAACGAAACAAAACAAAAAACATAAATCAAGTTAGTTTTGTTTCATTTCTCTTTTTTTTCCAAAAAAAAGATGATTAAATTAATGGCGCGTTTAGACACACCTGTAATAAATATATAAATACGCCCAATACGTATAAAATTATGATGAGGGCAAACCACGTAGCATCATCATATGTGATTAGACATCAAGACATTCTTTTTCTAATCATTGTAGATATTGTCTTCTGTATAACATAACGCCATTGCAAAACTAGCTTAACCACAATTCATGGATGGTATTCGCCATTACAAGACTGAGTCACACACACACACACAAACAAACACTTGCTTGCACACAGACTTATTCACATCGGTATACGGATGCTATTATAAAAGGCGAATCCTCTTATAGAAAAAAAGACAGGATTCTAAAATATTTTTTGTTTTTGTTGAATCAAAAAAAAATAACATTGCTTACATTTTCGACCATTTGATTTTCCGGTTGATTCAGGCATTATTATCAGACATTAATTAAATGAACGGTAAGATTGTCAAAATTGTCAAAGTAAAAGCATTTAAGGCATTAGAAAATTGGAATTCAAAATAAATAAACAAATCGGAAAAAAAACAAAACAAAATAAAGAAAAAAAGGCTAGGCCCTTCTTATAAGAATACGGCCTTTATACGAAGAAGATTCGAATACGAATGGCCGTATTACAATTTGGTGACTATGGTAATCGTATCCATGGTATTTCTCTCATTCATCTTGAATCAATATCAACTCACAGATCTACCACCACCACTACATCATCAGGATGATTAGCCATGGCTTCAGCAATTGTGATCATCGTGGAATGACGACAACATATCATCAACACACAAACATTGGATCGTATTGTATTGTATTCGTAGAGCCAGAAATTTTTTAAAAAAAAGGTAGTGGCCATTTTGAACAGGTAATTTTTTTTTCGCGAAATAACCGGCATATAATATCGCCACTACCAAATATCCATGATGAAAGTAAATCGATGTTTGTTTTTGTTTTTATTTAAACAAAATTCTATTCAAACAGGTGTAAAACTGAATTTTTTCAACAAAAAAAATTCGGTTGCGAAATAACCTCATGTGTGTGTTTGATGGTGGACAATGTGTGTTTGATCGTATCTCTGAATTAAAGAATTCAATAAAAAATCAATCATCAAAAAAAGGACATTTGTTTGTTTATTATTCCAATTATTTTTTTTTCTTTTCGTTTATCCATCAAACAACGACGATAACAATCAAACGATAAGAATCATTAACATCATTAATCATTCAATTCTTTCCAATCGAAAAAAAATGATTTATTCTTTATGATTGGATGTCGCCATATCCACATCTTTTTTCTTTAAAAAATTTTTTTTTCACGCAGCGACTCAATAATAACAATACACCATCATCATAACCATAACAGATACAGCAAGCAAGAAAGCAAATGGTATACATGAATCGCTCGAATATATACTTTTACATTGAAATCTTTATTATAATTTGTATAAATTTTTTTTTCTTGCCAACCCAGAATTTTTCTTACTAAACAATATACAACATTGTTGTTTTTTGTTTTTGTTTAATAATTTGTCCAAATATTTATTATTTACCATTTTATGAATGATGAATCCAGATATGTTTGGCTGCTTGCCGCCTGATCATTATTATTATTATTGTCATTGTTGTTGTTGTTGTTGTCGTTATGTACAGACATGATAAATATACAAAAAAAAACATCAAACAGAAACGAAAGAAACAATTTTATTGTCTAAAGTGTATATGTATTTCTGACTGTTTTATTTTTTTTCTCTCTTTCTCTCTTTCACCCATTTAATATTCATTTTTTTTGGGTGATGATTTGGATTTTTTTTCCATTTTCTTTCATTCTTTTTTTTACAATTTATCCTTTGTCATACTCTCAATCTAATTCATTCATTCATTCATTCTTTGTTGATAATGTCGGTAAAAAAAACATCAAGATCATTGTAAAAAAATGTGTATCATATATCGTTAATATTGATGACCATGGCCGTTTGAGATAAAATGATTGTATCATCATCATCATCATCATCAGCATTATTAATTTTCATATTTGAACAAACTAAACACGTCAACAGAAGAAAAAAATATTAATAATCTTGGTTGATATCGAATTTCATAAATTAATACGCTTGTTTTTTTTTTGATGGTGGTGGTATTTGGTTTCAAATAATAATCATAATAATAATTTTTTTTTCGTTATCCGCTCGATTCTTATTATTTTTTTCTGTTTGTGCCTGTTAACAAAACAAAAAAAAAATCATTGTTTATTTTTTGTTGTTCGATTCGAATCGAAAATGAATGAAATTAATAATAATAATATTTTAAAGCAGCAAACAATAGCTGCAATTTCATCATCGATTGATGCTGATAATCAGGTATTTCAACAACAACAAAACAACAAAAAAAACCTTGAAATTAAATTAAATTAATTGATGATTTTTTTTTAAAAGGAATCTTTTATTCCATCCGATTGTGATTTAATGGACGACAATCAACAATCTCAACAGCCTAAACAACAACAAAAACCACCGAATCAATGGCATATACTTGAAGGAATTAAAAATGGTCATCAACCACCAGATGATAAAACTATTGAACCTAAACCACCATTATTCACTGGTTATATATTAAAACGTCGGAAACGACCTTTAAAAGGTTGGCATAAACGATATTTTCATCTGGACAATGGTATACTATCATATGCAAAAAATTACAATGATTGGCAAAAACAGAAATTACATGGTTCGACCGATATCGGATTATCAGTTATTTCATGTAAACCATCTAGTCGTCGTATCGATATTGATTCAGATTCGGGAATCTTTCATTTGAAAGCTAAAAAAGAAGATTTCAATCAATGGGTGCATGCATTACGGACACATCGATTAGCACGACAACATGAAATTGCATTCGGTGGTGCACATAATCATGATCATCCTACACTAGCTTCAATCACAGAAGATTCAATAAATTCACCACCATTTTCCCTTCAACAAAATCGGCTGAAAAGTCAAACATCTTTAACCAGTCCGATGTCCCTTAAACAAAAATGTGATAAATTGTCTTCACAATCATCATTGTTGTTAATCAATCAATCCAATTCAAATGTAACTAAAATACAGGAAAAATTGGTTAAATTAAGTTCATTGATTAAATTTATTGAAACGACACCTGGAAACGGATCGACTGGCGTTCCTTGTGTCGATGATCTTGAAACTTATAAATGTACGAAAAAATTATCAAAACTTCGACGTTTTCATCTACATCGATCGAAAAATAAAAATAAATCCAAAGATCTTGATCAATTTGGACGTCCTAAATTATTGTTACAGCAACAATCATTTTTAAGTGTTTCACATCCATCATTAACCGATGATGATCTAACGGCTGCTACTACTAATTGCGCTAATCAATCAATTACAGCTATGAACAAGAATGCTGCTATGAAGGAGTTTGTTCAATTGGCTAATGAAAGTAAATGAATTAATCTTTTCACTTTGAATTTGACATTAATACTTTGATTTTGATTCTTCCTCTAGTTAATAATAATTTTCGACATTTATTGAAATCGATACAAGAAATCAAGTACGATGACAAACAAGATGATAATAATGAAGAACGATTGAAATCAATACAAACTCCATTCGATAAATCTATACTTAATCATGGAGATGGTGAAGATGAAGATGTATTCATTAGTAGTGAACAACAATCGCCTTATCATCGAACATATTCGATGGATGAAACGTCTGTGATGAGTATTTCCGAATATCATGATGCTGAAGATAATGTCAGTTTTGTTGGTCAACCAACTCGTTCATCCGATGATTATAATTCGTCATCATCTTCATCTTCAATCGATGATGAAGATGATGATGATGAAAGTATTGTTACTGATTTTAGTGAAGATAGTCATAAACAAAATGGTTGCCTAAAACCGGAACAGCAAGTGGCAGTTAAACGTCGGACCCAATTACCAAGTGCTGAACCTACAAGTGAGTTTTTTTGAAAAAAAATCAATCAAATAATATGATCAACAAAATCCTTCTCATCATATCGGTATGTATTATTTATTAGATGATATTAGTTTATGGAGCTTGTTGCGAAAGAATATTGGTAAAGATTTATCTAAAATATCCATGCCTGTTACGATCAATGAACCATTGAATTTATTGCAACGATTATGTGAAGAGTTGGAATATTGTGAATTGTTAGATATGGCTGCAGCAATGATCGATGATCCTTGTCAACGAATGCTGATGATGGCTGCATTTGCAATTTCATCGTATAGTTCATCCTATTATCGTGTTGGTCACAAACCATTCAATCCATTACTAGGTGAAACATATGAATGTGTTCGTGATGATAAAGGCTTTCGTTTCATTGGTGAACAGGTTAGCCATCATCCTCCGATATCCGCTTGTCATGCTGATTCAAAAAATTATGTTTTTTGGCAAGGTTATATTGAATTTTGTTTGTCTTTTTTTCCATTATTCCTTGATTTGTTTTTTCTGTACCTAATTAGATATGCGAGTGAAGACAAAATTCTGGGGTAAATCAATGGAAATCATTCCGATAGGAACAGTGAATGTTATATTACGACCATCACAAAGTCATTATCAATGGAATAAGATAACCACTTGCGTGCATAATCTATTCAAAGGTGAACGTTATGTTGATATCTATGGTGAACTTACGATAACCGAAATGGGCAATGATCGTAATGATAAGTTAACCTGTAAGATAACATTCGACAAAGCTAGCTATTGGTCGAGTAGTCAAAATGAAATTCATGGTATGGTTATGAATAATCGTGGTCAAATTATTGAACGTATACGAGGTCGTTGGAATGAATCAGTTTATGTAGGATCCCGTTGTATATGGCGTGTCGGTACAATGCCTGATAATTATGAAGCATACTATGGTTTTACTCGATTCGCTATTGAATTGAATGAATTACTTGATGAGGAAAAACCTTGGCTTCCACCTACAGATACACGATTTCGACCAGATCAGCGTGCTCTAGAAGAAGGTGATGTTCAACGAGCCGAAACAATCAAATCAGAACTTGAACAACAGCAACGTGAACGACGTAAAATGCAGGAAATGAATGGTGAAACACCTATGCCACTTTGGTTTAGGTAAATTTATTTTCAGACAAAAGAAATTTTTAAAATTATCCACTTTTTTTTCTTAGGAAACAACTAAATGGTTATAAAGATAATGATGAAGCTGATATTTATATATTCAACAATCAATATTGGGATTCAAGAGCTCATCATTTTGATGGAATTGATTTTGCTAGATTATGGTAGAGTTTGAATAATGATTCTAGTCAATTGATAATGGGGTATACTCGTACACATTCAGACCATCCTTAATTGAATATTATTATTAATACATCATTGTTATGATTCTTGGCTTCCATTAATTTTTCAATTTTTAATGTTATTTAACGACAAATAGCTTATAATTTTTTTTTTGATTATTTTATTCTTCTATGTAATGTTTGTAATTTGAATTCATTTTAATAGAATTCAATCTATATTTCGATCAAAGAGTTAATGAATTGTTATTTTATTTTATTTTTGGTTTTGTTTATGATATTTTTGGTGAATTTTTACAAAAAAAAAATCTGGAAAATAATTGAAAAAATTGATCAGCAAATAAAAGTATTTTTCTTTTTTTCCGAATGTCAATAAAATTTAATCAAAGGAAAACACAGGAGTTTGTTTATTTGTTTTATCAATTATTAAATTCTTTAAAACTATGATGACAAATGATTACAAACATTGAATGATGATGATGATCACTAAGGAAACTAATTTAATGCAATTTTATTGAAATCAAATAAAAAAAAGGTGTGACCATCATGGCGACTATCATCATCATCATTATCCTGATTAATCGCATCATGGTAACCATAAATTTATCTTTCTTCATTTAATATTATTTTTCCATGTTTTTGTATCAATATAAACTATGGTTAACTGATGTTATGATGATGATCACCATTGGTGACCAATAATATTAACTAAATATAAAAAAAATTGTCATCGACAAATCTTTGTCCAAAATATATTATTACTATTATTGTTGCAACAAATTTGAAACATTATCAGCATTTTTTTGGTTTGCTTGCAAAAATAATAAACGACGCAGCTATTATTTTACATTCATTCATTTAATTATTTAGTGAAAATTTTTTCCTTTATTTGTTATTCTTCTTTAATAACAGGATTGTGAAGATTTAAATTCCAGAATCGAAGAAGAAAGGAAAAAAATGCGTCAATACGGAGAATCGAAAGTTGATTCAACATTAGTGTTGGCCATCAGTGCCATCATTATCGGTAATTATTTTGTTTTGTTATTGTGTTTGATGATGATTAGTAATCCAAATTTGTTCATCATTAAAATAGGTCTCATCTTCATTATATCCGGTGCAATTGTATCCGGCATCGCATATACGGAAATTACACCACCAAACTATGATGTAAATATGTTCAATAGATAATTATGTTCGATCATCGATCATGATTGATTGAAATTCATTTTTTTCAATTTTAATCCTTTTCTTCATCTATTCTTTTTTTAAACATAGGATAATTATGATCGTTATATTGGATCAAGTGTACCACGATTATTAGGACCATTTTTATTAGTATTTGGTTTCTTAATTGTTATTGGCAGTGGTGTAATGGCTGGTATGAAAACAATGCGTGAAAATGAAAAATCCTATCATGGAATAAGTGGTGGACCACATCCAACAATGTATTCGGCAGCAGATATTGAACAGGATGATTCACCACCATCACTTCAAGAAAAAATGTAAACAAATTCAAAGCAAATTAAATTTTCATTTTTAAAAAATCATCCATATCATCCACAACCATTGAAACATTTTTTTTTTAAATACCCCATTACACATTCCATATTTTGTACGTTTTGGTTTTTTTTTATTGAATAATAACGAAAGTTTTTATTTTCTTCGTTATACCTATTGTTTATATATGTTTTTTTAAGACAAAAATAAATATTCTTTTGGTTTGTTTGGTTTTAAAAAGTTTTTATTTCAAAATTTTAGATTTTATTTTTCAAAAATTCATTATGAATGAATACAGGAGAAAAAGAGCGGTACAATCATTGAAGTCGATTATATTGGAATCATTTTAGTCGAAAATCCGAATGAATTATCGGTATAAAACATTCAGTAATTCGAATGATTACCAAAATCGATGATTGTTTACTTGGACCTTTCCCTCATCTTCCTACGTTTTCGTTTCAACCTTCGCATTCGTTTCTTACGCCACTGTTATTAATAAAAACAATAAAAAATTAAATTTTTTAAAATTTTTAATTAAAAAAACAACATACCTTGGCTCGCATTTTGGTTCGATTTTAAGACAGCGTGTAACAAACAACACTGTTCAACATACACACAAACATTGACCAAAAAAAAGAAACGAGGCACACAGTGTCAGGAAAAGGAAATTTCCGGAAAATTTTCATATATACACGTAACGTATCGTATGAAAGGAAAATCGTATTATACATTGTGAAAATTCGAAAATTTCAAATTAATTTCTAAATTTGATTTTTTTTTTACAAAAAAAAGAAGTTACTTTTCATAATTATAATCACTATATAACTGTTGTTTTTTATCATTTATATAATAATTTGTTTTTTAATTCATCATCATCATCATTGATCGAATCAGATGTATCGGAATCATTAATTATATTGTGAAAAAAATTGAAATGAAAATTAATGAAAAAATAAAAGAATTAACTATTTTTCGAATTAATAATAATAAAAAGAGCAAATTCAGGGAACTTGTTTACTCGTTGTATTGTGTGTCTGTATGTGGATGTGAGTGTGTATAATCGAGTGTAAAATTTAAATTCTAACCAAACAAGCGAAACAAACAAACAAAAAAACGACTGAGGAAAAAAAACAGTAATCCTGTTAATTATCCAAGTCAATCTGAATCAAAATTTGGTCATTGTATTCGTGTATCGATTTTGTGTGTTTTTGTTTTATGGTATGGATAATGATTGAGGGGGGCAACGGGTAAGTGTGAATTGAAAATCTCAAAAATTTAAATTCAATCATTGGGTGACGGGTATAAATATGGTAAATTGATTTGATTTTACCAATTAATTCAAATTATCTTCATTGTAATCATAATAATAATAAGATGATAGCAATAATTCTTAATATAAATATATATAAAGTATAAAACAATTTTTTAAACATTCGGGTAAAACATATTTATGGGTTTTTGAGTGTGTGTGTTTTGTCTGTTTTTTTTCTTTGATTTTATGAATTCTTTTTTTTTTTTGTTGCTGTTTGCTCGATTTTTAGATTTTAATTCAATACACAGGTTTTAGCAGACCGGATGATTCTATGTGTGGGTGTGTGTGTGTGTGTGGAAAGACTCAACCAAGACAATCAGATCAAATGTTTATATTTGTTGGATAATTGTGTATTTTAGTTGTTCCGCTGATTTGTTGATTATTTTCCGACAATATTATATTCACTCTTGTCATTTGATGTGTAGAATGTGGTGGTATGTTTATTTGTGTCTGTGTCGATTTTTTTTTAAGATTTACAACAACCTGATGATTGTTGTTGTGTATCATTTAGATCGATTCGTCTTCCGGCACCTGATTGACCTCCAGCACTACCACCGGCTGTTTGATCTGTTTTAGGTAATTTTTTAGCTATAGCCAAAAATATATCATTAACATTCATGGCTGTTTTTGCCGATGTTTCCATAAACAGAAGGCCATTTTCATCGGCATATGCTTGAGCTTCGTCCGTTTCAACTGCACGTTTGTTGCTCAAATCAGATTTATTACCAGCCAATGCGATCACAATATTTGGACTCGCTTGTCGTTGTAATTCTTTTACCCAGGTTTTTGCTCGATTGAATGTATCCTAATGAATAATGATGATATTTAAATTATAAATTAAAAAATGTTATCAAGAACGTACTTGATTAGTAATGTCATAGACAACGATAGCGGCCTGGGCTCCACGATAATACATGGGCGCCAAACTATGATATCTTTCCTGGCCAGCCGTATCCCATATTTCAAATTTAACAGTCGTTTCATCCAAACAAACCGTTTGAGTTAGAAAAGCAGCTGTTATTAATTTTCATTAAAAAAATTATTATCCCACATTTATCTTTTAAATAATCGAAAACATACCTCCAATTGTACTTTCTTGATATTCATGAAATTGGCCTTTAACAAAACGTAATACAAGACTTGATTTACCCACAGCCGATTCACCAAGCAGAACAAGTTTGAATTGACAAATTTTTCCTTGCTGTCCGCTAGCGGATGAACCGCCACCACCATTTGGTCTTTGTTGTACATTACGATTTGCCATTATTATCAAGTTTCTTTTGCTTTAGATTCAATGTCTATTTTATCCAAATAAAATTAAAATGATTAAGATTATAATCAGAAGAAAAAAACTTACTTCAAAATAAATGTGTGAAATATGTTAAACAAAACGAAAAAAAAATAATCACACAAAATAGTAAAAAATTTTATTGAAATCAAAATTTTAAAAAATATAGAATATTGCTTTATAATGGATGAAAAATTGCCTAGATAAATTCACATATACACACAGGACAAAGATTTCTATACAAAACACCGACACACATCAACACCAACAACAAACGAAGAAAAAAAAATCTTTTTTAAAAAATCCGGAATAGAATCGTATTGAAGTTCAAGTTTTTTTTTGTTTGTTTGATTTTATTTTACAAAAACAGAAACAGAAAAAATTCAGAACATTTACACCAAACACACACACAATCCGTCACAACAAAGAGTTTAATAGAAAGAGGAGTTATTGTTATTATTGTATTAAATGGACCTGATGCTAAATATCGTTGATAATAATGATGATGATGATGATTTTTTTTTTCAATAAATGGTGATAGTTGTGTTTGTTGGTTGACAAAGAAAAAAATCAAAACCAGAATCAATGTGTTCTGTTTTAATGCGTTTAAGCCAAATTTTTTTTCAATGATGATGATGATGATGAATAAAATGTAAATTGTGGATTGTTGTTTGAGAGATTGAGAGAGATGAAATAATAATGACAACAAAGAAAAACTACGACCATTCAATTTGTAGAAAAAAAATGGGCAGAAATAAAGGCAACAAGATAACTAAAAAAATTTCTTTTTCTGTTTATAAGCGCAAACCATTTGATTATTTTTTATTTTAATTTTTTTTAATTTTCAATTTATTAATGAGTGAAAATTTGTTTTAAAACTCATAAGAAAATGTATTGCAAAACTAATGATGATGAAAATAAATAAAAACCAAAAAATAAAGACAGCAAATGGCCGACTCACAATTATAAATATCCAACAACAACAACAACAACAACATAGAGCAGAACAAAATAATCTTTTTTTCTGGCTGGATTTTTGTTGGGATGGTTGGCTGGTTGGTTGGTTGGCCTGATGATGTTGCGATATATTTTTCTCTCGATAATGATGATGACAAAAAAAATATATTCGCATTCGAAAGAAATGGGCTGTACTTATGGTTATTATCTCTATCAGTTTATAGTCACAATTGAGATATTCAAATGTATTCTCGCTCAACAATATGCTTCTACTTTGAAACGCATTTACATTGCTACAATATCATTTTGTTTCATTATGACTAAACATTTTTCGTTCATCGCACTAATATCAGTACATTTTGATTGTCAACCCCCCGTTTTCATAATATAATGCTGCGTAGAATATTACTGATTAATGATTGCTAGCAGTAATATCAACAATATGATGAGCTATCCAATAAGGACGTTTTGAATGTTTGAAATCTAAAAAATTGTGGCGCAATTTTTTTTTTCCTGTTTTTATTGTTACGCAGCAAAATAAATTAATAAATAATTAAGTGATTTTATTATTATTGTCATCATTGTGAATACATTATGGCATTTATCATGATACATTTTTTAATTTATTAACAAAATCAACAATTGCATGCGGTGGTTGATCTGGTTCGTAATGTCCAAATATCAAACATTCATTTTCCAATGGTGTATTTTTCTTCTGGGTTACAAATCCAAATAGATAGCTAAAAAAAGAATATTTTTTTTTTGGTCAGAAAAAAATCCATTATTTCAGATTATTTTAGAATTTAAATTTACCTTTCAAGTTGTATATGATCTGAATGATATGGCCAACAACGATTATCCGGATCGATTGAACAAAAACTAATCGATTTTATTGGATAATGTTGACGAAAAAATAGCCTTTTAATGGGATGTTATAAATTTTTATAAATTTCTTCTTTTGTTTTAAATTTTCAATAAAACTTACCTGTGGCTATTATCTGTCAATGTAATACCTTTACTTGATGCTTTGAAATGAATAATAGCTGGTTGAATTTTCTTTCGATCACTTGAATTCATTATCATTTGATCGATAACTTTTTTAATAGCTGCATTTCCTGTCAATGATTCAACATCTTCTTTGATAAAATAAAGTACATTACAAGCTGCTCCATTTTCATAGAATTGTTTAAGTAGATTTGTATCCGAATATAATGAACCATAATTAGACATATCCAAATCATCATTCGATGATGGAATAGTCAATCGTATAGGTAATGATATTTTGGTTATTGAATGTTGATAGACTAATGCGGCTAAACTACTAAATACCGGTTCTTCTAGACAGCCTTTTATCTGTACACCTTTGTTAGTCGATTCAATTAGGAAATGACGAACCGGATCAATGCTATCCGGTCGAGCATCTTCACGTGCAACACGAACTGCTAATCCAAATGCATTAGGAAATGAATTCGAATCACGAATAATAAATGATCCAGGTGGTCGATCTTGTAGATAGCGAACAGCTAATATGAACATAGTTAATAGTATTTTCATTTCAAAAAAAATATTCATACCTTCTTCCCGTGAAATGGTTGGTTTGTACCAATAGGATGATGTATCCTGAATAAACATTGGCACATTATGTTGGCCATCATTCATTGTTTGTTTCAATAATGATGATAATTTTCGATTCTTTTGTCTAACCGGAAAAGCAGGCGTCGATGATCGTAGCTGTTGTGAATCAGAATCCGTTAGCTTAAGTCCAGCTAAAAACTGTGCTGAACTTGTAGGAAGTTCTGCCAATGAATCTATATATTGATTGACGTTTTTATCTCTTTCAACTTCATCGATTTTCATGACTGTTTGTTCATTGATTGATTGGTTATTAGCACCGTTCTGTATTTTATGAATAATACCATAATCGTCATTATCAGTATCATCCTGATAAGGTATTTGGCTTAAAAAAATGTTTCGACTAGATGTACGTGTTGGCACTTCAGGTGGTGTTGAACGATGAACCATTGATGAAGGTGATTGTTTAATCGATGTCTTTAATTCAGCAATCAATTGTTGTTCAACAGTTTGTTTCGGTCGATTTCTACGTATTGTAAGCAATTTTTGTTGTTGTCGTTGAAGCCAATCTAGATTCTGTTGTTGTTCAGATACAATGGGATCAATATTTTCTTTGCCCAAATCACCACCTGGAATTTCACTCAAATATTCCTGACCATTTTTTGTTACAAAATCGTAATACGATTCTTTAGATGACGATGATTGGGTTCTTAATGGTATCGGTTTAGTTTCTAAATTCGTTCGCACATCAGGGAATGATTGTATTTCGGTGAAAATTTCATTAATTAATTCATCAAGAACAAATTCATCTTTAATTTTGGCCTGTTGTGGTTGTTCTGGTAATAATTGTTGCTGATTTGTCGCTGGTTCAATACTTGTTGGTTTTTTTAATACAGTTGCATATAGACTTCCGTCTAACGGACCTTTGGTATACTCTAATGATGGGACACATTTATCTTCGACGGTAGCAGTTCCCACTGAAGATTTTTGCGTCATGGCTGCAGTTGTTTGAGTGTTGAAGAAATTTTCATATGAATTACATCGAATAATTTGACTATCATCATCAATTTGATAGGATGATTGACCAGAGTCTAATATTTGATTCGATCGATCATTATTAAATACAAGCTCAACTTGAATATCATCTGGCAATCGTCGATCATAAAGAGCACAATCTAAATCAGATTTATCAAGCGTGACTGTCGTTGTTGTTAAAGTACCCGTATGAAATTGGAATGCGAACATTTCCGTTTTTGAACTAGGAACAGCACTTTTATGATAACATTTTATTAAAATTTCACCACGTAATTTTAATGGTGGTTGTATATCGAATACAATATAATTCCAACATTTTAGAAATTCATTATCAATATCAATAACAGGTGATGAATAACGAAGTTGCCAACCCTGATAGATTTTGATAAATGGACGGCAACGGCCACAACCATCAAAATTTGGCACACGATGAATAATCAATTGATTTAGATGAAGTTTTTGTACATTAATTCGGCTATCACCGTTCAATAAGCTCTTAAAATAATTAACATATCTAGATAATACAAACAATCGATTAAAACGATTAATTAAAATAGATTTGTGTAACATACTTTTTCTGTGATGGTTGTAGATAGGTCTCAAGATTATAATGAAAATAATTATACATTGATTCAAAATCAAATATTGTTGTATTCGAATCATTGCCTAAACATATGTCAATATATTGTAAAAATACGGCAATAGCTAGACTAGCACGGCTGAGATCACGTTTTGAATAAATTATAGCCGAATTTTGATCATTTTGTGTTAACCATGAATCCAATGATTTACAAAGTGAACATAAACGTTCTAATGATGGTGCACGACGTTCTGGCCAACCAAATTCCAATAGTTTAACATTGGCAAGAAATTTATCTGAATTGTTAATATTTTGATAAAATTTTAATGGTTCAGCTAAATTAAAAACCGCTATATGATGACCATCATGTTGTTGTTCGGCAATTAATTTTTTTAGATAATTTTCCAGAATTTTATTCGGCGATAGTTTTGTAAACGTATCAACAAGTGAGAATACTAATTTAAAAAAATGAAAATAAAATATTTAGATTAGTTATGTCAAATAAATGTCAATCAATTCAATACCGATAAGTCTTTGATCCACTTTTAATGGCTCCATAATAGCAAATTTAAATAGATCCAAACGGATCAATATTAATCGAATAACTTTTGATTGTTTGTCAATCGATGATTTTGTTGTTTTACCATTAAAAATATTATGGCCAACAGCTGCAATTGCTTGATGATCATAGATAATGATGTCACTGTAATAAGATTCTTGTTCTTCGTTTTGATTGTGATGAGTTTGTTTCACTTGTTTGTTATGAAAATAATTTCTAATTTTAGTATCTAATGTAGCAGCAGCAATTGTTGACGAAGCCAAATCCAGATGTTCATTTAAATGTTGTTCAACGTTCAATTTTTTCACTAAAGTTGTTGATGATGATGAAGAATCGACAGATTCGGTAGCAACTTGTTTATTATTATTCTAATGAAAATCAGAATCGATAAAAAAAATCAGGTCAAAAAAGCTAAAATGATCGAATCAAATCAATCAGATCATGACACAAAATGACAAGAATGATTTATTCCTATTTTTACGATTGCAAAATATAAATAAAAAAACTTTATTTAGCTGCCAAATGGTTTGTTTCTGAAATAGATTGTTAAATAATCAAATCATAATCGATATCATTAAAATCATAAACAAAATAACAAAAACAACAAAAATCTAAATTTGATGATAATCAAATTTATGTGAAAATAACATAAACATCGAAAAGACACGTCGATATGTTTGTGTATCTGGTGTGTGTTTATGGAGATCCCAAATATAGAGAATCCTATAGGATTGTTATGGGGAAATTTTTTTTTTGTTCTCTTCTTACAATTTGTTGTCGCTTTGTCAACAGCATCCATACGACGACGACGACAATAACAACAACAAATTAACCAAGGATGTTTTGTTTAAAAAAAATCGATTTGTCAAAACCTCGTTAACTGGTTAACTATCTCTCTCTTTTTATTCTCTCTATATATACACTATGTGATTATGACAATCGATCTAATGTCAAAACAAAATTTATTTAATACCGCATCATTTTTTACCGTTAATTAGTCGATTTGTTTTCAAATTATTATTAGTTACCTGTGTATTAAGCGATGAATACAAATGATGGCTAGATTCGTTATTATTGATTATTTCATTAATTAATGTTGGTGTTGATGTTGATGATGATAATGTTGTTGGATAATAATTATAATCACCGCTTATATGATGAAATTTTCTTACAGAAATAGTTGGTGGTGATAATGAAATATGATATGGTCGATGTCTATATTGACGATATTGATGATAATGATAAAAATTATGATGACATGAACAATAACATTCAGGTGATGGTGGTCGTAATTTTAATTTACGATGATGTTGATGATGATGATGATTATGGCGACAAGATTTATAATCACGATGATGATGATGATGACGAGGAGGAGGTAATGGTGGTGTTGTTGTTGTTGTTGATGGTAGTTGTTTAGATGGTGATGATGATGATTTACTTATTATTGTTGACGATTTTCTTTTGATCGTATGTTTCCAACAATCAAAATTAATGACCATTATTTATTGATTTTTTTTAGAATTTAAATGTTGTTGCTTTATTAATTATTATCATTATCATCATCAATTGAACTTTAATCTTTCGAGAATCAAAGAATTTAATAATCAACAAATCTTAAAGATTTGTACGAAAGCTCAATCAAAAACATTCAACAGAGTATATAAAGAAGCTCAAATGATAGGGGCAGTGTTGAAATGAAAAGCTTTATTTTCATTCGGTCGTTCGGTCGGTTTGTTGGTTGGTTGGTCGATCTATAGATCGATGCCCTTTTTGACTATAGTGGATAATATATTTTTTTTTTCTTCTCATGTTGGTTGTTCCCACAACACGACCACAAATGTTATTGAATACTATAACACCAAAATAAATTTAGTTACCACGGTTATAAATTCAACAACAATTTAACTAATATTTATTGGATTATCTTGTTGTCTATGTTCCGTTGCCGTAGTCATCGTAGTCGTTGTTATTGTCGTTTTTGTTCAAATGAATAGATCATCAATGAACAAACAAACAAAAACATTTGATTTCATTTTCGTGTGTTTCAATGATTGGCATATATCATTCATTTTCAATTTTCAATTTGTTTGATTTTCTAACATTTTCATCATTCAATCAATCAACAATTCAAATCCGTTATTTTGAATTTGATTTTTGTTGTTGTTGTTGAAATTTATTGTTGATGATAAATTTTTGAAAATCGAAAATCCAAACTAAATGGATTAAAATTCATTCTTTTTTCACTCTTTATTTCAAATTTAATTTTCATTTAATTCGTTTATTTGACTAAAAATAGAAATTCCAATCCTCAATTTTTTGTTTATATAATAAAATCAAATCAAAACATAACATTTTTGTTTATTCTTCCTCTTTGTTCCGCATCTTTTTTTTACTTCTCATCACCATTGAGGAAAAAGAGCATCAAAATAAGAAAATGTGAAAAAATTCAACTTGAAGTTAATTTAACAACAACAGGACAAGTGTTGGATTTTTTTTTCACAATATCTACCTGTGTATGGTTGCATCAACAATTAGGGGAAAACATGTCCATATTTGGCTATAAGAACATATCACGCGGGGTTGAGGTTAAAATAAATTCGAATAAAAAAAACTTTGAGCGTAGGCGATTTTCACTAAAGGTTCATTTAATATTGAAAAAAAACAATTTGTTACATTATAAATTTAAAAAACAACGATCAAATAATTAGATTAGAAAAGTTTTGATAATTATCATTTAGCTATTAGATTTTTTCAAAAAATCAACAACAATATCGATAAATTGTTGAGCTTTTTCTACATGTAAATAATGACCAGTATTTGCTATATTAACAAATTGAACATTTGGCATTATCATTCGTATCTGATCAAATTGATCTGGTCGTACATAATCCGATTGTTCACCATATATAATCAATGATTTACCATTAAATGGTTTATTTGTATCCAATTGATGGGCCATTCGATTTCGTACCAACATTTCCAAAGCACGTGTGTTGAAATGCCATTTAATCTTACCATCTTTATCTTGATAAAGGTTTAGTAGGAAAAAATCCACGATAAATGTATTCGAAATTACCTCGATCAATCTTGTACGAACATGTTGACGAGCTTGACTTAGATTCATTTGTGCAGGCAATTGTTTTATACAATCTTCAAGTAAATCGAAAAAATTTTCAGTAAGAAAATCTATTTTAGGCAATGTTGGCAGTGGACTTATATCAACTAAAATTAATCGATCAACACGATCAGGCCAATCAAATGCAAATTGTGAAATGACTCGGCCACCGAGGCTATGTCCAAGAAGATCGGCTCGATCAATTTGATTTGTATCCATCCAGAGAAGAATATCTGATGCCATAGCATTCATATCTGATTTATCACCGTCTACATGTGGACTTTCACCATGATTCCTAAGATCAAATGAATAACATGGCTGTTTCGTACGAGTGCAAATTTGATTCATCAATGATCGTAAATTGATTTTTGAACCAAAAAGTCCATGGAAACTCAATAACGGTTTTTTATTAATATCTATCGAGATCGATTTTGGTTGAGCTTTCACAAAAGATAATGGCACTGGTAATTTATCCGATCGATAGCGTATAGATTGTCGGAAATAATTTCCGACTATCAATCGAGATCGAAAATTTATTTGAATCATCATGATCGATTGATCATTGATTCGAATAATCAGCTATGGATTGCGTAATCCAATCCAAAATTTCTCTGTTATAACTTGGGTCAACATATTCGGTTGAAATAGGGATAATGATGAGAATCCTCTCGTTCGATGGAACATCGACATAAATTTTTCTTTAATTGGAATGTTTATTCGAATAAGAATAGTTTTTAATGTTTTTGTTTTTTGTGAAAAAATATTTTTTTTAATAAATCATGTTTTTAATAGATTATTGTTGTTGCTTATTTAGTCAATTCTATAATGATTATTCGATTATTCTGAATTTCATCAAATGATCATCATCATTATCAAATCTGCATTCAAAAATAAACGCCAAAAATGGATTTATTTTATTTTCCGTTTTATTTGTTAATATTTTTAATATTCTGTTATTCATTATCAAGGTAAATTTAATCATGTAAAAATTTGATGCATTTTATAAAATTTTTAAACTATAAATTTAGAATTTTTCTATGGCTGTTATATTATTATCTTCGGTTGAAATTTCAAATCAATCTACAAGTAAAATCCATAAGATTCAATTCATTACGAACAATACAATTAGCCTGTCCTTCATTTGGCATCAATATCATTATCGAACATCTTGGTCTTTCATCCAAATTGTTTAATTCAAAATATAATTCTTTATTTGTATTGAAATTTTCCGATATTCGTCTTGAAGGTGATATTGCTGCCGCATTGTTAAAATTACGTTCTGCTACTTTAGCCAACAATTCTGATCAAGCTCAGTCGAACGATGTCACACCGCGCAACAACGAGGAAACTATTGTTCATCAATTCTTGCGTACATTTTTCATCAATAAATTATCGATTTTAGCCAAAAAGACTTTCTATTTGTGTTCAAATTATGTATCGTCAAATTTTCAAATTTCCTTACACAATATTAGCCTTATGCAATTGGGTGTTCCATCCCGTGATTATCGAATCAACGATTGTCTTCTTCATTCGACCATACAATTGATACAATTTGGTTTTGCCAAATCTCAGAATTTGATAACATTCCAGGTGGATGGATTTGCTATCAAAGTTTTGAAATCACAAACTTCTATTGTGAGCACAACTGATGAAAATGATGGAGGCAGTAAAAAATCCTGTTTATTTCAATGTTCATTTCCATTTCGGTTTGTTTATTCTCCCGGTGATCAATCAGCCGAAATGCTCATATCCTCATGCGAGATTATTGTATATGACCTATTAAAATTGGCGAAAATGGCACCGAAACGAATGAATCGTATTGAAATGGGAAGCTTATCAAAGGCTAAGATTCTTGAAAAGCTGATGATAACCTTTCATACAATCCTAAAAGGATCATTATTTAAAAATGCTTCATTTAAACTTAATTCGGCAACAGTGAAATTGGTACGAGAATCCGGGAAAAAAGATCTAACATTCTCGGTTGAACCTATTGAATTATCAGTGAATAAATTAGATGATTATCGATTAGAATTCAATCTATCGATAGCCAATTGTATTGTACAGGATTCTGAATCAATCGTTGATTTCTCGTTGAACAAATGTAAAACAGTATGCACGATTGAAAGGGATAAACTAACGGACAAGCTATATATTCAATTATTTTTGGAAATCCACAATTGTTCATTTATTATCAACATAGATTATTTGATAAATTATTGGTTTCAACACTATTTCGTTCAATCATCCCCAAATGATCAAAATGGAAAAATCAATAGCCCTGTTGGAGAATTAAGTCATGAAGAAGTAGCAGCCAAATATATTAATAAATTTCTCTTTCTTATGGTCATTCATGATATATCATTATCATTAAAACATTCAGAAAATTTCGGCATGGTTACTTATGGCCTTAAACATCTTAAAATTACTTGTGTTCGAAATGTAAATCTTTTTCGTGAAACATGTGTCGAATTGTTGTTGGAAACATTCTGGTGTTGGAATGGAAACATTCAACTTAAACCATTGAACCCGAATTCATTGAAAAAATATAATGAAAAACATGTTCCATTATTCATGTCAACATTGTTGCTCAAATTCAGTAACATGAATTCATCAGATCTTCGGATCAATTGTGTTATGGATGGTCTACAGGTTAGCCTCGAATATTATCTGAATACATTGGAAACGTTCAACCTAGAATCTTTGAAGAATACAATTTCGATAAAAGATGGTAGTATTTCATCAACTTCTTCCAACCCTTTCCATTCACCATATGTCCTTTTGGGACAAATTAATTTTACATCGGTCAATGTATTCACAAGACAATTGATGATGCGAATCGATTCTATGGCATGTGATTTAAATGGAGTTAAAATAACAACCAGTATCAATGGATTCGGTATAAATTCTATGTATGCCCCTTCTGCAACGTTAGCTTGTTTGAAAGCATCAGAATTGATTCAACATAGAATCGTTTATTTTTCTGTTATGCGAATCAATTTTAGTCAAGATAATGGTCATGATATTGCTCTTAGTTTAACGGAAGAAATATTCATTCAATGGTGTCCACTGTTTCATGTAAATGTTCTTGAACTTTGGGAAGATTTTCATCATATTTATTTGAATTTCAAGCCGGATATTCAATCGCATTCTTCACCTGTAATAGCAAACAATGGCGATGATCTATCGATCGATGCAAAACCATATAGTCTCAGTTTAAAATTGGATGGAAAAATTTGTCTCGGTATTCTTTTATCAGATGATAGTGATACGATGCGTTTTGAAACTGATTATTTTACTATCGCATATCAAAGCCAAAATCAATCGATGACAACCAAATGTGAATTGCTCAATATTTTTATCAACGATGTGCTCAATTGTAAATTGGAACACCTTCTAATCGGTCATTTACCAGCAGCTAAAAGCTATCTGGATCGTCGATCATTCAAACTAACTAAAAAGGAACAAAATGATGCAATTGAAATCATTGTCGACAAAGTCACTTTGAAATTTCCTTATCAATTTAATTTCGCTTATTATTTTAATGAAAAATTTCTCACAATTATTAAATGGTTGCGATTATTTCATTCAAAACCGAAACAAACTCAGCCAGAATCTCCTTCAATTGATCAAGATTCGTTATTATCACCGGATTTTATCATAAAAATTCAATCCATACTGATGGAATTGGATGATGATCCATTTGAAATACGATTAAATAATAACTATGAATTGATGGAAGATGAATATAATGAAAGTCTCAAACGATGGAATATTTTGATGGAAAAAATTAATGAAAAAAGTGGTGGCCGTAATAATCCATCTTTGTATTTGACGGATGATTTATGTCGTGCATTTGATCGGCAAAATGCAAAAACCTATGTCGAACGTTCGAAAAAAATGTATGATGCAAATCAAACCGTACAACGAACACAATTATTTACAGTTAAAATGGAAAATTTTCAATTACATCTTATAGCAGATTCATCGTATGATACGTATGAGAAAAAAATTCGACTACTTAAACAAATTGATTTTCATAGCCCGATTCCGGAAGATCTTCGTTTTTCCACAATTTGGTGTCGACAATTATTCGCCAGTATTGGTGTTTGTATCATATCGTTGCGTGATTTTCCACAACCAATGTTGAATGCAAAAAAATTATATTTTAAAGGCGTATTACTTGGTGCTGAACAAGAAGCAAGTGCTCGTGCTCGACGTACATGTGAAATTGATATGGGACCGAATTTTGCTCGATTTAAAATTGAACGTTCGATGACGACAATGAAGTTCTATCATGATATCATCAGTAATATTTCGAGTTTGATATACACACATGGTGCATGCTGGGAACCGATTTTGCAACAGGTGAATCTGTCATTTGAACTTATTTTTCGTCCTTCAAATGATCCAAGTCCAAGTTTAACATGGTGGGATAAACTTCGATTTCTATTTCATGGTTCATTAAAAATGAACAGTAAACAAATATCGATCGTATTCCATGCATCATTAGATCCATATAACTCAACAGAATTGATTGAATTTTCATTTGTTAATTCAACAACTCAAATCGATAATGGTCGGATTCAGATTCTATGCGATTTAGATGTATTTGTACATGCGGCATCGAAATATGATGAATGTCGAATTATTCATTTGCCCGATGTGACCATTACATTTAATTTGAATTGGGATTGTAGTGGTAATAAAAATGATCATCATTCAGTAATGCCATGTGCACAAGATAAATTGCCCGAATATACATGTAATCAAGTACATGATTCATATCGTGCATTTCGATCGCATCATCTAAATCTTTCGGCATCGATTGAAACAAAAGATAATCCTAATTCGAATGATGATCAAATGGATCCGACATCCGACCGTATACCATGCATATTAATCTATAATTCTACACTAAGATGGTTGGAAAATAAAAAATTTATGATAACGGGTTTTCCGCGATTAACGAGACGAGGAAAATTGTACAAGAATACTCGGCCAAGAAAAATGCCATTCACAAGGCTATTCAAATCGATTCGATTAACTATTTATCTTCAAAAATTAGAGGTAATAAAATCATTCACTAACAACTTGAATAATTAATCTATTCACTAATAATTATAGGTTACATATTGGTCATCATTTAATCGAAATCGTGGATTCAAAATTCAGAGCTCAAATTTGTCACATAGTGCGCAACATGGGCAAACATTTATTAAAATTAATGATAATCTTATTCATAGGTAAGTGATGAATGAAAAAAAAAGATCACTTTCTAAAAATATTTCACATATAAATAGGCCAAAACCATTATGGGAAACCATGTATATGAATTCAGAATTATCTCACGTTGATATTGAATTATATAAAGCGCAAGGATCGGGATCTGTTTCCTTATTAAATGTACAAAAAGTAACATATAATCGTGAAACAAAATTACCACAAACCGTTCAAATTGAAGATGGTCCCAGTCCTACACATCGTGTGGTCGTTCATGATCTGAAAGGTGCATGGACCAAAGATAATCGAGACATTGTTATTAGTTTGTTTGATTCGTATTTTAAAACCTTGCTACTCAAACGTAATCTTTCGACTGAAGCACTTCGTTTATTCAAAGATCAATTGAATGGTACACCTTCGAAAAATTCTAGTCATTCTGATTATCATCATTCACATCACCACCATCATCAACAAAACCATCAGCAATCTAGTCCTTATGTTTTATCAAAAGGAAATGCGGCAAATATGTTGCAGAAATTAATTTCTGAAAGTGAATCATGTGAAAACATTGTTGATACCGAGCAAATCGAGAAAGGCATTAATGATCGACAACAATTGTATGGTATTGAAGCATGTCAAGGTGATGATGTTCTTCTCGACAATTGGCTTATTGAACTGGTTAATTCACAAGTTGTTTTACGGGGTTGTGAAACCGATGGCTATGTTATTGTAAGCGCTGCTAAAGCACAAATTATGCAACGGATACATAGGCCGGTATGGAAAAATCGTATTCTCTATTCGAAAACCACATGGCAAGGATCATTAGAATGTATGCAATATTATGCAACAGTCGATGCGGGTGGACTTAAAATCTATCAGATTACTTGGCTAGATTTGAATGATATTGAAGAACCTGTCGATAAAGAAATTGCAGAAATTCCCGACTTAGTTGGTAGTGGCCGTAGTGTTGGTGGTGTTGTCAATTCCGAAGCAGGTGGATCTACTTGTACTGAATCAATCAATACAGTACCTATTCAGTTACAACGAATTGTATCCAGATGTCAATGTAAATTTTTCTATGCAAGTTATGGAGAGAACACCGATCCGAATAATTATGAAGCTGTGCCGCCATTACCACAAGATGATGATCTCTTACCGCTCGAACCATGGGATCGCGAAGTAGCTGTTGATACATTCACAATAACCCATGATAATCTCGAAATATTCACGAATTCTCAACAGTATGCAATGATAATGGATCTAGTCAACAACTTGTTATTGTATGTAGAACCACATAAGAAAGAAATTTTTGAAAAACAGCAACGAATCCGATTTAGTATGCAATTAAATTCATTGGAAGAACAGCGTGAACCAATATCCGAACTGCAAGAAAAAGTTCGTTCCTTATTGAACAAGATAAAGTTACTGGAAAAAGAAAGCTTTATTCTTTACAAGAAAATCAATCAGTCACAACATCATCATCAAGACGATTGGATTGAATTCCAGGAAATCGAAGCTGAATTAGAAAAATGTAAACGCGAATTGAATGTTGAAAGTGAGAATCTAAGCATAATGATCAATTGCTATAAGGAAGCACAATTGATTGCAATGAAAACCAAAGAAAGACAAGTGGCTGCACAAGAATCTCGTGTACCATTCATGGCGCAAGTAATTCGTCGCAATGAAGTCTGTTTTCGACAAGCTCGTTGGCGTTTGACCGATTCAGACGGACAACTTGGTCTAGCTGATCTTGAATTGAATAATTTTCTTTACACTAAAGTCAGCAAAAATGATGATTCTGTGGAACATTCATTCGAATTAGGCTATATACGAGTACAAAATATGATACCGAATCAAGCTTATAGAGATGTATTACAACCAACTGAACTTCAACCAAACATGCCAGTTGATCGTAATCGTGCTCTACGAATTCTTTGTATTGAACGAGCACCTGTTGGTGGTATAGCCGTCAAAGAGCATTTAGAAGTGAATTTCATTCCATTGACTGTTGGTCTCACCTATGCATTCTTTAAAAAAATGTTAAAATTTTTCTTTCCAGATCGAAATTCCGATACAGTTTCGATTACAACAACAGCCTCATCGTCGCAACAGGATTCGAACGATACAATTGTGCCGGATACAGATTCATTATCGGTAATAAGTTCATCGACATCAATGTCATCATCGAAAACCAAAACAAAGAAAAATTCTGCTCATCATTTGAAACGAGATGAAAGTATGGCTAGTCTTACAACATCACTTTCATCGTATAATTTTCCGATGATCAACAATTCGAAAATGGTCAAGGAAATTACACATATTGAAAAGATGCGTGAACGAGCATCAAAAAATCAGACATTTGTCTACATTAAAATCCCAGAAGTACCGATCAAAATCAGTTACAAAGGTAATAAGAATAAAAATCTTGAAGATTTGCACGATTTTAATTTATTGATACCGACAATTGAATATCATAATCGAACATGGACATGGCTTGATCTTTTAATGGCATTGAAAAGTGATTCCAAACGAGTTCTTTTATCACAAGCTTTAAAACATAAATTTCATATATCCAAATCGAAACCGCTTTCTGAACCGGAAAAGAAACCAAGTCAAGTTGCTAATAATCAGAATACAGAAGATGAGGATAAAGCACGAATTTTATTGGGCAACATAGTTGTTCCACAGCAGAAAAATTCTCGTACTAAATCTCTTTTATTGTTTGGTGGTAAAAAATGAGTCAAACATTTCATATGTATTTTTTTTAATTAATTAACAAATTTATTAAAATGAAAAAACTATTAATATTATTAAACATCGGGCCAGATGAAATTATCTTCTATGTGTGAATACTTTTTCTTAGCTCTTAATCCGACTACTTGAGGTGATTGACCAGGAAACGCATTAATACCGTCAAAAAATGTGTCCGTTTTTGGATTAAACCTTAATGGTTCGGGTATTAGGTTTAAATTTGGCGGCAGCGTTGATTTTTCATAAGCCCACACATTATACTTGGATCGGCCGCGTACTGGTGTCATATAATAATTTCTAACATCATCGATTGTATCCATCCGATAAAGTTCTGAATTGGTCATTTCATGGTCGAATCGTTCCTGACATTTGGTTAAAAACTGTGAAAAGAGAATTTTGTAACCATTGAAACCATGAAAAAATTTGTCGAATCTTACATTGAACTTTTCGTTTAGATTTGAAAAAACTTTCGAATCTCTACATACTTCACGGCAAATTTCATCGAGAATTTGGCTGGTATTTTCCGGTGGTTCGTACGGTTTTTTATCACGACAAAAGCTTTTGAACATGAAAATACGAAAAAAAAATTTTTGAAAAAAATAAAATTTAAAAAATCATACCCGGAGGAATGTAAACGATCGGCTAATCGTTGAAATTTATCCTCTGCCATTTGTCTTGCTTGTTCAGGATCTGAATGTAGTCTTTCGTTTCGTTCAATTTTGTGTATTTTCCGCAATTCCTCATCATATTCCATCGCCTTGACATTTTGCCATTTTTCTCGTTTCGAACGAAGACTAGTACGTTTACTTACGACAACCTTTTCACCATTTTGATTGATGACATAATGAGCTAATGGTCGAATTGTCTGATTTAATAAAGATTTTGTTGAGAATGATGATCTGGTCAAACTGATGATAAACATTTTTTCTAATTGATCAATCAACTTGATGATCGGCAAACCATATCATGAACGAACACATGATTTGGCGGCTATATACACCCGAAATGATCGACAATTGTTATTATGATAATCGGTGTGGCAAATAGAAAAAAAAGAATGTATTACACACAGACAGAAATAATCAGAAGACAAAAATCATTTAACCATCACAGTGTGTTGTATGATTTTATATATATCACAAAATAAATAAAAGAAAAAGCAGAAGAAACAACACCTCACCTCTTTGTCATCATAATAATTATCATCGCTAGGAAGAACAAATCAACAAAAACATAACATTGCCATCATCCATAATCAATCCGACCAAGATCTATTAAAGTTTTAGGTTTCATATTCACAATCATTTCTTAAATATATCTCATTATAATCATCATCACCACTCCTATTCATGAGTATTAACGGTTGATTATTCAATAAAAATTCATTCCGAATAATTAATATTAACAAGTGTAACGCGCTTGAATAATTGATCAGTTTAGGAAAAATTTATTAATACATGTGGGTGTGTACGATTAGAATTATTTCAGACGTTTGGAATGGCTGACCGTAAAGATTATGATCATTTATTCAAATTGCTCATAATCGGTGATAGTGGTAATTATTTTTATTGAATTTTACAGTCAATGATTACAACATTATTTCCTAACAGGTGTTGGAAAAAGTAGTTTATTATTACGTTTTGCTGATAATACTTTTTCCGGTACATATATTTCAACTATTGGTGTTGATTTTAAAATCCGTACAGTCGAAATCGATAATGAACGAGTCAAATTACAGATCTGGGATACCGCGGGTCAAGAAAGATTCCGTACAATTACCTCTACGTAAGTTTGAAATTAAATTTTAATTGTTGCTATTGCATTTGTATTTGTAATCTGGGTTTTTTGAATATAATCATATCTATAGATACTATCGTGGCGCCCATGGTGTCATCATTGTATATGATGTAACCAATGGAGAAAGTTTTCACAATATCAACCGATGGCTACAAGAAATTGACCAAAATTGTGAAGTAGAAAATAAAATTCTAGGTAATCGATTCGATTTTTTATTCGAAATTATTAAGTAATAAAAATCTTGTTGATTTTTTTCAGTGGGTAACAAAAACGATGATCCAAGCCTTAAAGTAGTATTAACAAAAGATGCACAACGTGTAGCCGAATTAATGAAGATACAATTATTTGAAACGAGTGCCAAAGAAAATATTAACGTCGAGGAAATGTTTTTAGCTATTACAAAGATGGTGTTAAGAACCAAGAAAGAACAACTAAATCGACAAACAAATGAGAAGAATGCCATAAAGATAGCGAAAGGGGGTGTTTATAAACCACGAAAAAAATGTTGTTGATTCTGATGTCTGTAATCTTATTTTTTAAAAATCCAAAAATTATCTAAAGCCCTTATGATCAATTATACAGTATGTAATAAACATTTTACACACACACACACACATAACTTGAAACTAATTTATTTATGTATACACAACACATTAAAACTTGTTGCTCCATTTATGTGTGATTATTTTTTTTTGTGTAAAAAATAATATTCAGTTTAAATGGTTCTTTAATTAAATTATTTGAACTAAATGTATTTCAAATAGAATGTAATGAGAATGAATTTGCTTTTTTTTGATTTAGGATTAATTAATTAATTTTAAAATCAATATTGTTGAAATTAATTTCGAAATTTTCGACAATACAAAATGTTCGATATATATTACCATTTTATATCTTGATTGTATGGATGTTGTTCCAAATCGATTGTGGATTAAATCATAGATATGACTCAGCGTGGTGAAAGTATCCGATTAGATCCAAAAACTGCAGCCGTTTTCCGTAAAAAAGGTTATTCTGTTGATAAAAAATTGAATGAAGGTGCTTTTGGGCAAGTGTACAAAGGTACTAATACAAAAACAGGTGAATTGGTCGCTGTCAAAGTGATGGATTTGGATAAAGTGGGCGATAAATTCAAACAAAAATTTTTACCTCGTGAATTGGCCGCCTTGATCGGTATCAAACATGAAAGTGTCATATGCATACACGATATAATAAGAGCGAATCACAAGATTTATATATTTATGGAATTCGCAAATGGTGGTGACATTACCGGTTATTTACATAAAAATGGAGCCATTTCCGAACCATTAACCTGTTATTGGTTCACTCAAGTTTTGAATGCTTTGTGCTATATTCACGATGAATTAAAAATTGCACATCGTGATATCAAGATCGATAACATTCTTTTACATGATAATATGGCCAAATTAACTGATTTTGGATTCGCTAAAGAAAGTTATGATTGTCATACGGATACTATAATAATGTCCGAAACGTTTTGTGGTACAGAACCATATTATAGCCCACAGATTGTGGCCAGAAAACCGTACAATGCATTTGCAGCTGATGTTTGGGCCATGGGTGTTACATTGTTCTGTATGCTTAACAATAAATTTCCATTCCATTTTGGTGATCCCAAAAAAATGCTGCTCGAACAAACGGATCGAGATTACATCAAAATTCGTTACGTCAGACGTTTTCCGTCGGATTTACGGAATTTTCAGGAACGATTTTTTGTTGTCGACGAACAAATTCGTTGGACAATTTATGAAGCACTTTCACATCCATGGATTTTACGCAAAGGAAGATAATCAACAATCAATAACCCAACATTGAAATAATCGAATAAAATAATATTTTTTATATAAGAAATTTATGAATTGAAATTGTTTTAAAATGAAAAATGTGTCAAAAATTTTAGAAAATAAATGAATGAATGATGCATGAAGAGTGTGGGTGAATATCACATGTCCCTATAAGATTTTTTTATACAAAATTTGGATGTTCGTCTAATTTCTATACAAACAAAATTCAAAAAGATATGACGATGACAATAAAGAAATGTGAAAAAATGTATCGCCAAATGAATGAAATACAAATGAACGATAGACTTATTCAAAATAATTCTTGATAAAGTCAACCTGGTTGAGATTTTTGAATTACTAGTAAAATTTTTGTAATCATTTCAAACATTGACAAAATATACAACTTAATAATTTAAATTCATGCAATCGGACTTTGCTGTGGAGGTATTGGTGATGATGAATCTTGTAAATCCATTACAGCAGAACGTGAGGATTGCTCGGGCTTATAAACCGGACCTAATTGTGACATGTATCGTTTTATAAAATCTTTCGTTTTATGCTTGACCGAATCGGTAAAGGCGAGATCTTTACTACTTTTTACTTGTTTCAATTCTTTCTCCACAATAGCATGCGTTAGCTGAATGGAATAAATGCAATTAGAAACACAATTTAAATTTGTTCAAACAAAAATTGATTTACCTTTCGAGCTAATGATTTAAAATGACTACTATTAGTAATCCGACCTTTGGTACATGAACTTCTCATATATGGATTCAAACATTTAACCATGAATTGCGATACTTTATAACGAAAATGTTCACGAGAACGGCGAGATTCCTTACGTTTTAATTCATCGGCCGGCATTTCAGTTGTACCACCAATGGGTAGATCTTTTTTCGTTCTAGTGTTTATCAACGAATTCGGAGAAGATGATGTCGATGGATGACTTATATCACACGATGGTAAATCACCACTAATAATATCACCATAGTAATTGTCAATTTGATTATCTTGTGGTGGATGCCATTGTTTAATTTGTTTACGTCGATTATAATAATAAAAATGATCATTAATTGAAGCCGATTTCCAATCATACGAAAGACTTTTTTGGTCAGGAGCACAAGTTGTGAATGAAATGGGTAACGGTTCGGTAATATTTTCCTTTACATTGATTTCTTGTGTTAATTCATCCGGAATAGGAAAATAATATGTTTTTGAATCATTCGTAATGAAAAATATACCAGCTGGAGGATATATTTCATCAAACATTCGTTTTTCCATACTTTCAAGACAATCATCATTTTCAAATTTTATCTGACTAAAATCCACATTATCGATTGCTTCAGGTGGAATGTCTTGTTGCTTATAGCCAATATTAAATATGGATTGATATGACGAATTTTCCTCATCATTTTCATTTGATCCGACTAATTGGATTAATGGACTATCATATTTGGGTATTAAATCCTGCAAATCGACAATCTCATCATAATTATAAGAATCAATCGATTGTTCATAGTTTGAGGCCATCGATGGACCATCAAGCCATTCGTGAACTGGCTGTTGTTGCTGGCTGGCATCGGTAATATAAGTGACCGGTTGCTGTTGGAATTGTTGTTGTACATGATCAAATGTACCACCAAATTGTAGTAAATTATGTACATTAGAGCCAACTTCAGCGCCAGCATTATTATTCGAAAAAGAAAGATTGGTGGCCATTAACATCGGATTGTTAGCAGCAAATGTCGTTAAATACTGTTGGTAGAATTCATTGAATCCGATCATTGGATTAGGAGCAGCAACCGATACTAAATCATTAGTAGCAGCAGTGTTAGCAGTACCGGAAACAGAATTTTGCAAGGCTTCTTTATACAGTCTCAAATGTTCATGATATTTGTTCAATGCATCCGTATAATCATTTTGCACCATTGTATATTCGAATCGTTTTCGATGCTCTTCTTTTGTCAATTTTGGTGATGTTGAACCTTGATTTGGAGTCTGGTGGAATGAAGATGCGGTGGATGAATTATTATTCTGACCATATAAAGATCGATGTTGTTGCGGTCGTATTGATGATCGACGATTGGTAAGGTTTTTCAAACACCGACGTTTATTACCCAATATACCGGCAATTGTATTATAGCCATCGCCATCCGTATTATCAATATCAAACGATCGTTTATCATGCGTAATAAATGGTAAACCTTGTGAACGACGTTCTTCCTCCTCTTTGGAGCGACGATCTGCTTCGGCTTCATCATCATGTCGTTTTTGTCGATCAAGACGAGGTATCCGAAAGCCTTCTTTTAAATCTTTCCAATGATTTAGCAGTTTTTGCGCAAGAAATCCGATAGTTACATCGGATTTTAATTTTGCCGGATTGGCAGCAGAATTCGTTGTATCCGAGGATTTCGTTTTACTTTTTATCACAATTTTTCCTGACAATTTCGATAAATCGGTTATTGATTTAAGTTTTTGACTATCAGTTATCGTTTCTTTATTGGTACTTGAGGATTGGCTATCAGTTTCTTCTTTGATTGATTCGACTGCAGTAGTTTCTTTTATCTCTTCTGCAGCTGTTTGGCAAGAATTATCTTCATTGGCTTTAGTTGTGTCTGATTTTTTTTCTTGTTCATCAATGTTGAGATATTGTTGCCATTCAGGGCTATCAATAGCGGCCCATCGTTCAACTACCTCTAATACTTTACAATCTGTCAACATTGTTCGATGTGGTATCGGCAATACTTCCAGTAATCCTAATAGACGTGCTTTGAGATCAACATTTTCCGCTTCAATCATCCAGCCCCAGATAATACGAAGACCATGATAATCAATGAAAAGTCGAAGATATGCTAACTCAAGTGTTGACATTATAATATCAATCAATTGAATTCGCAGCGAAAATTTATCAGCTCGTAACATGAGACGTGAAACTTCAAGAATTTGTTGACGATTGCGGAGACCGTTTTCAGCCAACATGTCGATTTCAAGCTAATTAAAAAAAAGATGATCATAAAAACTACAGAAATTAATAATAATAATAATATTTACCGCAATATCTTCGAGAAATTCTTCTTTGTCGTCATCCTCTTCATCAGATTTATCCACATTTTCTTCATCCACCTCTTCTTCTTCATCAGTAGCAACAATTTCTTCATCTTCAGTAATCTTTTTCTTGGTCGCTTTCTTACTTTTAGGTATTTTAGATCCATCAGTCAGAATTTCTCGACCACTTTCCGATGATCCAATATAACCTCGACAAGATATCGATTCACAATAGCATTTTTGTGCTTTTTTACTGCAAAAGAAGAAATTTGGTTCAGTTTTGCCCAACGAAGATTAGAGATTTTTTTTCATCAATACTTACCCATATCGCTGAAATTGATAATCAAAAGTAATCTCTTCACCAGCGGCAACCGGTTTGATTGTGAAAAAACCGATTCTAAGTTCACCATTTACAGTCCACTATTATCAAAGGAAATTAATTCGAAATTAATCCAATTTTTAGTTGAAAATCCAAAAAAAACAGACTGTACGAACCTTTTGTGTGATTGAGTTTGGTTCACAACTATGATTAATAAAACGGGTCATATTACCCTTAAAGGTAGCATCGATAATTTCATCACTTTTCAAGGCCATAAAATAATAATGTTCCATTTTTAGTTTGGAATATTTATCAGTACGTTTATGAAACATGAATGGATCAATAACTTCACCAACATATTCCATTAGAAAAGAATTGCTATATTTGACAGGTATTTTTTTTAGAATAAACAAATATCATTCGATTCACAAATTTCTACTTACGCAGGTATCGATTCAAGTGCCATCAGACCCCAACCTTTCTTTTCGGTTTTGAACGGAGTCAATTTCATATATTGTTGCTGAAAAAATTGAATGTAAAAATTAGGTTTTCGAATAATTGGAAAATTCAACAGATCAAACCTTCTGAAAACGTTTATTGGAACAATGTTCACCCAACGGACAACGAGAACCACATTCAATCATCAACATACGATTAAGACAATCTTCACCACAACCCATTAAACCACGAGCACGTTCTTCTTTCAACAGTAAACAATCGCAAACCATTTTTTTTGTTTCTTTTTTTGTTTTACATTTTTTCCTATTATGATTTGTAATCGATTATAAACAAGAGGTTGGAAAAGAAAAAAACAACAACATACTTTTCGAAAAGAAAAATATTCTCATCAATCTTTTGATAGGAAGGCATAGGTGAATCGGGTATCGCAATTGATTCTGGATTAAATGATTCTTGTGACGAATTCATGTTAGATTGTTGTTGAGCATTAGGCGATGAAGGTGTTGAATCTGTTGGTGATAATACCGTACTAGTTATTTCTAATTCTGAATTTCGACGCCATCTTGATTTGACTTTTTCTGGTGCCTGTTTATTACTATCATTAATACAATCCGAAACGGTGGATGATGATGGTGATGAATCTTTGGTCTGAGCATTATCATTTGGTTCTTTTGATGGCAGTGATGTGGTGAAATTTTCCTTTGAAGTCGATAATGGTGCTTGTTGATGGCTAGATAATGATTTTGATTCATGATGGCTATTTACATGATGAAGATGGTGATTTTCCAAATCATTGGACGATTTATGTTTCGATTTGACTTTACGATGTTTTTTTGATTTTTCATCTTTCTTACTACTTTTCGATTTATGTTTTGATTTCTTATTCGACGATGATGATTTCGTCTCATGATGGTCTTGATTTTTCGTTGACTTATTTTTCGATTCTGTATCCCCAGATATAGGTGGTGTATAGGTGTGGTCACTATTATTGTTGAGTTGTGAATTAGGATCGTGGCCATTTGTTTGTTGAGTTTGTTGTTCATCTATCTCCGGTGAACTGCCTTTGCCGAGATTTTTTATCCTCGTACTTCGTCTTCTAGTCGATTTTGTTACAACTGAATCATTCTTTTTGTCTTTCTTTTTCGTCTTATTATTTTTCGTAGCTTTACTAATGGTATCATTTTTTTGATTTTTAGGTTTTCGCCCTCGACGGTTTGGAGTAGATGATGATGATTTTTTACCTTTATTTTCTTCATTTTGCGAGGAAATTTCCAGATTACTTGAACAAACATCCACTTCACTGCTTACAAAATTGATATCATATGATTCATCGTGATGATTCTCCGTGGTTTTCGATCCATTCATCATCACCATAGTTGTGGTATTCGGTTCGGATGACGAGGATTCTTGGCTATTATCATTAGCATAATCTTTCATAATACGATTCTTGAATTTAAATGTAGAATTATTATTTAAATTATTACTATTGATTATTTCTCCATTCATTAAATCGAGGCCGTTGTTATTGTCTGATGTTTCGATCACAATTTGCGTATGATCTGATGCATGATCAACATTTGCCGTTGAATCGCCATTCATCGTAGCAATTGAATCATAGACATATTTCAATTCTAATTCACCATTGGTCATATTTTCTACATTTGTGTGATTCTCAATGATCCTTTTAAATGAACTTTTAATGAAAAAAGAAATCTAAAAATCAAACAGAAAAACTTACATATTTTTTGATTTTATTGCTGATGTTATTGTTGTCGATTCAGTGCTCATTTCGTTTCATACAACACACACACACAGACAGAAACACACGTTTTTTGATTGATTTTTAACAAAAAGGCCAATGGATTCTTTATTTTACTGTTTTATTAGGAGTTCGAAATACATAAACAGGTGTACAAGTAATCATTTCGGACCATATTGAAAAAAAGGATGTTAAAAATAAAGTTCCAAAGAAAAGTGAAAATTTTATTGATTAAAATCAGCCAGATTTGATTGGTTGTTGTTCAACATTCAATGTTGCATATTCGATATATACTGGTCAATTACAATCCATTCAATTGTTTGTTTGTTTAATAATTTCGGTATAATGTTTAAATTTACATTTGGATGCTAAGAAATTAAAATACACATACATAACGAGACAACACTAAAACATTGTCTACAATGATAAAACACACCAATAATCAAGCAGCAAGCCAATAAACTAAATAAAAAAAAACTTTGAAATCCTCACACACAAACACACATAGACATAGAGCAGCGCAAACTTCATCTATATCAACATATGATAGCCGAATAAGTCGAAACAGTGATCCATGCTGGGCCTGCCCGCTGTATTAAAATAAAAGGGACATAGTGCGGCTTTATATTACAGCTACAATACCTACGATTAATGCTATGTATCATTGTGGCCAATACTTTTCATTTTGACTTATTTGATTTTAAATTTTTCAATTATAATTGTATACAATCATATGTTGTAGATACAAGATTGACAAGCTAAAACTGTGGTCACAATAACAAAATGTTGAATGGCCAGAATCGTACGTTGAAAAGAATGATTCTAAAAATAGGAGGAGCTAAAACATGGAATAACAAAATGTTCGAAACTATATCCATACGAAAACAAACAAAGATTTCGGTTCTCGCGCGAATAAAGAAAAACCAACATGGAACCAAGAAACAAAAACAAAAAAACAAATTTTTTCTGATCAATTATTATATTAAAAAATTTGTTTCTAATAAAAATAGACAAACAATGAATGGTTGAGGAAAAATAAGAAAAAAACTTAACAAAATTTTTCATCGTCACCACTCAAGAAAAAAGCACCCATCAATCGATGGAGATGATGTCAATGTTAATGAGAATAAGTTAAATTGAATCAATGAATGAGAAAAAAAGATGGAAAGAAATGTTACACATGATGCACGTATTGCTTGTGATGAACATGTATATGTTACAACAAAAAAAAATGATTATATGATTAAGTATTTAACAAGAAAAATGGCAGATTTACAAAGTGAAGATCAAAGCGTTTCAAGTTATCAAAATAAGCCCAGCAAAATTTCATGCGGTCACTGATTCGACCATACTTTTCTTAATTATTTCAACAAAATTTTCATTGGTTCCATTAACACCAGCAGTGGCTATATTGACCGTGTTCGACAAACCGATATCCGATGATGAACTGGTTGTTGATGTTGTCGAAGTTGAATCGATCATTTCATCATTATTTCTACACGATGAAGATAATGTCGATGATGAAGATGATTCATTTGTAGAATCAAAATTATTGATTGTCATTTGGGAATCATCGAATTCGTTATTGGATTGTTGTTTATAATAAATAGAATTGTCTGGAAGTTGATGACATGTTGAAACATCCTCATCACCACAAACAGCAGCCATAGTATCATCATTATCATTTGATGGATGAAATGATTGTGTAGCCGCAGTTGATGATGCAGTTGAAAATGGCGATTGATGTGCAGCTGCAGCTGCTGCGGCAAGCATTGATTCAGTGGCCGATGATGATGGGCCGCCAACCGATATGCTTAGGTCGATATACTTTTGTTGTTGATGATTATTGCTATGATCAAGCTGATTAATGTTATTGGCGTGGGTTGTAGCTGCATGATGATGATGCTGTTGATGGTGGAGGTGATGATGCATATCATACGTCGAATGATGATCATAACCATTATTCGCATATCCATGTGTATGGACCGGATATGACTGCTGATGATGATGATGGTGGTGGTTATAATTACTATTACCATGATGCTGTTGATAATGATGGTTCACATTATGATATTGCTGTTGGGCATCACAATGAATCGACGGAAATGGTGGCAATGATATTGGTGCTGAACAATTCGATGTAGCAGAAGATTCTGACAGTTGTTGTTGTCCGGTCGTTGAAATATAATTACCATAGTGTTGTTGTTGCTGTCCGGATTGATTTTGTTGTTGCCGTTGTTGAGCATTATTTTGTTGATATTCGTCATCGAAATCATCGCTTGTATAATCAGAATTTTCTGAATATGAAGATGAATTATCTGGGCTATATGATTCATCATCATTTGTAAGCGGCTGAGGTTGATGATGTGGATAAAGTTGCATACAATCTGTTGTATTAAATTGCGATGAATTTTCTGATGACATCATTGTTGTGGCATGGTGATGATGATGTTCAGTTCCAGGCCCGATTACATTATAATGATGTAATTGATTTGATTGTTGTTCCATATGATATATATTATGAGGTGATTGTTGATATATCGGAGCTGATTGTTGTGATAATATCGATGGTATACCGTCAGTAGAATCGATAACTAATCCATTAGTGGTTTGATCGTATGATTGAGCATGAACCATATGCTGATTCATAGGATATCCACCATTATTAGTGTCTTTTATTGTTGCCTGTGCATGATGTGGAGCATAATTCATATTGAATTCGGTAACATTCTATAGTGCAAAAAAAATAAACAAAACAAAAAAATTGTTGACCAAATGTAATTCAATCACTCACTCAATCGTAATCATTATCATCATCTCTTCATTCACACACACACACACACACTCATAAACACACATCATCATCATACCTGATTTTTATTATCCGTTTCGATTTTCATGATTGTTTCGATGAAATGTTTACGCACTCGAAGTGGATTGAATTCAATACGACCATTTGAATTACCACAACCTTCCCGGGTACATCCACATGGAAATGACATTCGATCAACTTGGCATTGAATACCTGCCTGATGACAAGAACAAACATCTGGATTACAATAAACACGGCAATCGCAGCCACAAAATTCTCTTGATATTCGTATATCTTTGCATTCTTCTTTTTCGGTTGTTTCAATTTTTCGTACACCCGATGCTCTTAATAGAGCACGTCGTTGTTTAATCGGAACAGGTTGCAAAAAATAGCAACTGTCATTTTCGAGATCAATATCACTTAGATCACTTAATTCATCATAAGATTCATCTTCAGATTCCGATGTTGATGCTTGTTTATTAATTTTGGCGAAACGTTTTTGTCGTTGTAGAATTTCCCTACGTACACGCTTTCTTTCTTCAGCATGTGTTTCCAATGTAAAACTTCGATGATAACTATGTGTCGTTTCCATACCAAGTGTTGAACCACCTTGACTTGGTACACAGGTAAATCCTTGTGATCGTTTAAAATAGAAAACGGTAACATTATTAAAAATGACTTTTTTCTTTTCATTTTTCAATTTCGGTTTTCGTCCAGATACTTTCAACAGACTACGTAATGGACGAGAAGATGCCGATATTGAATCGGATGTTGAACCGCTATTAGTGGTCGCTGAATCCTCTCCGGATGATGATGAATTCGCCATCGATATTACTCCGCTACTTGATGATGAACTAATACTTGTTTCATCATTCAATTCGATTTCAGTACTTGCATCTTCAATATTTTCTGCGGGAATATCTTCGACAATTGTTTCCTCCTCCTCTTCTTCTTCAACGGCATTACATTTTCCATCAACAAATTCTATTGGATTTTCTTCTTCAACAATTACATCTTCCTCCTCTTCTTCATCGTCATCATCATCGATACCATCAATATCAAAATCATCATCGTCGTCGTCGTCATCATCATCATCATCATCTATATTCTGATTACAATCATTTTGTTCATTATCATCAGCATCATTGAAACTGCATTGAGCTTCTTGTGATTTTTGTTCATTTTGGCAAAAAATTTCATCATCATTTGTATGTTGTTGTTCTGAATTCATTGAAGATGAATTCAATTCGATTTCAATCACCTCATGATGATCATCATTAATATCATAGTTTGATGTGATTGCATCGGCAGTTACTATATCCGCCGTTATTGTGGTATCAACCTGAATACATTTATCAATCAATTCTGGTGGTGATTTTGGCTCTGGTAATAATGGTGATGTTGATGAATCTATCAGATAATGATTATTGTCATCGATTTTCATCAATTTAATTGCTGGTTTATCATCAACTATTGCATCATCGTTATGATTTTTATCAAACACATTTTGTTGTCTTTGTTGATAATATTGATGATCAATCATTTCGGTTGCAATACTTTTATCACAATCAATTGATTGTTGATCTTGAGATTGATGTTCATTTGTTTGATCGGATATTGATGGTTGTGGATCAATCTGATCAAATGTTCGTTTTAATGATGACATTATTATTACGAAAATATCTGTGAAGGAAAAAATTTTGTAAAAATAAATTTCGAAATGAATTAATTTAAACAATTATAAAATAGAAAATAAATCAATAGAAATATAAATTATAATGACAAATAAAATTAGAAATTTTACCGGGAAAAAAAAAGATGAACCTACTTTAGATTAACGAATTTTTTTCATTGATATTGGCGCATTTGAAAAATTTTCAACAAATACAAATACAAACAAACAAACAATGACTAATAATGATTGTTACCGATAATAATAAACAAACAATAAAAGAATTCTAAAAATTTTTGAATAAAAATGAATTTTCCAAATAAATTCCAATTATCGATTATTAATCGATTGTGCGCTTTTCGAAATCCATTTTTTTTTTTGAATTTTTTTTCAAGATGAAAAACCTAATTTATTTGTCATTATAATTTTGTAAAAAAATTAATTTTTAGAAAAAAAAAATTATTTATCCAAACCATATGAAACAATGATGATGATGATGATGATAATTAATACAATTTCAAAAATATAATTTCTTAATGTTGTGACCACAAATTATATGACTGACGATCGTTGCTGATGATGATGATGATGATGAGGTGAATGTGGCGACACACAATGTGAATAAAAATCAAAAAATAAAAATAAAAACAAATTTTGATAGCCAAAGCAAATCAGCCAGCTCTAACCAAATGATCAAAAAAAGAAAAAAGATTGAATTTACGACGTTTGGTTATATATTGAGCGTCATCATTTGTAAAAATCCAACAAATATATAAAATGTGTGTGTGTTACTCTGTAGTCGTTATTGCAGCTGCATCGAACGAAAAAAAAGTTGGAATCAAATAAAAAAAAAAGAAGAAAATGGTAGCAAAGTAAAATGAATTTGGCACAAACAGAGAGTCGCTGTATGTATGTGTATACAATTCACATTTTATTGTGGATCACCACTGTAGCAGATAGTCGAGAAAAAAAAAATTTCGAATATAATTTTCGAATATCTTGAGCGCCATACTTGTTGTATAACTCTCACTATATACAGTGGAAATGGCTGGTTACACATGCATGTATGTAACTGAACAAAAAAGAAGTTTAACAACTGCTATCATCCATTATTCTATGCTACTACTACTACTGTTGATGTGAATCCTGAAACAAACAAAAAAAATTGTAAATTAAAAAGGAAGAAGAATATAAAAGTTGAGTCCAAAGTTTTATATTTTTTTTTAAAAAGCGCATGCTCATAAATATATGACAAGGACGGATAAAATTGTTGTTGTTGTTGTTGTTGTTATTGGAGATACCAAGCATCGTATTTTATCTTTGTATTTTTGTATGGCCTTATAAACTACCATTACAATATGAAGAAAAAAAATTCCAACTAGATCCATCTATTTTGCTGTATACGAGTATATACGAAGCTCTTTTCTCCAATAGTAAGTAGATATTTTCAATAGAATTTTCATGTATTACGCGACGAAGTAAAAATATATAAGGTTGTTCGGGGGTGTTTATGCCATTTTCAAAATGATCATTTTCTTCTTTTCTTTTTCGTTTGCCAAATTTTCAAACTGGCCAAACTTGTTTTATAGAAATGCGCGTAAACTTACACAACGCAAAACATTAAAAAAAAAATACAGCCAATCTCCAATCCCGTATATCGAAGTTTTTCATCATCATCATCACCACCAACAATGAATTGACGTCGAAATTATTATTTTTTTTTCGTTTTTGCTGATTTTGTTCGATTTAACATTATGGTTACGCACGCGCGCCACCAAGTGATTGTTTGTTGAAACAAATAAAATGTTATTTGTGCAGACATACTCCCCGATCTTTGTTGTAAAAACAGAAAATGAAGAACAAAAAAAAAACGAAACGAAATGAACACTTGGAGTAAAATACTATCGAAATACAGTGCACTCAGCCTACACAGAGTGTGTCTGTGCTTCGAAAACATCCCAAAGACACACATCAAATAATTGTGGCCCGAAAATAAAGATTTAGATTTTATTTTCTTGTCCATCGTGTTTCTATACGAAAAAAATCGTCGTTATAACAATCAATCTGGCTTTATCTGATGCGTGTATTTTATATATACAAGAAAAAACAAAATTTTGTTAATGATTCCTTCCTTTTTTCTTCCTCTTTACTATTACTCATTTTCCATAGTCCTTTATGTATGATCAATACATTTATCTTATCCAAATCTTCAACAAAAAAAAATTATCATTATCATCAAAATTAAAATGAGAGAATCTAAAATGAAAAATTAATTTTTTTTCTTTTACGATAGCCAGGTGGCGCCCTCATTCATTTCCTTTCATTTTCTCTCAATTCAGCTCAAAACAAATACACAATATATTCATTGCTCTAACACTGTATGTTGTGTTATAAAACTTGATTGTCATGTGTTAAACGCGTATGAAGGCGTAGTCAAGCTTTTTTGGATCCAAAAACAAAAAATTCAATTCAATTTTGATCTGATATATTGCTTGTTTTTTGTTTTGTTTATTAGGCGCATACACGAAAATTTCTGTTCAAAAAAAAAATTTTCTGAAACCCGAATGATATTACCAGTGATGATGATGATGGTTAGATTTTTTTTTTGTTTGTTTCTGGATTCCATTCACTATTTCGATATTTACGGGGAAAAAAAAGAACACGAATATTTTCTTTCCCCACAGATTTCAAAAGCGAAAACCTCATTGATTTTATTAATATTTTTCTTCACTACATTCGATTTTGTGATCAAAAGAATATTCCTGTTTTTTTTTTGTTTTCTATTCCACTTCCCGAAAATATTTCGAATAGTAATTGTGTGGATAATTTTATTGCTTCTGCTCCAAAAAATGATTCCATTCATTTTTTGTTTGTTTCGGCAATTCAAGCTAAATGATGGGTATTTTTTCTGTGTATTCTTCTACATCTACATTGAACAAAATTTGAAATGATAATTCATCACCAAAAAAAAAAACAATCATAGGGGAAAGAATAGAAACAGAATCTTGAAACCCCGAAAACACAGAGAATAATGATGATGAAATTGGAAATATTTTTCTTTCTTTTTTTTCTCCATCTCTCCTCTGATTATGATGGATGAAACTAAGAATTGGAAGAAATTCGCAAAGATGCTTTCAATTTTTTTTCTCATTTATTTATTAGCAGACAAAAAAAAAATAATTTCTTTTGAATTCGTTTTTTTTCGGAAAATTTTTTTTTTCAAGATAGATCAATGATGCCATGTGTGTTTAGATTTTTTCAATTCTTAAATTCAAATGATTCAATCACAATTGACTAAGCGGAAATTTTAAAAAAATTGATTAGTTTTGATAAATATTGATAACAAATAGCAAATAAATGATAATTTATCGATTATTAGATGAATCAAGATATTCGATACCATGAGCAAATATCATTATTAATCCAGGTTCAAGTATCATATCATCATTCATATGTTGATTTTCATAACTAGTTACCAATACAGCTTGTTGTCCGGTTATTTTACGACAAATATAATTGTCAAATAATGGACGATTTACTTGACGAATTTCCAATGTACTAAGACCAGGTGGCCATTTACGTTCATGTGAATTTTCCATCAATTCATTAACAGTTGAAATTGGACAACCAGTATCGATTAATGCTTTTTTCACTGCAAATTGTATTGATAAATCGGGTGTACTAATTAGTCCACCCCAACGTAGTACTCTTGCACGAGGAAAAAAATGACACCAAATTGGTATCGGTTTGAATGTTGATGATGAATTCGGTGGTAATGCACAACCTATAGTTCCGGTTGTTGTCAATGGTAATATCTGCCGAAGACAATCACGTATTGAATTCAGATAGCCTTTTAATTCTTGATATTGTTGTTCCATTTTTTTCGATTCTTGTTCGACAAATAAACGTAGATCTTTGAAACAATTGTGATTCTAGAAGGCACATGGTATAATAATAATGATTCCAAAAATCATGAATTGATTTCATTCATTGCTTACCTGAATTTCATCTTTAGGTATGACAAATCCACAACCTTTACTACATTCGATCGGACGTTTTGGATTAAATTTACAATCCTTATGATGCGATTGTAATGATTCTATTTTAACAACTTCTTGGCAACCGAATTCCGCATTATCACAGATTATATCAAGGCGTGCAAGTAGATTTCTTAGGATTCTAGGCACTGGTTTTAGTTCATCCATTGTTAACGGTTGCCGATCAACTGGACAAATTGAATCACGATCAAGCCATTCCTAATTGTGAAAGAATCAAATAATCATTTTGAATTTCATTTTCAAGAAAAGCTACCAACTTTTATACATGCAGAACAAAATGCATGTTCACAATTTGGTGCTTGCAAAGGTTCTTCTAGTACTGATGTACAAATAGGACAGATAAGTTCTTCATCAACGTTACCATTCGGGAATCTAGCTAAATCGTAGCCCATTTTGTTTCGTTAGCCATAAGAGCTTATCAATCAAATTGAAAAAGAATGAATGCCAAATCCAATCCAAAACCAAATGATAAACAAAACAAAACACTGCGAATTATTTTTCGCATCAATTGAATGTATCCTACATAAAGGACGTGATACAAAGGATTTTTTGAAAAATAAAAATTGGCGCTTCATTTTTTCCCAAAACAAAACAAAGATAAATCAAATTCACTTAAAATCTCTTTAAACCGATTTTATATATTTTTTTTTGCATGAGAATGAGACAATAAAATTGTTAGTGTGAATGGATTTCATTGAAAAATAATATATTAAAAAAAACTAAATAAATTCAATGAATGTGGAAGGATCGAGCGAAAATATATGATAAAATGGCAATCGTAATAAATGATATATAATAATTATGATTACAAAAATATGGAATTGATAATGAAAAAAAATGATGAAAATTGAAGAAAAGGCATCCGCTAAATTTGATAATTCATCCATTTACCTATGTTTTGATCTGATCATTCAACGATGCAATATTATTAGATGTGATTATCAATGTTGTAGTTGCTGGAGCTGTCGTCGTTGTCTGATTATTCGAACCATCATTTGGATTGAGTTGTTGTTGTTGGGATGTAGTCTGTATCTGAATCTGTTGTTGTTGTTGTTGTGCAATGCGTCTTGCTTGATGTGTTTTAAGATGTTTAGATAGATGATCACTTCGCATGAAACGTTTTAGACATTCTGCACATTGAAACCTTTTTTCACCTTCATTTGGAAAAAAAAATTCTTAGAATTTGTCGCAATTTAAAAGTTAAGCTTTTTAATTTACCTGTATGTGTACGACGATGTCGTTGAAGCTCATCCGAACGAGTGAAACGTTTTCCACAGAAAAGCCAATTGCAAACAAATGGCCTTTCGCCTGTATGCCATCGTAGATGGGCGCGTAGATGCGATGTTTTTCCATATACCTTATTACATCCAGGAATGTGGCATATATGTTGCTTCTTTTTCGTATCACTATTACGACCTTCACCATCACGACAATTCGGACATGTACAGGCGACACGTCGAAGTTTTCTTGTCGTTTGTCCATCTTGACTAACACTGCCAGCATTACTAATAGTATGTGTCGATCCATCTGTACCAGCTGCTGAAGAAGTCGCTGTCGTAGCAAAATTTGCCTGTATCGCTCCTTGCACTTGAAGTGCATTTGTCGGTGTAGCTACAATTTGCCATTTATTCGGATCATTTGGATCCTGTTGAAGCTGCTGTATTAGTTGATTACTATTGGCTATTTGGATTGCTTGTACCGGACTTAACGGACCAACTTGTTGACCATTAGGCGCATTTGCAATTATATTACCTAATAATCAAAGAATCATTCATTCAATGAGTTAAATTTATTTTAAAAATTATTTCAATTTAAGAAGATATATTGCATTACCTCCTTGTAACTGTATTGTTTGCAAACCTTGAACGCCCTGTACACCTTGAACTTGTATAACATTTTGTCCTCGCATACCGGATAATAAATCTAATCATAAAATATCGTAACTCATTGTTCGATCCTGATCAACTCGTCAATAAACTTACCGCCAATATTGGAAATGTTGACAGAATTTGCTGGCCAAACCGCAGGTGCTGATATAAGTTGTCCAATTTGCCCATTTGGAAGTTGAATATTTAATACCGTTTGTCCAGCTTGAGCATTCGCCAGATGGCTATTGGCGTTTGCCTAATAAATAATGACATTCAAGTTTTTAATTACGCATTGAGTTTTAAATTGGAAACTTACAGCTAATTGAGTGGCACTTTCGGTCGGTTCTTGCTTGATCGGTGATGCTGACGCTTGCGATACGGTGATTGGCGTCATTTGAACTTGTTGCAATTGAGGCATCATTTGATGGGTAGCAATTTGTTGTTGTTGAACATTTGTTCCAATTGATTGTAATGCTTGTATCGGTATTTGGATTGTCTGTAGTATTGTTTGACCATTTTGTGTCGATATGGATTGGACGGGTATGGTTTGTTGAACGGGTAGCTGTAATGCTTGCATTACACTACCGGCTTGCCGCATTGTAACGGGTTGTCCATTGCTAATCACTGCATTTCCTAATCCTTGTATATAAACCTGTTGTCCTTGTTGAGCCGTTGCTTGTGCTTGTCCAGTTCCAGTTGCACGTACAACTTGATGATTTGGTGATAATAATTGATGATGATTACCCGATAACTGTATGGCTTGTTGACCATTTTGTAAAAAAATGGCTTCAGCTGTTTGTCCATCAGCTAGCTGTAATTGTGGTTGTATGATACTGTATTGAACAGCTTGAGCTGTTCCACCACTGGTTGCTTGCGTCAAAATCTGATTCGTAGCCGTAACAGTTGTTGATCCTTTCAAAGTGGTCTGCACAATTCTCTCATTAATTAAATTGACCAAAAAAGGCTTTTCAACGAGAAAGACTTACCTGGCCGCCATCATTACCACCACCTGGTCCAGGACCAAATAGGCCTTGATTGTCATCGGCCTGTTGATTATTCGACATAGTAGTCGCCTTTGATTTCACTCTTCGCGCCAATTTGAATGATTATTTAATTACCAAACCAGACGAAAATAATTTTTGAAATTCGCGGTTTTTTTAAATGTCTTATGGTGATATTAGAAATGACCACCATACAGACAAGAACAAAAAAAAAAGAGTGGGATGAGGATTAAATTCGGGACACGCCGAAAAAAGGATGTATCGGTGATCCAAAAACTTTCGAAAAAATGCAGAGAAAAATAATACTAAGAAGAGGAGGCGTCGGCGAACAAGTAGGAGGTGGCCAAAGAATCGCGGGTTTTTTCTTTTTCTTCGTTCGTTGATTTGAGTGATTATTTTTTTCGTATAAAAAGGGGGCTATTTATTAGGTGTGTTTGTTTTTGTCTCTTTTTTCACACACACATATTTGATGATAATTTTTTGGTCGAATTTTTTTTACCGAACTGTCAGATTATTCTGTTAATTCATTTGTATGAAGAATTAAATGCATTAATAAACAAACACATGTACATGAATCCAATAGATTAAAAAAAAAAAATATCAACCAACCAACACCTACAAGGATGGATGTTGTTTTTTTTTTTGTATAAAGATGGGATTCACCATCAAAAACATACACATAAAACAATTTGGGGCGACCACACCACCATAGACACCAACACACACATAGAATAAATGAAAAAATAAAAAATAAAATACACACAGGAAACTCCACCTGAATTTGCCTCTGGCCTCGGCAGAAATGGGACGTGGTTGTCGTTGAAGAGGGATCGCCGTCAAGGCTGGTCACTTCTTCTACTTCTTTGCTTTATCATTATAAAAAAAAATTTCATTTGAAATGGCTTGATAAGCCCGTCATCGTTGTTTTTGTTATATGTGTGCATATATGTTATATGGAATTGTAATGATTGGTATGAGTCAAGTCAATGGTATGGAACTTTGGTGGTCGGTCAAAGGGAGGTTGTTACCGCCAATATATAATGGCGAATGGATGTTATGTTATTATCTCAACCCACAAAAACGGTTTTGGATATGAGAAAAAAAAACATTGAGAAATGGCGGCGCCCGAATGAACAACGATACAACAATGGGTGGTGTCGAAGGAGGTCTGCGCCGTATTTTTTACTGTAAAATCGATGGTTGTGAATTGCTCACAAACAAATGAACGAAAAAAAAAAATGGCTGCCTGTGATACTGCCTCGCTCACTCACTCGATAGTATCACACAAAAAGGTACTACTATCTTTTTCATTTGTGTTTATGTGTGTTTCGAATTTCAATTCAATTCATTTATGTACTGCTACCTTTTTTCGGAAAATATTCCACACATATACATCGTTACTGCTAATAGTAAAATTTAATATTTGTTTTAATTGGCGCGAATTTTTTTATTATCCATAGAAATGATTGAAATGACCGGATTTTTAACATATAAATAGATAGATATTGATACGATTATGATTGATATGAATGTAAATATATTGACTTCAGTATTTAATAGCCAATATGAAGCTAATGCAACTAGAATTAGATGACAACCAGTAGCAAAAACTTTCATTATTGAATTGAATTTATCAAGAAATAAACTTGCTGCAAGACCACAAAGAGCATTGTTGATGATCATCACAAAGAACCAGAAATTTTTTTGATTATCATCAAAAACAATCACATTCATTATTTGCCATCGTTCTTTATGATTAGGTATTGTAATGAATAAGAATATTAAATTAAATACAATCGAAAGGATATAATTGTAAATATTTTGCATCATAAGATGTACTTTTTCTTGTGATTTTTTAATCAAATATTCATTGTAAACACCACCAATAGTTGAGCAGAATATTTGTACAATAATCAATGCAATATAACGATCAGGTAGATTAACAAATTCAAATGTTCGAATACCATTGAACAACGATATTATCGACCAATCGATACGATCAAATTGTTTAATAATACAACCAATTGTTAATAACATTAATGATAGCCATTGAATTTGATTTAAATATCTTTGGAATATAAATTGATATACAAAACCGGTAGCAATTAAACGACATTGCATCCATACAGAATATGTTACTGGATCATAATGAGACATATTTATAAATTGTAAATTATTTACCACACAATATAGAATGGCCGGTATACAAGACAATAAAAATAAACGTAAATGACCTATCAACTCAGGAATTATTGATTCAAAATTATTATCTTTTACAAATATAATGATGGCTAATAATAATTTTAATAATTCAGTTGCCAATACAATTGTTGTTGGATGTATTGTTTCCATCATAAGATTTGATGTTATTTTTGTATCCACATGAAATAATTTTATCAATTGACTTTGCCATACAAACAATAGAATATAAGTGATAAAAAATAAACGATGCCAATTTGTTGTAAATAACTTCATTTTTTTCTTTAATTTTCTGTAACAACAACAAAACATAATACCATTTCGAATTTAAATTAAAATCCCATTTTTAATTTAAAAAGGAAAAAAAATTTATAATTCTAATTTCATGTTTGTTTTCTACATGAAAATTAATTTGATTATTTTGTTCGTTTTTTTTTCATTCGTTTATGAATTTGAACAAAACAAAAAACAAATTGTCATTGAACTATATGGATAATGTGAATCGCTGACAGGATGCGACATTTATACCCAAAACACACACACACATACACAGACAGACATAGACATAAACGCACACATACATAAAAAGGAGGAAATGTGTAGAAACAACAAAGACCAGATATCGAATCAATTCATATTCAATCATCTAAACACATAATAATAATGTTTGACTACAAACAAAATGTTTTTTAATCGATATTTACGTTTTGATAGAATCTTATTATATTGGATTATATTTATTATTATTATCATCATATTCGTTAATGGTCAACGTGATAATGATGATGATAGTGATAATCGTAATTCTATACAATTTAATGTTGATTTTAAATTTCCAATCATAATCGATCCAATCGAGCAACATAAACAACATGGTTTTGATAATATTCCAGTGTTAAGTTCATTGGTGGCTATTAAAGGTCAAGATGGTCAGCATTTTATGTTGATGGGATCACCAAATTTTTATGAATCAAATAATGATCTTATCACCGGTGCAGTATTTTCATGTCCAGTCATGGCAAAATCAACAAAATGTGAAAGAATTCTTGTCAATGACAATGGTAACAAATTTATTTTTGTTCATTGAAAATTACCTTGATTTTCCTTATTACATTGAATAGTTGAAATCTATGGCTCAAATTTACATTATCAGCAATCAAATAAATCATTGTTTGGTATGACCATGCAGCTTACTGCTCAAACATTAATTATTTGTGCTCCGAATTGGGTGGGACCTGATGATACACCCGAAGGAATTTGTTTTGCGATGGATCGCCAACAACCAACCAAACAACGTGTCATTTTTAAATATGCTCGCGAAACATTAGTTCGATCAAATCGACCATATGAATCGCATAATTTGTTCGGTTTTTCTATTGCCTACAATCCTCGTAGCAATGATCTGCTGTTTGGTCTGCCTGGATTTAAAGATTTTTCCGGCACTATTTGTCGTTTAGCTGAAAATTTATCTGTTGAAAAAATTAAATTACCAGAATATCGAAAGACAACAACTAATACGTATAGTGGATACAGTGTAGCATTTTTTCCATTGGATGAATCATTTGATGTTTTACTTGCATCGACACCTAAATATCTTAATTTTAAAGGTAAAATCGAACTAATCGATACAAATAGTCGTCAAGTATTGGCCACGTTTATGAGTAAAAATGATACAATGGCGGAATTTTATGGAGCAACAATGTTAGTTGTTGATATTGATGGAGATGGCCAACATGAATTGGTTGTCGGAGCACCATTATATTCCATTAGTACAAAACGTCGTGAAATAGGTCGTGTATATCTTTATGGTAATATCCGCCAAAGTATGATCGGAACAAGACGTTTATACAGCGAACAAATTATCGTATCACCATCAAAATCGAGTGGTAGTCGATTTGGTGCCAATTTGGCTGCAGTCGATCTCAATCTTGATCGATATATGGGCAAGTTTTTTATTTTTTCTGAATTGTAATTCGATAATCTGAAAATTTTTATTGTTTTTCATAGAGGTGATAATCAGTGCACCGTTTGAAGAGAACGCGGATCAATTCGATACTGGTGCCATTTACATCTATTATGGAACATGGCGTGGTCTTGACATTGACAATTTTAAGGTTAGTGTAATTAAGCTTTTTGTTTTTAGATAATTTTCTTTTTTATGTAAAGCGAATAGCACCTGAAAGTATTGGACAACAGAATCAACTTGGTTTCGGATTCAATGTATGGACGGAAACAGATTTCGATTCAAACGGTTATGCTGATCTCGTCATTGGAACATTACACCGATCATTTGTGTTGCGTTCATATCCTATAATCAATATAAATGCATCAATGATATTTGAACCACGAGGAATTAATTTCTCTGATATTCGACATTGTAAAGGCACACAATATCCGTGTTTTCTAACCACCTATTGTATTGATTTATCATCGAATCGATTTCAATTTTCACAACATGAATTAACATTCAACATCATCATATCTGTTCCGGATAGAAATCTTGATTTGAAAGAAGAACGTGTTCTACAAAAACGTTACAACCAAACAATACGTACAAAATCAAATCGTTATTGTTCGAATAAACAACCGATTAGGATCGAATTGAAAAACAAGGATGACATTTTCGATATTATAACACCGATCGAAGTACAATTATTAATTGAATTACAATCCAAACAAACGGGACAATTTTGTCCACATTGTCCTGTGGCAAATTCGTTTGCTACCTATCAAGAGGTAAACGTATTTTGTTTTATTCATTTCAATTTCCATTTTTAAAAAATTGTTTATTAGATTGGATTTGAACATGGATGTGCTCGACAGATTTGTGTATCGAAATTGATGCTTGATGCTGATATTAAATATGGTTCTGGAACAATTAAAGAAGTAATTGTTGAAGGTCAATACAATACGTTCGATATGACTGCAATGATTACGAATTTTGGTGAATCATCAATCAATACACAAATGATAATACGTATGGAACCGATTTTGTTGAATCTAATGCCGAGTTCAGATTTTTCACGTTGTCATTCTATCGAAACTGAGAATGTCTACCGTTGTGATGTCAATAAACTAATGATCACCAATCAGAAAGAGAAATTTGTACTAAGATTCGAAGCACAATCAATACAAAGTCGTTATGTGTATTGGGATTTCGAACTTAAGACCAGTAGTCAAATTGATTCGGATAGTCAACTTCGATTCCAAAAGAATGTTACCATACTAAAGGAAGCTCAATTTATCATGCGAATGCAAATGGAAAATCATTATAATTTTTCAAATTTTGTTCCTCGTGTTCTTTTTCCCGTTTCGATTGTATTAGAAAAATCTGGTCCAAGTAATGTGGATAATTCATATGTTCAATTTGAAGTTCCATGGATGATCGAAATGGAACAGCCATTTCAATATCGATGTAATAAAATTCGACAAGGATTAGAAAAATCTGTTCGATTAGATCTTGTAAATGGAACATTGAAAATGTCATGTTCAGAAAATCCACATGGCTGTTCAAAATATCAATGCAAATTGAATCGATTTGAAAGTGGTTTTCGTATGAAAAATTTTGACATAACATTATTGTTTATATCATCACGTATTAAACCAAGTATCAAATATCGTGAAGTTATACTGGAACCATCATTTTCTCTATATCCAAATGCCAGTATATTTTTCTCATCAAACGAACCATTCGATGAAGTAAGACCATTTTTCTGGTTTATTAAACAAAACAATGAAGAAAATGAACGTCATCAGAATATGATTATATTTGGCAGTGCAGGCCTAGGTATAATCATCATTATATTAACAACATGTATATTGATTAAATATGGATTTTTTAAACGAAAAAAATTTGAAGAATTAAAAAAAGAACGTATGTCAATGATGATCAATCCGACAACAACAATGATGTTACCAACAATGGATAATACTGATGGCCATCAAGAAATTCATCAAATTGGTTCTATTTCTTAAAAACAAAAAAAAATGGAATTTGTCATTTTTTCTTGTATTAGCAAATTTATTTATCTGCTCTATTGAGAGAGAGCGAAAAAAAAAGAAATAAAAATTGTTTTAAATATCATTTTTTTTATATATAAAGAACAATAAGCAAAGAGAGAAAAAAAATTTCGGGTTATAATGAGAAAAAAATCTGTTTGTTTTTTTTTCATTAAAAAAATAACTCAATTTTTCCATTATTATTATGATCATTGATTTAGTTTAGATGATGGATTCAATAATTTTTTTCAAATCAGTATTGACCATCGATCATTAATGGCCAATAATTTGTATTGAACAAACGAAAAATCAATTTGGCCATTATTGCATTTGTTTGTTTGTTGAAAAAAATACCCGAATATTTAAAATGAATAAGACAGAGAAAAAAAAACAGAACCCTATACAAATATATCATCAATATGCCGAAGCAAAAATTACAAGTGTTCATGTGTGTGTGTGTGAAAAAAGCTATTATTAAAAAAATTAATTATAACAAATTTGTATTTGACATACAGAATTTCTATAAAATTCTGACTGAAATGGTTCATATTTTTTGTTTTGTGTTATTTATTTTCTTAATTATTACATAAGCAAAAAAAAATCTAATGAAAAAAAAATCGTCGCCCATAATAACGTACGATACAAGGTTATTTATTTTATATTTTTTAGTAGAATTTAGTTCGTTTATTAACAACACCGTTTGCCGATGAATCAACCATACAAATATCCATCGATGATGTCCGCTTTCTTGATTCATTATGGCGATGAAATTGTTGATCAACAAATTCATGTAGTTCTTCATGATGATTATTTCGTTTCTGTGCGGTTTGATTTGTCATCGTCGATGATACGGTCGAATTACGCATATCTAGAAAAAAAAGGAAGAAAGAAAAATTAACAAAACCAATTAATTATCATAGAATAATACATACGAAGTGCTTCTTTAAATGTTTCTAAATTTGGTTCAACATTATTATTGTTGATGATTGAATCATTATCTGATTCATTGTTATTAGACGAAAGTGTCAATTTGGATGCTAAATCCAAACGATTCATTAAACTATTATTGTTATTGTTTAGATTGGATGAACGTAAACTATGATTTGATGTTCGTGTTCCAGATCGATTCGACCGATGTACTGTATGATGATGATGGTGATTATGATAAGAATGATGGTGATATGGACCACCATTTCCATGTCCACCCAGAAAAGCAAGCAAATCTTCACGTCTAATCAAATTCTTTTTTTTCTTGATCCAATTTAATATTTCTTTCGTACGTTTATGATAGCCAACCTGACGATATCGATCATAATGTTTGCGATGAAAATCACTACTCTCTTTATATAGGCAGGTCACACTAGTCGATGCTTGTTGAAATGTACTCCAAACATTATGGGCTGTGGATAAATTGTCTAAACAAAATGAATGAATGAATCAAATTGAATATAATTGATATATCATATAACCACATACCTCTTGAATATAATTGAGCAATGGCCATGGCTGAACTTTGGAAATAATTCCATAATTTACGTTCATAATTTAAACGTTCTTCATCATCTGTATCATCATCACATTCATCATCAGTTTCATTAATGATTATATTGGCCGGCGTTGTTGATTCAATATAATCAATACATTCTTGTTCATATGTAGAGAATTTATTCGAAACATTATCGTTTCCATTCCAATCATCATCATTATTATTCTCAGTATTAATTGGATCCATTTTATTTGTTTTGAATTTTTTTTTTATCGATGATGAAATTATTCTAATCGAAATGGTTGGCGCAGAGATGTGGATAATATTCTTGGCCTAATTTTTTTTTTTTTGTAGATGACCAATTTGACCTTTTTTATATATCCGTATTAAAGATGAATTAAATAATTTTTTTACGATTTATATAATGAAGATGAAAAAAAAGGTTATAGATGGTTGATCAAAGTGAAATTTAAAACAACAACAAAAACAGAAAAAAAATGCGATACAAGATCGCAAGAAAAAAAATCAAAACAATAACTCGGAGCTTCGTGTTCAAACTAACAACACAAACACACAACACACACGCACTAAGCAAATCCGCTGGCGTTTTAAGAATAAAGATGCTGATACAGCTGTAATGCAGCTGCTTTTTGTCCACTACCACTATTACCTCCTTACGAAAAAACAAACCACTCTGCATTTGTTGACACGATGTATGCATTCACGAATGCAGCTGATTATTATTATTTTTTTTTGGAACAGCCAAACACATACCGCTACCTCAACATACATATACACAAACATTTATCGTTAATTCACAAGTTTATGAAATTTTGCGAAAAGAAATTTTTTTCTCATCCCAAAAGTTTATGATGATACATATGATCAGGATTTTGAGCGAGTAACAACAGGAAAACCTGGCTGTGAAATTAGGGTATAACATTGAATACCAAAAAAATGATAAAAAATTAATGGCTAACGATTATTATTGTCAATTTAAATGCAAAGGAAAAAGGATGTTGTAAAGGATTGTGGTGATATAATTTCTTTTTTTGATGCAACAAAATCAATGATTATTTTGAATATAAATAAAAATTCCGACAATTTATAACGATTATAACACACGAACAAAATTTTTTTATGTGATTCAATTATATGTAATGTAATGATGTTGGTGTGTATCTCTCATTTTGGAATTCTTATACAAAATTTAATTCAATTTTTATTATCAGATTGTATGTATGTGGATATATTGAAAATGTCAGAAATGTGGACAAAATGATTTGAAAAAAATAACTGTCATGTTCGTCCAGCCTGAGATCCAAACACATTTAGTTGCGATTACGTTTTCGACGATCATTACGTTCCTTTAGTTTATATACAAAATAAAAATAAGGTTAATTTTATTTGATGTAAAGACAAAAAGTAATAACATACCTTATCGGTAAGCAACACCAATAAATGTCGGAAAATGCTGATCATATCCATAAACAAAAGAATCGAATGGCTAATTTAAAAAGATGATTAGTTGAATCATGGAGAATAAAATTTGAAAAAAAACACTTACCCAATGTAATCAGTATCGCCACGAAGACGTTTCTCAATGATGAATGCAGTATCATAGATGACAAATCCACACATTATGGCAAATGCAATATATACATAAGCCTAATGAATTATAAAAAAATTTGAATATTTCAATCGTCAAAAATTCAACAAACACATACCTTGTACATTAATTGTGATCTGAAGAACAAATTGATCAATGTCATGTAGGCTAATAATGATAGACCGGAGAACAGGATACCTCCATAAAACAATGTTTTACGACGATCACCATAGATAGCTGAGATAGTGAAACATGCAAATATCAATGCTGTTGCCATCAATGCAGTCGGTAAGATGCTTGGATTGATGTATAATGTATGTTCAATCAATGGACCAAGGCCAAAACCGGAAAAAAATGAAAAACCCAATAGATAATTCAAACGCAACGCTTGATTCTTTCCATTATCCGGTGTTGAATACAATGCAATGAGTAGACCTGTCATCACGATGAAATTCAAGAATCCACCCTAATATACGAAAATAGTGATAAAATGATGCAATCTTTTTGGTGATTTTTACTTACAATGACATTCGAAAGGCTGGTATAAAGATGGACATAACCACCAACACCAGCTGACAATACCGACATTGCCAATGTTGAATAAACTTTTTTCAAATGCGTTTGGACCTGTGGCTCCCTATTTACCGTATAAATAAAAGAGATTAATTATTCCATTTAAATTTATGGAATTCAAAAATAAAAAACTTACAAACGTCGATCCAATGATGAAATGAATGTATCGAATGTGTTCATTTTGGTTGAATTGATTGGAAACTTTTTACGAAAATATATCGAATACTAAAGTTTTTAACGATTTTTAGTCTCAAATTTTTGACGATTTAATGATAAATCAAGGAAAAAAAAGTTAAATATCGAAATTGTAAACAACGAGTACAAACACAAAATAATAAAAACCAATGAGCGAGCAAAATTTATTTTTATATATTGAAATCGAATGGATTTTTTTTTTATGACCGCTACTTGCGTATGCGTGTATGCGTATTGCATTCTCACGCAATCAAAAGTCATCAAATAGAAAAAACGAGAAAAAAAATCCTTTTTCCTCATTAATACGAGCACGCCATCCATCGGTCAAAAATTCAATCGATATGAATTTTACGGAAATTTCCTGATAATTCTCGAATAAATTTTTCAAAAATGAAAAAATTCAACCACTTTTTTTTATTATACACAAATATCGAAAAAACAATCAAATTTTTTTTCAAACATAAAATTTTCTATAATCCGATTGTTAAATAATCAGAATAATAATAATAATAATAAAGGTAACAATGAAAGGAAGAAAAGATAAAAACATTTAACAAAAATGACAAAAATTTTCTTTTTTTGAAAAATCGGATCTATTTGAATTTTTTATGAGGGACGAAACAATTGCTTGTTTATTTGGACAAATAAATACAATCAATCAAAATTGAAAAAGTCAAACAACAAGGATTATATTCAGAATCAATACGTGAATTTTTTTTCATAAATTTTTTCATATTCTTTTGAAGACACTAACACAGACAACATTGTATATATTGACAAGTGAGGGGAAAAAATTGATAATAGTAATTTGCACTTTGATTATTTATATCAACAATCGCGACCAGAAGGATTTATTCATCATCATCGTTATCGTCATGTATCATTCAAGCCATATCATATATGAATAAATGTCAGAGAATTTGAAAAATTTTCTTTTTCATCAAAATTCATCATCCCAACCGGTAAAATCATCCGGTGGATCGGGCTCACGATTTGGTGGATATGTATCAAAATTAGTTGAATCACATGCACTTTTAATCTGTGTTTGAATAAATTGAAATTAAAAAAAAAATCATTCATTTTTACATATTTTTATTTTTAAAAATAATTTTAACTTACTATAGGAACAAATGGTGGTTTCATTTGTCGTGATTTCAATAGTTCAAAATCAAAATTTTTAAACCAACTTTTTTCATTTTTTTTAAATAAAAATAAAATTGATCATTAATAATGAATAACGAATGATTCGAAAAAAAAACTTACTCATGACTTTTAATATCATCGATACCACGTTTTTGATATCCAAGACGTTCAGCCGGATTATCTCGACAAAGTTTTTTAATTAGTTCAACACCTTCACGAGAAATTGAACGAGGAAAATCGATAGAATCGATACCTTTGAGTATCATATTGTATGTACGCATTGGATCGCTACCACAAAATGGTGGCCTAATAAATTATTTATAATTTTGATGATATATCATCAAACCGAAAATAATAGCCAAAAAAAAACAACACTTACGTTCCGGTGAGCAATTCATACATGAGTACACCTAATGACCAATAATCGGCTGAATGATCATGTCCTCGATTCAGTATAATTTCCGGTGCAACATATTCTGGCCTAATGATTGAAATTCTTACATCATTTTTTTCATTTTTTTATTAATTAAATATTAACATACGTTCCACAAAATGTCCATGTTTTTCTACCAGCTGGCAATAATCGTTTAGCAAAACCAAAATCAGTCAATTTAGCATAACCAAATGGATCGAGTAACATATTTTCCGGTTTTAGATCACGATAAATAATGTTTCGTGTATGAAGATAATCGAATGCTTCGAGAGCACAACCAGCATAGAATCGAGCAGTTTTTTCGTCAAAATTTCCTTTATCTCTGAGTATAGTCCATAATTCACCACCAAGACAAGCTTCCATCAACATGTAGAGGTATTTGTTATCTGATTTAAAAAAAAAAACAATATTTTGTCGTTGTTGTTCATCAATATCTATTCAATTTGAATTTACCTTTGAATGTTTTATACAATTTGACAATAAAATTACAATTCGATTCAAGCATAATTCTTTTTTCATTAAGAATATGTTGTTGTTGTCTTGTTTCAACAATCTGTGCTTTTTTCATTATTTTCAATGCAAAACTTGTTGAACGATTTTCTTTTAAGCTAACCAATTCAACACGACCAAAACCACCAACACCTAATGTTACTTCGAATTTTATATCATCCAATTTTAGATGTGCAAAACGTTCATTCAAACTAAGAACATATAACATGATCATCATTAGAATAGAATAAATTTTGGAATAAATGATGTACAATAAAGGCATTTTGCGAAAGCATAAACACAAAAATTAACAGTATAAATTACCTCACATTATTACAAGAAGAGAAGGGGTTAGTTAGTAACAACGACTATAGTAAATGACAATGATTATCGTTATTGGAAATCAATAAATTATTCGAAGTAGAAAAAAAATGAAAGAAATATATCATATTTAAATATAGAAAAGGCAACCGGAAAGTATTGATAGCTGTTTTAAAAAAAAACAAAACCAAAAAAAAAACCAACATACATTTTACGTTCGCTTATATCCTGATCATAGCGTTTGGTTTTGATTTCGTTCAATCCACTGATCAACTGGTTGAATGAACTGGAGAAGAGAAGAAAAAAAAATTGAATCACGATGAGAAAAGCAAAATATCGATTGATGAATACATACGCTCGATCGATGACCAAACAAGTAACAGTAGGTGATTCGGCAATTATATTAGCTGATCGTATCTCTTCACCTTGTAAAGCACGTTCACCAAAAAATTCTCCACGTGTTAATGTTCGAATAAATTTTTGTGATACAATGTTGGTGACTGTTGTCATATTCATATTCTGATCACGTGATGATGGCAAAACAGTATTGTTAGGATCATTGATCGTAACTTTTACCGTTCCCTGATTAATAATATAGAATGTATCACCTTTTTCACCTTGACGTATAATATAATCGCCTTTTTTATAGGTAATTTCATCCAATACATTAGCAATTTTCAATACAATTTCATCCGATAATTTAGAAAATGATGGCACTGTTTTAAGAAATTCAATATATTCTTTTTGTTTGAGCAAACCGGAACGCATCATAATTGTACGAAAACATTGTCTTTCAATTGCCCATAATTTACAATCAGTTATTGCTATTTACATTGAATATTTTATTTTAAAAAGAAATTTACAATGATAAAAATGTTAAAATTACAACAACAAACCTTTAACGGTAGCCGTACGAGTACAATTATAAAGGATAGCCAATTCACCAAACATTTTCTGTGGTCCCATTTTCGATAGAAAACGTCCACCTTTTGTTACCTCTAATGTACCTTCTTCAATAATATAAACAGCCGAACCGATATCACCTTCTTTAATAATAAATAAACCTTTGGCATATTCGACCGGATACATGCAATCGGTAATTTCATCGATTTGAAATTGTTCCAAATTTTTCATAAAATCATTATCCGATATTGCTGATTTTATTAATTTTTTTGATCTATTAAAATCATCATCATTATTATTATTATTATTATTATTTAAATTTTTAAATAAAATATCGTTTAAATAAATCAATAAACGATTAAAATTTGTAATCAAATGATTATAATAATTTGGCCCATATAATAGCCACATTGAATTGTAATTGATTGATTAATTTAAATAAAATAATTTTCTTGTGTAAATATAAATAATAATAATGTCAAACAAATCATTATTATCAATGAAAAATTATAAATAGAAAATCATATGAATCTTGATCATCATCATCATCATTGTCAATTCAATATTCACATGACAATTCTACTTCATTCATTCATTCATTCAATCAATCAATCCTATCCTATCGATGTTTTTTTTTTGCAGTACGTATGTTTGTGTTACATTCGTACTTTGAATTCTATACAAAAATAGCTAATGTCCATCATCAATATCATCATCATTATAATCATTTACATCATTATGATGTAATTAAATACACACACATACACTATTTACCACCATAAGCCGACAATTCATTTTCCTTTCTTTTTTTTTGTTTCGAAATTTGTATTTTCATTTGAATTTTTTTTCTTTCTTTTTTCTTCTAAATGATGAAAATGATTAATTGTAACGACAATATTCGCAACAAACAACGATATTCCTTTTATTTCAAATGAAAATGATGATAATTGTTTTTGTTGTTGTCAATTTTGATGAATTAGTGAGAAAATGAATAGAAAAATTTCCTGTCGGCGCCTGACCACTATATTCACCATCATCATCAACAGTATCATCATCATCATTCAAACGTCATCATTAATTATTTTTTTCGAATCAGGAAAGTGTAAGAGAGAGAGGGAGAGAGAAAAAAAAACAAAATTCTCAAATATTTTGTCATTTTTCCCCAATGTCCCGTTATAAAAATAATGGCTATTTTTCGATTTCATCGATTATTTGGAAAGAAAAAAAATGCAAATAATTTTTTTTTTCACCGAATCATCGAAATGAATGAATGAATGAATGGCACCACATTTGCTATTAATATAAAATATATCAATCAATGCCGATTCATATTTTTTTTATTCATTCAATCGATCGATCGAATGATTGATTTATTGATTAATTAATCAATCAAATGATATATTGGGCATCATAGACACATCATCATCATCATTTGTTGGCTTTCTAAGGTCGAATCTCATAAGTACAATTCGATTGGATGGAAATTAGACGAAATTTTACTTACTTTTCAGTCTTTGGATAAATGGTGAATTTAGTTTTTAATAATTCATCATATGTTAATGATGATTCTGGTTCGGCCGATATACCCATAAGACGATTTTTTCTTGGTTTTTGTAAACCAAATCTTGTTGTTGTTATCATCATTAATGGATCAATAGAATGATGTAATTGATGATGAATGGATCCGGTTGACAATGCCGATGTTGCTGTTGTCGATGATGATAATGATGATGATCCAGGTAATGGTGAAAATGCAGGCATTACCGGACCACCACTACCGGCAGGCGATAGATAGCCATCATACATTGATAAAACAGATTTATATTTATCCACTTGTGATCGTAGATCATTGATAAGATCATCTTTTTCCTGTAATTTTTGATGTAATATTTGTATTTGGTTTTGTAATTCTTCATTTGATAATTGTTGTGGCTGTGTTGTTTGCTGTTGAGCATTATTATTATGCGTTGTATGTTGTTGTTGTTGTTGATCATCATCATTATCATTATCATCCATCATCATGATGGCTGATGTATTTGTTGCTGTCATCATTGATGACATTATTATCATACGTATTGAACGATATATAATAAATAATAGATGACCAATCGATTGTGTTATCTGTGATTCGGTGATTGTCACCCGTAGGTCGATCAATCGAGCCGAAATTTTGGCCCAAAATAATTCAATCTTGGATGTAATGATGACGGTTTTTTGTTGTTGTTGTTATTTCAGATCAATTGAAAGAATAAACATTTAATGAATTATAATCGAAATTGAATTTCGATTATCAATTTTCATTATCACTATTGAACCAAACAACAAAAAAAATTGAATAAAATCAAAGAACAAAAATGAAAACACACGGTAAATGCACATATATTTATGGGGACATTTGGATCACAAGAGTAACAAAACAAAACAAAAAAAATCACCAAAGAAAAAAACATCAATGTTGAATGGTGAAAAACATCATCATCATCATTGAACACAGAAACAAATATCGATTTTTTTTGTTTCAAAGAACGAAAGGATTGATTTTTTTAAATGTTTTTTTCCAAAATCAAAAAAAAAAATTTCTTTTTCTCTCATTGAAACAACACAAACACTTTATGATATCACAATTTTGTTTTTCTTCATTTTCTTTTTTTCTGCATAAGTTCAATCCACATGAAACATTTATTTAATGAACGAAGAAGAAATAGTGAAAGAAAAAAATGGGAATCATCAACAACAAAAAACAACAACAACTAAATCGTTGACGATCAACATTGATATAGATTGGAAAATGAATGAAAGAAAGAAAAAAAATTGATCGGAAATCAGCATATCAGCCATCACACACACACACACACACACACACACACACACACACACATACCAACAATATATCAATTTGTATATCATACCATCATCATCATCATCATGGACACACACTCAAAACCAACAAAATTAAAAAAAAAATATCGATTTTGATGATGAAAAAAAATTTTTTTTGGTCGAATCAAGATTTAACCAGCACCGAAAAAAAACCCGACGATGTCTTCGATGAAATTTTCTTCTTCTCCGTTTTGTTGTTGTTGTTGTTATCGTCGTTTGATTTGATGATAAATATTTTTATCTTTTTTCTCACTTGTTTTCCTGTTCGTCTTTTATTCGTTGTTGTTGTTATTGTATTTTGTCTAAATGTGATTGAGCTATGTGTATGTGATATATTTTGATTATATATCGTTTATAATTTTGTCGTTATCATCACATTATTAGAAATTGAAAAAAAAAATAAATCCAGTCCTTGATGATGGAAACAATAAAATGATTTTTTGATTTGATGATTTTTAAAAATGAGTGAGTGGTGATTTGTGATTGGATTGAATTATGTTTGTAGCATTTCAATCAAAAAAAAATTCACCAAAACATTCATTTTTGAAATATTCGAGTAGCTAGAAAATGTAGGAAAAAATGGGAAAAGAAAAGAAAATTAGATTTCATTTGTTTTAAGAATTCTAAACAAACAAACAAAAATCAATCAAATTAACTGGTATTTTGTTTGTTTTGTTTTTTTAATTGATCCGATAATGATGTTGTTGTTGTTGTTGTTCATTATTGGATTTAATTTATAATTTCTTCAAAAGATTTTTCTTTTCTTTTTTTTTGGTTGGCCAATTATCCCCTATATAAATTATCATTATCATAATTAAATGAATAAAATACATACATACATACATTCGGTACATCATATCGAAATGAATATTGTATCCTCTTTTTTTTGTTGAGTTCACTTGTTGCTGCTTCTATTTATTCACTGTAATGATGATGAATAAATAAATAAAAAAAAATTTTGATTTAATTTTATTTATGCGATGCAACTTGTTATCGATGATGATGATGATGATTATACTATTGAACTATTATGATAAACTATATGGCTAACAACAATTTATTAGATTGATGATGATGATGATCCTCTTGTTGGATTTTAGGATCCATTAAATGATCGAAGATATGTTGTGTGCATCAACTAAATAATAATAACAACAACAACAACAACAACCACTAACAAATAAACAACAAAAAACAACTAGTTGCATATGTAATTCAAATAATATATTTTCTATTTTATCAAGTAAATTTACAGATGTTTTTCCTTTAATACGTTGTATTTGAATGAACGATTTAAATGTTTTAAATTCATAACAAAAAATTGTTTTTTTGTTTTGTTTTTTTTTGACATCTTTGATCATTTTAAAAATAATTTTTTTACATTATTTTTTCCTATTTGTAATATAAAATTCATTATTTTTATATAAATCATGTCATCGATAGAATCATCAAATGTAATATTTCTTAAGAAAATGTTTTTTTTTCTAATTTTTTTTTACTTTTATTTGACAGTTTGATATTGATTTTTCAATTCCATATGTTGCCGAAACGCCCACATTAGACGAAATTCTTGCCGAAAATCATGATAATATTTTTGAAGAAATTGATCATTTGATTGAGCAAGACTTTGGTCAACTTGGTGAAGATACTTTGGAATATTCTGAAACCGAATTATTGGATACTAGTCTGGCAAACCAATCATTACCTGATAATTCGAATGTTCAAATAGAAAGTTCATTTAATGTGGCTGAATTAACTTTCATAAAAACACAGCTATCACAATCTAAAAGTGATCAAATTGATTCAGGCAATCCCACTGCGTTTGCATTGTCGCCAAAATTCTTGGCAATTGGTACATTTCATGGTCACGTTCTTCTGTTCGAATTGGGCAACGATAAAATTGTCGCGTTTCTTAAGCATAACAAAGAATTTGGATCGATATCATCTGTGACGATAAATCGAGAATCTACTCGATTGGTAGCCGGCGGTAGTCGTGGTTCAATTTCATTATGGAATTTGATAAGTTATGAAATGCTTCGAGTCATTAACGATCTAAATGGTCTTTATAGCTCAATATTATCTATATCTTATCTTTCTAATGATCATTTCGTTGTATTGAATGATACGAGTGGATCAATATTCATAATGGATGTGCGTAAGAAAAATTCAAGATTACAATGTGTATTTTCCGGCAGTCGTGGCGAAGCACTTGTTTTAAAACCACTAACTTATGATGACATTCCTCATGATCAACCGGAATTTAACGGAATCGAACAGATCTGCTTGTTAGCTATGGCAACTGTTTCTAAAATGATTGTTATTTCATTGCGGCCATCGGTTGTTGTTCATTTTACTACAACACTTCGTTCTACACATTTAGAATATCTTCCATTAATTGCCTGGAATCTGTCATTCAAATATGGTAATGAATGCATGCCATTGTTGACATTTGGTCGACAAAATCAGATTTTCATTCATAGAATGGTTACAGATTTTGTCGAAAAGATTACTTTTATTCCATTGTATCAATTTACCACAACAAATTATATGTTACAACATCTGAGTTGGTTTGAAGATGATAAATTGTTTGTTGTTGATACAGATGAAATTGGACATCTAATCGATGTAATCGTACAAGAAGAAATGGAAAAAATCGATCTAAGTCATATAGAATTGGTTTATGAAAATGCTCATTTCAAATCATTAGCCAATGGAGGCTATGTTAGTCAGGCAATGTCTCAAGCTGGTGAACATGCATGTAATAATTCTATTTATCTACGAATCTTGAACGATGAATCGAATAGAAAAAAGAAAAAAAATCAACTCTACATTTTAGGTATTCGATCAATGTTTGTTGTTACTTTACGAAATTGGGAAGAAAAAGTTAATCATCTAATATTTGACTGCCAAAATTATGGCGAAGCATTACAGTTCCTATATGATCAATATGAATTGTATAATGATCGACAAAATTCCGATGTAGAGAATGTTATTGATCGTGTAATAGAAATGATGAATACAACATTAATAAGTTATATTCAGCAATTAGAACCAAAAAATATTAAACAAAATGAAGATGCTACAAGAGAATTGATCATCAATTTAATCAAATACATTATTTGTTTGAAATCCGATCAACGACAAATGGTTATATTTAAATTATTTGAACAAATTAATTCGAATTTAATGATGAAATCAATTTTTATTGAATCACTTGAGCCTCATATTTTTGATGATCAATTATCTTCGTTGAATCCTGTGATTGTCAAAGAAATGATTGATTATTTTATTGGTAAAGAATGGTATAACCTATTGGATTCATTGATTATTCATTTGAATATTGAATCATTGGATATTGATCATATAATTCGAATCTATAGCCAGTATTATCTATACGATTCATTCATTTATATCTACAATTGTGCTATGCAAGATTTTATAACTCCTTTCAATGAACTGCTCAAATTATTACGAAATTCAATTCAAACTAAATCGCAACTTTTTCCGAAAACTGATATTATTATTGGAAACAAATTACTCGTCTATTTGAATTGTATGCTAACTTGTACATACTATCCAAACAAAGGTTCATTACCAGAATCACAACAACAAGATCATTTGGAAACTTGTTTTCAACGTCTTATGGCTGTAAATGATGACAATCGATTAGACATAATTGATGTTCTATTTCAATATGATTCGATTGAATTTCTTAATACACTTTTGATTGGATTTGATTATCTGGATAATTATCATCCGAATCTATGTTATTTCAAACAGATGATCATTGACAAAATGCTTGCATTTATTGTTGAAACAAATATCACTGATTTGGATGATGATCATCGAAATTCTTTTTTCATATTTCTTGGTCGATGCTGTATTTCGAATCAATCTTCATCACAGAATTCAATCAAACTTATTAAGGATCATTTTAATCAAATGATCGATTCATTATTCAAAGCTAGTTCGAATAAACGATTCGAAGAACGTCAACAAATTCTTATTCAGCTTTTTCGAAATGCACCTTGGAATCAATGGCTTAATGAACAGAATTTTTTAGAAAAAGCTCAAACAAGTCGTATGTATAAAATTTGTGAACAAATCTATAGTGATCGTCGTGATTGGATCAATCTCTTCCGGCTACATGTTGAAGATCCCAGTAAACATGAAGAAATTTTCAATTTTATCGATTTAATTATCAAACAAGATGATAGTTTTTTCAATTCACAAAATTTCATTGAAAATTGTAACAAAAGTGATTTTCTTAATATCGTTTTTGAACATTTTCGTTTTTTGGTTCAAATAGATCATCAAAAATCTAGCCAAATTTTCTATCAATTTGTTGAACAATGTGAAGGACTTTTTAATTTGATTATTGATCAACTTGAAACCGAACCATATCATAAATATCAATTTCTTCGACAGATCATGATCGATGACAATCAAACCAATAATGATGAAACAAATGTAGCTAATAAATCTAAAATATTGGAACAAATTTGTAATGATGGAAAAAATCAAGATATTTTTCTTGAACTATGTTTACAATTTGAACCAGAACAAATTGTTTTGATGCTAGAATTGTTGAAAAATTATGATCAAATGAAAATGCTTGAAATTTGTCATGAATTGCAATCATATGATGGTCAAGCATTTATATTGGAATCAATGAAACAATATTCAAAATCATTCGACGTTTTATTTGATCAATTCAAAAAAACATTAGATGATATTCTCAAAATGGATGGCATGTTAGTTAATATAGATGATGGTGAACAATTAATAAAGAATTTTCAAAAAATTCTTAGTTTTTGTGATCGTCGTCATGATCCATCGAAACCGGAAATGTATTGGCTTGAGCTGCTTGAATATCTTATATTTGTGAAATCTGATTGTCATCAACAACAAAAATCATCAACAAAATCTCGTCGACCAAATGAAACGAACGATAAAATTGATTTGAATAAACTATTGAATCAATTATTTGAAACACTTATGAGCGAAATGTTAACCCATTTGAATCTTGTCCTGTTTCTTGATATTATTATGGAAAAAATTCTTAAACAATCTGATACTATATGTGATTTTCGTGAAATGCTTCTATGTATATTGGAAAATTATAATTATGAAAAAACTCTTTTAGAATTGACGACCAATATTTTATCATCTGAACATCGTCAACTTATTGAACAATTTCGTCGATTAAAATTACGTTCGAAAATATTTCGTCGATCAATGATACATTGTGAATTATGTGATAATAATGATGATGATGATGTTAACATAGATGTTAATGAAAAATTGATTACATTCAATAATTGTGATCATATTCTTCATTGGTCATGTTTACAACGATTTGCAGATCAAACAAAATGTCCGGCTTGTCATATTAAACTTAATCATAATTATGATAAAAATTTTCATAGACATCAAAAAATTCAATATCAGCCAATATTTAATGATATTCAATTACGAATTCTCAATCAAATTCATCATGGCCGATTAAAATCATGGATTCAAAAACAAAAACCAACATCATCATCTAAATCGATTAATCAACGAACATTATCACCAATTAAATAAAAAAATTTATTTATTTTTATAATTTTTATATTTCTGTTTTTGTTGTTGTGCGATTTTAAAAAAAATTAATAAATAAATCAATTTTATACATTTAATTATAATGTGTGTGTGTGTTTTTTCTGCGTATGCGTTTAAATTCTACATAGCGATTTATTTTGTTGAATCCATGTAATCGGTATCCAAGTAGGTTTCATTTCAACCATTCGTACTGTTTCAAGTAGTCGATCGAATGTTTCTTTTAGGTCATCATTGATTAAAACGGTGTCGAATTTATGCCCGTACAATATTTGTAATTTATGTGATTCATAAATCATCAGATGCATTTCATATGCAAGTCGTTGCCTTGATTTTCGTTGATTATATTGACTGCTAACAGAATCGGAATGACAATAATGATTACGAATTCGTGTTTCAATCAATCGATCAAGATCATATGGTGGTTGTATGAATATAATGTATGGTTTAAATTCGGCCGTATGAATTAGACGTAAAAATTGAGCATCCATTTTGAATACACAAACAGCACCGGCATCGACAATCTGTTTGATAGTATCTCGATGTATGCCATAATAATTGCCACGATATTTTGAATAACAAACAAAATTACCGGCCTGTATTTCATGTTCCATCCAATCTTCACTGACAAAATAATAATCAATAGAATCATTTTCTTGAAATCGTTTATAACGTGATGTATGTGCTAATGGTTCACGATATCGATTATGATTTTGTTGACATAATAAACTAATTAATAGTGAACAACCAACACCTGAAGGACCAACCAAAACTATAGGACGACAATAACCGGAACGTGGATAATATTGGGCAACTGGTTCATATGTACAGATTTCTTCACGATCATAGCGGATACAATCGCTTATATCATACATCATTTTTTTAATTTTTTGTGCACACCATTTATTCTTCCGGAATGGAAGTGGCAATAATCCACCAAGAATGTGTATGTAACGTTCACGATCAAGTTGACTTTTAATGTCACGAATGGCAACGATTCGTCGTTCTTGTAATCTTTTCGAAGGAATTAAGCCAGCTATTTGAAATATTTCCATTCGTGATTTACTTGATGATTCAATCTGCTTGCTTGCCTGCCACCAATTCGTGTCTTCTTTATTCAAAACATTCAGAATACTACCTTTATCGAATGCCAAACCAATGGATGGACAAGGAATTAATGGATCTTTTTCAGGTCTGTAATCGAAACAAGCTTTTACCAAATGTGATTTTAAAGCCTGATTTGGATCAGGAAATGATAGCCTATTCATGGCAACAATTTTCAGCGTTATGATCGTTTTCATTGATTCATGCTGTAATATGTTTATCACATCCAAATGTGAACGGCCACGTAATGGAATTCCATTCACTTCGAGTATAAGATCACCAACCTGTACAAGACCACTTCGATAGGCAGCACCACCAACCAATATTCTTGCAAGAATAATGTCACCAGTTTGTTCATCAAATCGAACAGTAACACCCAATGGTTCATCACTTTTGATGACCTGGATGATTTTCTGACAAGGTTGAAGTTTTTTTCTTGGTGTCGAATAAACTAATGTGGTTGTGGCAGTGGGTGTTTTTAGTTTCATTGATTTGGAAGTGGTAACATCAAGAAATGTTTCCAATTTGGCAGTGTCATAGTTTTCTAGATTTTCAATAATTTTCCAATTACTACTTTTATTTGTGTTATCTAAGATTGCTTCAGGGTTGGCAAATATTTCGACATCGAATATTCGGCGGGCAACACAATCGACCACTTGCATAAGAGCAAGAAGATGTGGCCGTTGTAATAATTGGCACAATTGATCACATTCTGAAATCCATTCTTGTCGCAATGACACGAGAATTTGGTCAATTAATGTATTAATCGGTATCAATGACGATGCTGATGATGATGTTTTTGATACGGATGATTTTAACGATTGTTTTGACGATGATAATGGCAATAGCAATGATCGGTTATCGTCCGCATCCATCGTCCGTGATTACACTTGAATCACATGATTGACAATAAGAATGTTTTGATCCAAATGAAGCAATGTAGATGATTATCATCATTCAATATAAACAAACAAAAATAAATACAGAATTGAAACCCAATTCTGCTCATGCTCGAGCGTTCCATTTGGAACTGAAATACCCGTATTCTGATCGAATAGAAAGAGGGAGGACGAGAGAAAAAAAGAGAGAGAGAAAGATAGAGTGCAGAAAACATTTAATATAATTCAATGAAAACAATTTCATTCGAATTCGATTCATTTGATTCGAATCGAATAATCTTTCTATCCATTCCATTAAACTGTTCATAAAATACATTATGGCCATTTGTTTCCCGTTTCCTAATAATTTTTGTTTATAATGACAAAAATTTTATAGCCTTAAATTACAAAACAATTTTCTCATGCTAATTATATGCAATCTTAAAATTTTTTGTTCTAATATTCGGAATTTCAGTTATGTTTTTTTTCGAAATTATAATAATTTTAGGTTTTGAGACCAATAGATAATTGAAATGCCGATAGCATTGTTTGATGTATGAAAAGAGAGATTTTTTTCAAAAAAAAACAATGTTCATTCAAATTAAGAATATTTGTTGTAGAAGAGAATGTTTCGATTGTCGACCTTGTTATAAGACGAAGAGTGAGTTAGTGAGAGAAAAAAATGAGCTCAATAAGAAATGAACTTGGCTGATGAAGATTTCGTTTCAATCTTTCAAAATTGATCGCTTTACGAATGAAAAAATGCGAATGGTCGAAAAGAGAACGTGAAATGGAAAATGTGAAAAAACTTTTGGCCATTCTTTTTTTTTTGGAAAGCAACAACATTAAATGGCCTCTTTTAGTCGCTTCGATGGTCATCACCACCGCCACCGCCACCGCCATCACTACAATAACCAACACCACTATCATCATCATCATCATCAAGACAACGACATAAGAGAATCGAATCTATGTCTGTACTAAACAAAACAAAAAAAGAACTTCAATCATTATAGACTATCTCAGGTAAATCATTTACTTCAATTTTTACAGTCGTCCAACAACTTCTTCTTCTTCTTCATCATCATCTTCGTTGTTAGACTCTAAACTTACTTTTAATGTTGATCAAATATTTCTCTCGCATTCATTTCTCTTGTTTTCTCTTATTTTTTTGTTACCTGTTTTCTTTTGCTTATCGATCATCATCATTGTGAATAACGAACCAAATTGTATGACTGATGTCGATGATGATGATGGTACAAGTAAACTTAATCATTCATTGTATATTTATATTCGACAAAACAAAACACAAAAAAATCCTGAACAAAACCGAATCATAGTGGTCGATCGAATACCTTTCGAAAATAACAACAATGTTTGACCATTCAATGAACTAACCAAAAAGCATCATCATCTTCATTCGTATTTGGTTTTACATCATGTAACAAATTTTCGCTTTCGTCCATGTTCAATTGTGCTAGTGTGTGTGTGTGTGTATGTTTGTGTCTTGTGTTTATCCGTGATACCCGGATCTAATGTTATTGTTTTTTCGGGCCAACACCAAAAAAGAAAAAAAACACCTACACAAATGTTATTTTCTAATGAAATTTTTCATATTTTCAATATATTTTGTGGTTTATTCTGTTTATTTTTGAATTTGTTGAATCATTAAAAACATCCAATAATTTGATAATTCAATCAAAACAACAACAACAATATTAATTATTCATGTATTCATCCAATGTATTTATGGTCGATAATAATAATGATGATAAAAACAATGATGAAATCATCATACAACCATCATCATCATCATCGTCAATAACAAAATCAATAAAAATGAAACAAAATAAATTCAAATCATCAAATCATCAATCAATCGAATGGTCAAATAAGGCCACTATTGTAACAAAATTAAGAAGCTATTTTCAATTATCATCATTATCATCATCATTATCATTTTCATTGAAAAATTCAATTACTAAAATCATTATTATCAATATAATCATCATTATTATTGGCTGTTTATCATCATTACCTGTGATTGTTTCAGGTAAATTTATACAATTATATAATAATGTCAATGATCGAAATGAATGAATAAAAAGAAGAAGAAGATGTGGGGGAAAAACCACTGAATGAAAAATGAAATGGATATTTGAAGCCATTTATGCCTAAAGGGAATGAAATGATTATTTTGTTGCAATCGATCGTAATATGTCAAACTGTCTAGTTGAAACTTTTTTTTTTGACATGTATAAAAGAAGGGGAAGAGAGAGAGAATCTTTAAAAATGATTTAAATTAAAAAAAAATTCGTTTTTCATTTTCTTTTCTTCAATTCCGTTCAACAGCATTCAACAGTCCACCGGTATTTGATTTTAAACGAGAAATATTCGTATCTGAAAATACACCTGTCGGTATGTAGATTTTTTTTTCGTTTCTCAATGTGAATTTAATTGAAATGATAAATTGATGATGATTAGATCAACATTAATCACTAAACTAAACCCATTTGAAAAAATCTAATTTTTCTTGTCATCATTGATGTTTAGGCCAAATGGTAACGATGGTACGGACAATCGATAAGGAAAAAGATATAATCACCTATGGTATTGATCCTGCACATTGGAATGATGGATCAAAATATTTTCGTATCGATGAAAAAACTGGACAGATTTTCGTACGAGAATCATTAGCCGGACAGGTAAGAAGATGTAGTGAGAAAACAAAAATCCTTTGATTAATACAGTGAAATCAATGAAAATATCATTGTCGGGTTGAAAAAACTCCGAACATTTATAGTCGATGACCGATTATATGGGTTTGAATTGTTTTGTTTTACACAATTTGAAACCATTATCTCTTTAGGTTTCTTTTCGTTTTCTTGGTTTTTCCAATTTTTCCACCATAATAATCTTTGCAATCAGAAAAAAGAAACTTTTTAACTTTTTTTTTGGAAATAAATGTTGATCACTTGAACTTGATTCAATCTTGTCATAGATAAAAGGTTTTCTCAATCATTTCAAAAAAAAGATGAAGATTTCCTTTATCATTGAATTGATAATAAAATTGAGTCTTTTTTTCTTTGATGAAAATTTCGTTCAATTCAATTCAATCTTGTTCAGATATTATCATCATCATCATCATCATCAAAACTAGGTTTCCAGAACTAAAATGTTTGGTGAATTTGTGACAAAAATAGCTTTCCCAGGAAAAAGAAAAATCCTCTTTGAATTGAGTAAACAACAGAACAAAAAAAACCATCGAGAGAAACGACGCCTGGTTTTTTCCCCTATATTTCAAAAAGATCTTGAAATTGAAATAAAATTGTTATCAAGGAAAAAAACAAGTTAAAGAAAGACCTACTTAATTTTTGAAAAAAAAATAAATATATTCATCGCAGTTGAGTTCACACAATAACCAGATTGGCCAAAAAAAAGTGGAAAAATGTGTCTCTTTTTAATATCTGGAATCCTTTTCTCTCTTGATTGCTTGCTTGAGTTTAATGATGATGATCATGATGATATGGCTTTCTCTTTAGTTATTTTCTTGTTGTTTTTTTTCTTAAATTGATATATATCCACAACGAATCAAATGGCGTTATAATTGCCATAAACTATAAATAGAATTTCGATTTCAATTCAGACACACACACACACACACACACACACACTGTACACTTAAGACATCAACCAAGTCAATAATGATAGATAATCAAGATAGAATAGTAGGTTGCCAATCAAGTATTTGAACCTTAAAAAAACAGTTGAATCAGACAAACAAAAAAAAAGATTCAATATTAATCTGGTCTGATATATTTAACCGAACAACAACAAAATTATCTAAAAAAGAATCCAATCAAGGTGTAACCTTATTTATTTTCATATATATCTAACAAAACAACAACACATGTTTTAATCATTATTTTATTAATAATTAGCTTGATGGGTTAAAAATGATGATGATGATGATGATGATGATGATAATGGTGATGGTGGTCGTGGTGGTAGCGATGTACAACCATAATAATCGATGATCATGATTTCATGATGATCATGATGATGATAATTGGTTTTTTTTTTGTGTGTTTTCTTTCTGGATTCAAACACCAACACCAAAAAAGAAAAAAAACAAGTCTGAAGAAGCTATATTACCCTTTTTTTTGTTTTGTTTTCTATCACACATTTTATAATATGAATTTTTTTTTCATTTTCTCGCTTCCTTGACTGATGACCTGAATCCTTGTTTGCTCCTAATTTTTGTTTCTCTTCCATTTTTTCTGCTATGAATGACCTCTCTCCACCCTACTTCTTTCAATTCGAATCATGATCATAAAATAGTAATAATAAAAAAAACTGTCGCCAACCTTAATACCTTTAAATAGCTCAATTGTTTTGAGGTTTGATGATTTTGATCTAATTTTATTTTTTTTCAAAATAATTTCGTTAGGGTGGAAACTTTCTCAACATGTATATCAAAGCCAATGATGGACATCAAACTGTAAGTTATTTATTTGTTTGTTTTTTTTTAGGTTGTTGTTTAGAATTCCTATGAATAAATTTAAATATTAACATGTGCCACTTGTTTATCTAATTTGTTTTTTTTCTAAATGGTAGGCCAAAATTGAAGCTGTAATTAGTGTATCAAAAGCTACTGATAAAGGTCAAATTGTTCATTATCCTGATATTCATGCACCACCATCACATATTTTCAATACAAATAATATTTTAATAAACAAAACCGATACAAGACCATCATTTCATCCACCAACGCCTAAAGATATTCCATTAGAAACGTTACGACCGCAACGAAAACAAAGACCACCAATAACTAAATTAAATACATTCAGTAATCGAGCTAAAAATGAAACCAAAAATCAACAGTCAATAACTGTTAAACCTGATGTAGATCATTATGAACAGATTCCTACCGAAGACAAACCATTAAAACAATCATCATTACTTGCCGATATACTTTGGCCAATAGGACCATACATATTGATCAGTATTTTTGTTCCAACTTTATGTCTAATATTCTGGTGTTGGATACATAAACGTAGTATGCCCAGTCGTAATGCAATCAAAACATTCTCACATAAAATTATTAATAATAATAAATCCGAAAGTATCGAAACAACTACCAGTTCATTTACCGGTGATTTTGATGTTTCATTGTTTAAAACACGTTTTCATGAAACAAGTGCAGATAGTGGTTTAAACATTTCAAGGATATCAAATCAATGGGAATTTCCTAGACATCATCTACGATTCATGCACATTCTTGGTCAAGGTTGTTTTGGTCAAGTTTGGAAATGTGAAACATTCAATGGTAATCAACCGGCCGCAACACAAACACAGATTGTAGCCGTTAAAACTTTAAAAGAAAATGTTGGCGATAAAGAAAAACGTGATCTCCTTGATGAGCTGGAAGTGATGAAAATACTTGATCCACATCCAAATGTTGTAACATTGATAGGTTGTTGTACGGAACGTGATCCAGTCTATCTTATTATGGAATATGTTCCATATGGTAAATTGCAAAAATATCTAGGGGATAGTCGTGAAGATATTGCTTATGGTAGCAAACAACCACATGAAAAACTTGAATCACATGATCTGATTTCATTCGCTTATCAGATTGCCAAAGGAATGGAATATCTTTCGTCCAAAGGTGTAAGTTTTGAATTAATGAATATCGATTACCTTTTCTCATAAATAATTGACAATTTTTATTTAGATTATTCATCGTGATCTCGCTGCTCGAAACATTCTTGTTGGTCATAATAAAATATGTAAAATTGCTGATTTTGGTCTGGCCAAATATAATCAGGAAATATATGAACGAAAATCAGAGGTAAAAAACATTTATTAACAGGTTTATGAATGATATTAACCTAAATATATTTTCTTCTTTTTTTTGTGCAATAGGGTCGTTTACCAATTCGATGGATGGCAATTGAATCGTTAAAAGATTTCATTTTCACAACCAAAAGTGATGTCTGGAGTTTTGGTATTTTAATGTGGGAAATAGTCACATTAGGATGTACACCATATCCTGGTTGGACTGCATCCGAAGTAATTAAAAAAGTCAGTGAAGGCTACCGATTAGAAAAACCTGAACACTGTAAACGTGAAATGTATAATATAATGTATTATTGTTGGGATCGTAATCCACATCATCGACCATCATTCAGTGAATTAGTTTGTCTATTAGATAATCTATTCGGTAGTGATGATGAATATATTGAATTAGATAGATTTCCTGATCATTGTTATTATAATCTATTGAAACCACCGGGTTGTAATGGGGGAAATTCGAGTGAAAAATTGTGATCACATCCTGTTTGACTGATATATTTTAATAAATGGCACAGTTATACTTAATAACAGTTCCCGATTTTATTTCATTTTTTTAAATTGTTTTCTTCTGATAAAAATTGTTGTAAATAGTAAATCAAATCATGCTTTTTTTATTTATTAATTATCAATTTTGAAAAAATCATCAATCAATCTTATTGAAACGATTGATTGAATAAATTAAAAATTTTTTTCAAATAAAATGAGAAAATGTTCATTTTTTCTTCGATGTAAGACCAGCACCAGCATTAAATTTAAACAAAATTATATCACCATCTTCAACAACATAATTACGGCCTTGTTGTCGATATTTTCCGGCAGATTTTGCTGCTGCTTCACTACCAAGCTCTTTGAAATCATCGAATTTCATCACTTCGGCCATGATGAAACCTTTTTCAAAATCAGTATGTATACGGCCAGCTGCTTGTGGTGCTTTGGTTCCTTTTTGAATAGTCCATGCTTTAACTTCATCCTTACCGGCAGTGAAAAAATAAATCAATTGCAACGCCTTATAACCGGTAACAATAATTTTGCTCAATGCACTGAAATCAATTTTCAGATAAAAGAATTAGATTGAATTTTTTTTCTAAAAATGATTAATAATGCTTTACCTTTGACATTTATTCAATTCACAAAATGATTTTCGTTCATCTTCACTAAGTTCAAGCAATTTATTCTCAAACAAGCCACTGAAAGGTATTAATGTTGCATGTGGATCATGTTCATCAATCCATTCTTTTATCTTTATAAGCCATTTATTCTTTTTACGGATGTAATCTTTTTCCGATAGATTGACCAAATAGATCATCGGTTTTGATGTTATAAACAGATATTTATTCAAGATTTCAATCTCAGCAGCATTCCAATCACCAAAACGAATGTGTCTTTTTTGATCGACCAAAAACTCCTTGATTTTCATCAATATATCCTATAGTATTGTTTTTTTAAGATGATAATTCTTAAGTTAATAATATATTTTGCTTACGTATTCAGCTTTGTCTTTTTTATCACCACGTTCAACAAATCGGCGTAGTTTTTCGATCACCGAATTCAATTGTTCTTCATCTTTAAGTCGTAATTCTTCGTTGATGATTTCAATATCTCGTACTGGATTTACATCACCTTCAATGTGTGTTACATCATCATCTTCGAATGCACGACACAAATGAAATATTGCATCACAAGCTTTAATGTGCGATAGAAAAGCATTTCCAAGTCCTTGTCCTTCGCTAGCTCCTTTCACTAAGCCGGCAATGTCCACGACGTTTAAATATGCGGGAACTTTACTATAAATTATAAAAGAATAGATATTAAATATGTTGAAATTCGAAAATTTTCAAACTATACCTTGCCGGTTTATGATATTCACAAAGAAAATCGAATCGTTCATCCGGAACTGGAACTCGACGTAAAAGAACAACAAAAACAAAACAAGTAGCAATATATGATCGGAAATTAATAAATAATAATACTTATTTTCATTAGGATCGATAGTACAAAATGGAAAATTCTCCGCTGCCGCCTGACTTTTGGTGAGCACATTGAAAAATGTTGATTTACCAACATTTGGAACGCCGACAATTCCCACCTTGAGATTGGTGGCCATACGACCCAATAATAGAGTCGGTTCGTTTGAATCTTTTTGATCTTTTTTTGGTGGCATTTTTTCGGGTATAATTTGTTTAATTTATTAAAAAATTAAATTCAAAAAAGATCGTCTGCCCAATATTCAACGGATAATATGATTTCGTGGCCAACATGTGATTTAAATTTATCTGTTCATACAAAACAATTATCATCGTAAAACTTTCACTGTACAAACAAAATTCATATATGAAAGTTTTGAAAAAATTTTACATTTTTATCCACAATGTGGCAGCATATAATCATTATCAGCATCAAGAATAATTTCGAAACATCGAAGATCCTAACCACAATTCATTAATCAAAGTGATTAACTTATGGTTAAACAAAAACTTTTTTCTGGATTGTAAGCAAAGGTAATTCAAAGAAAAAAAAACGATTCTGGATGAAATCAAAATTTTATGGAATTTTGAAAATGATTGTATTCTGCCATAATGACGATCATTTATTTCAATTCCACAATAACTCATTCATTTATTCCATTTCATTGATTAGTTTTCGTCGTTGTTGTTATTTTCGTTTCAAAAAAAAACATGATTCACAACAACAACAATCATTTGGAACAATTTTCATTCATTTTCGGGTTTTGGGTAAAAAGAAAAAACCTGATCGTGAAAATTGTATTCGAATTTTGAATGAATGAATGAATGAATGGATCATATATGGAGTCAACCAAACCAAACCAAACCAAAAAAAAAACTAGTAATATTTTAACGTTCTCTATAATTATTCTCGGATAGGCAAAAAATAAAAAATAATTTTTCCATTTTCAAATGATGATTTTTTTTGGTATGTGATTGTGTGTGTGTGTACTATACGTGAATTGGATTGGCACGGTTTTTTTTAGTTAGTTACCCATAGTATGTAATTAAAACTTGTTGTTGTTGTTGTTGTTGTTTTACATTTTTTTCCTTTCCGTTTCGGGTAGCACCATCAGCGTCATCATCATCATCATCATCAATATTGTACAAATCTTTCAATTTTGTGACATTCAAACAAAAGAAACGAACAAAAAATGGCCATTCACTAAACTGGGAGCTTGGAATATCATTGATGATGATGATGATGATGATCATAATGGTAATGCACCAAAAATTTTGTTCGGCTGTATTCTGGAAATGTTAACCCCCATGCTACCATCATCATTTTTTACATTCAAAAAAAAAAACGCATAGGAAACTATAATGATAGAAATGGAATTGGATTGTTTTCTTCTGTTGGCTTTTCATCAGAAAAATCTGATATTATTCGGAATGTGAATTCATCAAAAAAAACAAGTAAAAACAATGTGGCTACTTTACAACAACAACAAAAAAACCTCCACCCCTTTAATTTTGTAGCAAAAGTATCGTTATCTATTTCTTTTTTTTCGAGAATTACTTTATTATTCAGTCAATATATCGAACTAATGAATTTTGATTGACGAATTGAAAATCGAAAATTTCAACCAGAATTATAACAGACGTTCGTAATAAAATCAATTCAAAAAAAAAAACAAAACAAAATATTCTATCCATGTGATACGAACATTTAATTCTGATCGATGTTCGTGTTTTTTTCTTATTTCTTTCATTTACCATTAATTATACCAGCCGTTTTTTGGCTGTTGCTGTTAATACTGAAAAATCATTTCAACAACCAAACCAACAAATTGACAAATCAGAATCAGAATATAATGAATTTTTTTCGACAATAATAACAGTAATGATAATGATGATGATGACGTTATTGTTGTTGTTGTTGGTTGGTTGGTTGTTGAACGTTTGATTGTTTTTTTTTGTTCATCATTGATTCACAAATGGTTATGGTTGTGTGTTGTATGTTCCATTGATGACCAGATTGATGATCATTTTGGTTCAGAAAATGAAAAAATCTGTCCAGAATTTTCTATTTTCTGGTTCGACATCGACAGATCGAAAAATCAAATCGATTCAATTGTTCTGAAAACTATAGTTGTTGTTGTTGTTAATATCGTCAAAAAAAAGAGAAAAAGTTTTTCCATTCTTTATTGATGATTACGAGAGACAGATAGAGAGAGAAATTGAATAAAATTATCATCAATTTTGTATAGCTCATATAGAATACAATGACTGAATCGAATAGAATTGAACAACGAAAACTGACTAGCTATATATCGAGCGCAGAAGAAAGATTCAAATGAAAAGCTCTGAAATAAAAGGCTATAGGATTTTATGAATTGAATTTCGTGGCAAAAAATCTTTTTTTTCTGGTTAGAATTTCTCTACAATCAAAGCAGAGAAAAAAAAATCGATTTTCAAATTATTATTCAGGCAAATCACAACATTTAAACCAAAAAGACAAAATGATCATAATAGTAAATCATTGACGAAAAAAAATGAAAGAATTTCGATTTTCGGTGGCCAACCAGAAAAAAAATAAACCATTTTATATGCATCTTGGTTCATCATCATCATCATTATTATTGTGACCACATAGATGATAATCACATTTAAAAAAGAATCAAGTGTTAAAAATGTTATTTTAGAAACCAGAAAATGAACAGAATCAGTATTTAAAAAAAATTTGTGATGAATATTTTGCGTGTCAACACCGCAACAATGAACAACAACAACGAAAATTTAAACTAAACTGAACAATCGGATTTTTTTTCATTGCAACCATTTTGTTATTTTGGAATGAAAATTGAAGCTTTTAAATATCATCATTATGAATAAGATTGACCAATACACGAAAAAAAACAGCGATAAACACAATGCACACACACACACACACACATCCGATTTGTGAAAATAAAAATGCAATAAAATTCCAAAATAAATTCATTCAACAAAAAATGTTTTCAATGTCCGTGATGTTTGTTTGTGTGTGTGTGTGTTTGAATACGATGATTATTTGAGATGGAAATTTGATTTGATTTGATTTTTTTGATTTATCTGGTCAAAAGAATATAAATCGATATAAAACATAATGATTGTATTACGAGAAAAAAAAATAAACACATTTTGTTGTTGTTGTTGATAATCTGATTTAGTCGGGATGATTATGGTCAGATTTTTTTTTTGTTGTCTTCTTACCTATTCCTGGATCATCGGTTTGTTCATCTTTGAAAAAGAAAAAAAACGAACATAAAATTTGCGTGACATAGGTCAATTGGATAGAATCGTTGTGAAATCAGGATAAAGATGATGATGTCATTTTTTTGTAGGCATTGTATTTCTACTGAATTTTTATTCAGTTACTCAATTTGTTTGTGTGTTTGAACATGGATTTTATTTTCATTGAAAAGTCCAAAAAAATAGATTTTTGTTTGAGCAAAATCGACCTAGAATTATTATTTTTTTTTTAATTTTCAAGGACATCCATCAATATTTTGTTTTCCCGACTAATTTTCCCTCCAACTCTCTCAAGCCTCAAAAATCCTTAAATGTTTAATTTACT